GCTAAATTTACCCTTTTAACAGTAAAATACCAAAAGTGTGAACTGTATCATTAGCCTGAGTGTCAGCCTTTTTAGCTTTCGTCCGCTCCCCAAAGTAGCGGATCTTTTGGAGCGGACGAAAGCTAAAAAGGATGACACTCAGACTACTGTATCGTTAGCTTGCAATTGATTACACATTTACAGCATCTTTAACCTGCCTTTGCATCACCTTCCTACAGTTGACCATCCCCTTCCTGATCTGGTGCGGACTTGTACCGGCCAAGAACTTCGCCATTGTCTTGGTGATTATCATCTTCATGGGAGCCCTCATGTCCGCCAACAGTTACATCCCGTGGTAAGTCAGACTTTCCTTTTATCATCTCCGGTAAGGTTTAACGTTACCTCCGATGGGGGTACTGTTTTAGGTTGTGTATGTGTGCACGGGACAGTTATACAGCGGTCCATTGTTCATTTAGCCATGGTATCCAGACCGTCCAGCCCCGTCCAGACCGCCCGGTAGAAGTGTTACGTCTGTAGGAGTTTTACACGCCAGGAGTTGATTGTGGTGGGGTTAATTTAACTCCTCCCGACGTAGAAAACGACCGGGGAACCTAGCTGAGTCGGTCGGGGAAGAGCTCCTGCAGCCCAGAAGGAAACCCGCCCCAAACACGATCGATAGACTGGACACCAGGCTACTGTTCATTGTGCTTGTCTAGAAGAGCTAGGAGAATTTCCGCGATACAACGAGCTTGTAGATAGATACTGTACATAGCGTCTGTCTTCTCTGTCACGACCAGTGGAAGGGCAGCTCTTCAATAAGCTTCAACTGGATCGAGTTCATTTTCATTTTTTTTTCTCCACAGGACCATGCTGTCTGACATCGTAGACGCGTATCAGCTGCAGACGAACCAGCGGCTGGACACCCTGTTCTTCAGCATGTATCTGCTCATGTGTCGGCTGGCTTCCGTCCTGGGACAGGCGGCGACAACCGTCGCACTGGTGTAAGTCTGCTCAGACTGTAAATCACACATAGATATAGCTTTTGCTACCTATAGTTAGGAAACACAACCGATATCTCACTTATGTTTGTGCAGAAATGTTTGTGGCGTAACGGCAGGGCATTCGGCTCAGAACCAAGAGGTTCCGAGTTCGAATCCCGCCATTTTACTAACTCTTGAGAAAGGCACTTTATACGACTTTCCTCACTTCGTTCAATTGAAAATGAGTATGCCAGAATGATCTTTATCATGACCGCGGACATTGGAAGAAAAACCAAACCAAAAGTCTTACTTTGCAACGGCAAAACATGATGAATACTGATCACTCACCAGTAATGTACGTAGAAACATCAGGTAGAACTGTGCACTAGATATCTTTTTAAATATCGTACCTATGTTTCCTTGCAACCAGTCTTAGGGCATGAGTTTGTAATTAACAGTTTAACTATATATTTTTTTGCTTCTAATAATCCTCATATTATACAAGATCCATACTAGAACATGTACGAAAATGTACATATTACATTGTTCATGTTGTTTGCTATCAATTTTAAGGATCTGTCTTTTCTTTTTTCGTCCGTTGCAGAATCGGCGGCTACGTAACTGGTCAATGTACTCAGCCCGAGTCCGTGGACACGTCACTGAGAATTCTGATGTCTGCCCTTCCCGCCGGCCTGTCCCTGATTGGTCTAGGGTGTCTAATAAAGTATCCAATCAACGAGCAGATAAGAAAGGAAAACAAGGAGGCCTTAGAAGAAATGTAAGTCGTACTCTGTTCTTTGTCTTGTTTGTGGTTTGCGTTTGTTTGTTTATTTGTTTGTTTGTTTGTTTGTTTGTTTGGGAAACCTTGTGGTGTCAAATCCTTCCATCTACTTAATACCCGGTCCTCCTATTGGTCAGTTGTCTGCAATTTAAATCAAGAAGAAGTTTGTCATTAATTCATGTCTACCTTTTACTTTTTCTTGACCCTTACTTACTTTTTGTACTGACTTTTCCAAAATCTAGCTAGTATGTGCTATTAATCAATTTTTTTCTTTTCATTCTTCTACAGGACTGCTTCTCTTCAGGAAATGAAGGCGCCAATTGCGAGTAAATGAGGCCTACAGTAACTTCTTAAGGAATGGAAACCATCCTACATTACACCGTGGACTACTTTTAACCTGTAAACGTATGAAATGGTAGTAACAACCAAATGTAAAGATGTTGAAGTAACTGGAATGGACATAGAAGAGGTGTGAGTGAATATGCGTGCGTGTGTGTGTGTGTAAATACAAACAAGAACTTCTCAGAATAGTCTCTTAAAGTCGTCGAGGGGAACGACATTTTGCTAAATTCACAAATGTGTTTCCTGGGGTAGTCCATTAGTAATATATCCTATCAAAAGGTTGTATCTAGTCTAAGTACTGGTCTTTCAACCTATGCATTCAGATTGAGATGAATCTGTTGTATTTTATGTAAATTTGAGTTATCATGGAACAAATTCTGTGTTAGTGGAAACTTGTAATAAAACATTTGAAAACGTCTTTCTTTCTTAAGTGTGTTGTCTACTGCAGTGACTAGTTATAGACTGAGGCTGAAGCGCAGTTCGACACAAAATGACTAATGTTTAAACTGCCAACAAAAATCATTAAACTCTACATATCATCGATCCATTGCTTATTACCTGTTATCTCTGTTTATCGGAACAGCCGTTTGCTGTTGTGCTATTTGTTTTCTTATTTGTTTGTTGATTTGTATTTTTTTTTTGCCGGCTGTGAGACTATAATTAGCAATTTGCTAGAGTTGCCCACCCCGGTGTTTTGTATTCTTCATATTTTCTAATAAAAACTGCTAATTAGAACCTCCCTAGTGTCATAACCCCCCCCCCCCCCCCGAAGGTTACAGGTCTCCCATACACCAGACCCGGGCAGTCAAACTGGGTTGGAACAAGCTTTTAAGCTTAAAAGCTTTAAAAGCTGCTAAACCTCGACAAGATTTATAGAGTTTCTTATCCCGGTGGGGTGATCATAGCATACATGTACAACCGGTTAAACCTGTTCGATAGGTCACCAGTGCAGTGGGAGCAATTACTAGTATCCTCAGTTGGCAGAATTGAAACGCGCGCACAAGGTACTAGAGTACTATAGCTCTGTTCCACACTGAAGTCTGCTTCTAATCATCGATATCGGGACTAGAAGGACACATACAGCGATATGTCACAGGACAGGGCTGGATCGGTGTCGTGGCTGGAGACGACGTTCTACGGACTGGGCATGCTCTCTGGCTCCCTGTTTCTCACGGTGATGAACACCTACAACAACGTGTTCCTGGTAAAAGTGGCACAGGTAAGATTCATATCTGTAGTATTGTGAATGTGTTTTTGCATGTATTGTGATAGCTCTGACGTTCATATAGTTATAGTTTACATAACGTTAACTACAAGAGTAGTTATCGTCATGTAAACAGGTGCCCCCGGTGTTGCTGCTCGCTGCAATAGTAACACAGGACCTAGGAATGATGTAACAATGTGAGAGCAAATATCTACTACTAGTTTTGCTTGAGCGGAAGATCTACTAAGTCTTGCTTCAAACGCGAACGCACAAATATAGCAGGATATGTTTTCTCCGCCATTTCCCCATTTCTAATGGACCTACATGCAATGGATAGCCTCCATATGCTGGATACTGAGAAGGCCCGAGAACAGGTGGGACGTGGAGAAGGAAGCACGAATCAGCCCCGCGGCGAGGATCGAGTTTTCGGGAGCGGCCCGGACATATGACTAACAATGCTGGATTTAAGGCTAAGCACGAATTGTACTAGTAGCATGAGTTAGACAACTCAAGAAGTTGTGGATGGATTGCCGTGACTGCTTGTTCGTCTTGGAGAAAAGAAAAGATATAAAGAAGAGAAATACAGAAAAAAGTACGAAATTGTACGAGATCCTACAAAATCTAGGTACCTCATTGTATTGTCCCCATAATTGGCTAATTGGTGCATGTTATCCCGTCCAACAGGATACTCTAGAGCTCACGCCTCAGAAATGTACAGATGATTCATGCATTCTGTTGTCAGGAAAGTAGCAGCACTTGTTGTTGTATATAAAATCAAAGATGACAACAGCAGCTCCCCTGAAATACGGGACCTTCGGTTTTATGCCTCATCCGAGAAAACATCCCTAAACGACGCTAGGTACCCATTCTTACCTGATTCGAGGGAAGAAATATGTGTTAATAGCCTTAAATTCGCCAGGGGCAAAACATTGGGCCTACTGGGATTCGAACCCATAATACCCATAATCTTTAGATTGCAAGTCGCAAATCCTAACCACGATATTTTGCTGCCACAGTGACTCAATGATGATATAGAGAGGACTATAAAGGTAACATTTGCAAAGCAAATGCATAATGTTTTCCTTCTCATATGGTCTGCTCTGTTAATTCCTACTCAAACATATTCACATATATGGTGACTGGAGTCTAAATCCCTCCTACCATAAAATTGCAACATGATGTAACCCAACACCAGTTACCATGGTAAGAGACAGTCTGGTTCAGGTCATTGACCAGGTCAGAGGTCAGTGCTTAGAACGGAAGAACAAGAAACAGAGCAAAAACAACATGTTTCCTTCGGTAAGGCCACACCGACTTAATTTTATGGATGACATCCTCTGAAGACCCCCGAATAAAAAAAAAAAACATTCCGGCCAAAAAAAATGCTACTAAACCACAGGAATACAAACCTGGTATTGTGAATGTGAGGCAGTATATAGCGACGTATACGACCAGCCGGCTTTTTGTAGAATTTATGAATCGGCACTGTATTTGTACGAGTTCTTGAGTCGTGGAGCTTCTGTAGCCTGGGTGCCCGGCTCCGTATTGTCGCTAACTACCATGGACTACCCAGGCTTAGAGCCATGCCAGAGCCTCGGAGGACGTGATCTTTTTTTTTTGAGAACAGGCGAAAATCAATGCGCGCGCGGACGTCATCCATAAAATTTACTTGGTGTGGCCTAAACATAAAAATTCACTCCCCCTCCCTCCCCAGGTATCAGCCCGGTACGCCACGGTGGTTGTTTTCATCAGCAGGTTTTGGGACGTCATCTCCAACCTGATCGTGGGGAAGTTCATCTCCTCCACAAACACACGGTTCGGCAGGATGAGACCATGGTAACGTACAACCTACGTTCACATTTATCAATTACACGCATCTGCCTTGAAAAATACATCTAAACTAGAAAGGTAACATTTGCAAAGCAAATGCATAATGTTTACCTTCGCATATGCTAGACATCTTTATTGGTTTTCCAACCACCAAACATACATATGCAGGGAAAGACAAGAGTCTCCCTGAAGTGGATAGTTTGTTACAATATAATCAAAACACATAATACAATACAATACGATGAACAATAAACAGCTTAAAGATAACAAAATTGGATGCAGATACAGCATGGGATAGCTTATGAAACAGACTCATTGTACAGTTTTACCGCACAATGAACAAATGACCTTTTCAGTCGCTCAGTCCTGGCTTTTGGCACAGTGAAGGCACTGTCGTTCCGCAACCATCTACCTGTAGCTGTGGACCGTTGGGGGGGCACTAGGTCATGTAGTGGGTGCTCAGGCTTTATCATAGCTGTGAACAGCTTCAAAGTGGCCGCTTCCCTCCTTTCTTTCAAAGAAGGGAGCTTTGGAACTGTTCGCTTTCCCCCGAGGGAGATGATGCGCACGGCGCGTTTTTGTACTCGTTCCATACTAGTGGACAGCTCGTCACTACAGCCAATGAGCAAAACATGACCATACTCTAGTATAGGGCGAATCAGCGACAGATACACCTGCACCAAGTCGGCGACACTCATTCCTTGTTTTGTCAGTAACCGCAGATAATGCAGCCTGCTGGAGGCCTTGGAAACTGCTGACTTTACATGTGCTCGCCAGGATAAAGTACTGTCAAAAGTAAACCCGAGGCCCTTTGCAGTTGTTGTAACAGGAACAAGTTCGCCTCCAAGAGACAAGGGTGGGGGTACAGGAGTGTTCCTACTGAAACAGATCTGCAACTGCTGACTCTTTTTCCCGTTCAGTATCATGTCATTTTGACCAGCCCACGTGTCGAGTTGCAACGCTATGGTCTGCTATGTTGATTCTTACTCAAATACATTTATATATATGGTCAGAAGACAGAAGTATAAATTCTGCCTAGTATAAAATTGCAACATTATGTAACCCGACACCAGATACCATGGTGAGAGACGTCAACAAATCAGGTCATTGGCCAGGTCAGAGGTCAGTGAAGAAGAAGAAGAAGAGGAAACGTAGCAAAAACAATATGTTTTCCTTCAGTGAACATAGTGATAAATATTCTGGGCTGAATTTGCAATTCAGAGTTGAGTGTTAGGCCCCAAATGTCATTCAAAACGCGTGGTCTTCTTAGTAAGGAATTTCTACTGAGCATTTCTGTCCTGTAGGATCCTGGGATCGGGATTGCTTCTCGTTCCCGTGTACTTCCTGTGTTGGTACGTCCCGCCCAACATGCCGGATATCGTGAAGATGTTCTATTATCTCGTGCTGTGTTCCGCCTTCGTGTTTCTACAGACGGTATGTACAGTAAAACATTAATGAAACTAAAGTATGATACATGATTCTACAATCTCACAACTGAGTCACACACAGAAACAAGAGCATAACTATAGTTCTGAAAGGAACAAACACAACACAACACAACACAACACAACACAACGAAACTTATTGTTTAAACTAAACACAAACATTCCAAAGCCCGTTGGATGAAAGTCATTCACGCTGGATTGAATATATATTACATTTAAGCAACATGCGCTGATTTATTAGCAGTACATATCCAACAAGATTCTACTAACAAGTTCTACTTCCCTTCCATATTCCGTTAGGCATTTCTCATGTTCTGGTAGCGCTATTTTATGCATGGTTAATTGGTTAACTGTTGTTTTTAATTCCCCGTACAGGCTAACAACGTCTCTTACCGGACCCTGGTGATGTACATGTCTGATGACGAGAACGAGAGAAACAGAGCCACACTCATAAGTACTTCCCTTAGTCATATCAATCAATAGTATGTGCTTATGAACCTGCCTTTCTCCTGCAAGTCTCTAGTGTCACTTACGAAAGGTAGTGGATGCTACCTGAAACGTCTGACCGTTTCCAAAATCATATCCAGTTGCTTGAGTAACGGTTTTTTGGCGTATCTTATTACCTGGATGTCTAACATTCACCGAAGTCTCTTTTTGAGTATCACAAGATTTACGAACTGTCAAATCTGATACCTGCGTTATCCTAACATCTATAGCTAATTATTTTTTTATTCAGAAAAACAGTAATGAACCCAAATGAAAGGACACAGACAAAGTGACTGCGAACTCAAGTTAGGCACAACTTAGATTCTCGCAGCCACTTTTACGAATAAAAATATTCGGTGGCACGTCAGGACTCGAACCCTCTTGGTTCCGAGTCGAGCACTCTGCATATTAAGTCTCTTATTTACGCATTTTGTGTCTCCTATAGGAGGTGTTATGGAGCTGGTTTCTGTAGTCCTGGGGATCGCCCTGCACGGACAAGTCGTGGAAGCCTTCGACACAGTAGATAATAAGGCGTGTAGACCGGCGAACAGTACTGACAACAGTACACATTACATAGACCCGGAGGCACTGCAGGACGTGGTAAGTGTATGTGTGTGTGTTTGTGTGCGCGCGTGTGCGTACGCGAGTGCGTGTGCGTGCGTACAACAGTACCCACCACATAGACCCGGAGGCACTGACAGATGTTGTAAGTACACGGCTTGGTACAGTAGAATCCACGTGACGGTTGTCGGTGGACATTAGGAAACATCACCATGCTACACATGATGATTTTGTTCGTTCACTTCAAAGCACTTATATTTCAGGTTCTCTCTCTCTCTCCTTCTCTCTCTCTCTCTCTCTCTGAGTGTGTGTGTGTGTGTGGATGTGGACATGCGCCTGTGTGTATCCAAACGCAATCCGTGCACAATGTCTGTGTGTGTGGATGGCGATCAGCACCAAGGACAGATCCACGCCATCTATGTATTTGTTACCTCACTGCAAAGGAATGAAGCGTGGTTGTTGGCTCATCTGTCTGTCTGTCTGTGTTTCTCACTTCGGTCTCTGTATTTTTTCTCTGTATATACTGCTAGAGGACGGTATATACAGGATTTGTATGTCTGATTGCCTTATGTTTTATATTACTTTACGTTACGTGATTATTTCTTTTTTTCTTTTTTTCCAGAAAAATGGTTATCTGATTTCTGCCGGGGCCCTCTGTGTTATATCCCTGCTCGCAACCCTCATGGTCACGTTTGGAGTTAAGGAGAGAAGAGGTGAGAAGATGTCAAATTTCCTCTTCCCGGCCACAGTGGTGCTCTCTCGTCTACATCGTACAAGCGACCACCTCTGTATAACGACCACGTGGTCGCTTAGATTATTTTTCCGTTGACTAAAGCATTATTAGAAATCCTGTATGAGGGCCTGTGTGAGGGGGCAGTGATTACTAAGTACGCAAAATGTTCGCCGCCGATTGCGAATTACATTAAAGTCTCAGAGCTGATTACGACTTTACGCTTTGCCGCTAATGTACTATTACGAATTACTTTGATTTTTTGGGAGGCTGCCTATGGATTACGAAGACTAAAAAGGCCTGATTACGCCTTACGGAAAAGGGCATGCAGCCCCCCCTATGTCCATCTGCCTACTGCAACCGATTTCTTCCATGAAGTCCCTTGCATTTCTTCCTCCACAGATATGGAAAGGGAAAACGAGCAAAATACAGACGAAAACTTCCTGAGGACTCTGAAAGGCGTGGTGACGTTTCGTCCGAACGTCTACTTCCTGATCTATGATGTCTGTCTATATTCTCCGACTGTGGTGAGTCAAACGTTTTACTACTAACATCTGTGTCCATAATATCACCAGGGTCCATAATATCGCCACCTTGAGAAAAAGTGTGCTTAAAGATATTTTTACTGCAACATACCCTAGGTATGTACATTTGAGGTGTGAAGGACTGCATACCAAAAGTATGTTGCAGTAAAAATATCTTAAAGCACACTGTTTCTCAAGGTGGCGATATTATGGACCCTGGTGATATTATGGACACGGATGTTACATGTAGTTTTCATCTGTCATCCATTTATTTATTCATTTCATCTTAAAACGGCTGGGTAGCCCATTTAGCTAGTATCAGTTGCTTTCCAATGGGGCCCAGCATACATTTACACAAGACGAGACATGATTACATTTAGTCAAGCAACAAAGAGATGGACAACAGTCAAATAAGGTCTGTGTAAGTCGTAGAACAGTCTGAAATACACAAACAAGCGAGGGGATGGCGTTCAGCACCAAGGACAGGTCTATATCCTTTCCTAGTATTTGGACATGTACAATTAGCCTCTACCAGGCTTCGGGAGGCGGCTGGAAAGAGTCGAAATCGGTCATAAAGAGAGATAACATGCCAGGGGAGTTTGCTGGGAGAGTTTGGGTGCGGCAAAATGTTATCTCCAGCAGACAAACTCCCCTGGCATCTTATCTCTCTATTTGGCCAATTTCTACTCTTTCCAGTCGCCTCCCGAAGCCTGGTGGAGGCTAATGTACAATGACAAGTAGTGGCGATTGGAGTGTTGTGTTTTGTAAGTTGTTTGTAGTGACCGTAACCAATCTAACGCCTCCTTGCAGATCTACGCAGGAGGCGCAGCCATCTATCTACAATTTTCACTCGATCTTCAGCACCAAGTGGCAAACATTCTTTTGATCACAGTGGTGAGTATTAGACAGGGTTTGTATCATTAAATACACTGCTCCGTTGCCCCTTCTGTGTTGTTTCTTCCTTATATGAAATAAATTTTGAAATCTTAGTCTCATCAACATTACCGAAAGTGACAGATTTTATACATGTATGTGTCATTATTTTGTATATAGTAGAGGGGATTCATTCCACAAGCGACACGCAGTCGTCCCTCAGTAAGACACCTGGAGCCGCATAGTTTCCGTTTAGAACTCTTATTCAGCCTGTCACAATGCACTATCCAAGGTATATAAGTGAGAACTTCATGTTACTTGTGTCATTTAGCCTCTGTACACTTGAAGAAGCCACACAGGCCAAACCGGCCGTGTGACAGGCTGAATAAAAGTTCTAAACGGGAACTATGCGGCTCCAGATGTCTTACTGAGGGACGACTGCGTGTGTGAGATGTCGGTTAGCTTGAGGAATGTATCCCCTCTACTATATATGTGTAATTATTTTCTCAGATATCTACCGTCGTCGCCCTGCCAGCGGTCGGTTTACTTGTGGACAAATGCGGAAAGAAGTCGGTGTACATAGTCATGGTGGCGGTAAGTACAGCGTTTTTTTTTTACATCTTCAAAGGCCGGGTTCGATCCCTGGTACCTGGATAGATAATGCGTCCATGGGGTAGGGAATTGACATCACTCCATCCGGGTGTAAAAATCCTTCCCGGTGTGAGTGGCCATGGTTCAAACCTTACAGTCCTACTTACGTAGCTTGTACATGTACGAACATGTACAAAACTGGTGTGTTACGCCGAAAGGCGGTTTACCGGTTATGCGAAGCAAACAAAAGCAAACAAAATGGGTACTTGACTTCAGTTGGTGAGGTAAAATGTGGGAGAGAGGGATCGGCTATATCATCTCATACCGTGACCTAGACACTTGCCCCTAAGGCCTCAAAATGGTATGGGACTACCATTACCGATTTAATCGTAACTCTTAACAAAAGCACGCATATTTAACTTGGGTATAACACACAAGTTCTTTTTGTGGCATCTCACTTGCCTTGTCAACCAGTGCAATGGCCAAGTGGGTAGAGTGCTCGCCTTGCATTCGGTAGGTCGTGCACGTGAGTTCGATCCCCGGCCGTGTCATACCAAAGACTTTAAAAATGGTACATACTGCTTTCTATGCTTAGCACTCAGCATTTGGGAAAGAGTATGCGAGTTGAACACACAACACTACCAGTGGACTAGCCCCCTGCTGTAGTGATTGCACAATTGTGTGGCCCAAGGGCTACTGAACCGGAGATGGGCGCCGCCCTATACACCACCTGGTGCGGGAGGGATTTTAACTTTAACTTTTGCCTGTGAATCACCTTTCTACAGCTGACCATCCCGTTCCTGATGAGTGCCGCGTTCGTCCCGCCCAGGAACCTCGCCGTTACCCTGGTACTCATCATCTTAATGGGAGCCCTCATGTCCGCCAACAGCTACATCCCGTGGTAAGTCAGACTTGAAAATGTAAAGGCATGTACAACATCCCACAGGAGAACCTTTACCACCTCTACCGGCCACAGTAAAGCTCTGGGACTCCCTCCCACAGGACATTGTTACTTTAAATGACAGAAACAATTTTAAGACCTGTGTTAACCGCCACCTTAACCGCCACCTTAATGTCCTTGAGACAGCTGCTAAGCTGAGACTCGGCATTACATAGAAAAAATCCCTTTTCCCCCACAGGACCATGCTGTCTGATCTCGTGGACGCGTATCAGCTGCAGACGAACCAGCGGCTGGACACCCTGTTCTTCAGCATGTATCTGCTCATGTGTCGGCTGGCTTCCGTCCTGGGACAGGCGGCGACAACCGTCGCACTGGTGTAAGTCTTCTCCTTCTTCCTTTCGTTGCCCACGTTCATAAGAGTTGAACATTCTGGCATGTTGAGGTCAGAGGTATCTGTAGAATTGTCCTATTCATTGTCCGTAATCATGTCCGTGTGTCCAAGCGTAAGTTCATTACCGGGAGGGGCAGTTGTTATGTAAGAGAATCTCAGTTCACAGCCATAGACACAGAAGTGGCTACTGTGGTGGCCTGGACCGCAGACTCAGATAGAGCATTCCAATCCTTTATCGTTCTGGGTAGGAAAGCTCACCCTCTGTACTGCGTTCTGTTGTTGATGCCACGAAGTCAGCTCAGAGAAACATAATCTCCAAGCAGATCCTAGGGTGACAAAAAGATCCTAGGGTATAAAATTGGCCAGGCAGTATCCATTGGCCAGAGAGGGTCCAGTTGGCCATCCAATTGGTGGGGGTAGCGCCAAAAAAGGGATCATATATATATAAAGGTAACGATCTTCCCCATCAACCTCTGCTTGGAGAGTAAGAGAAACATACATGCATACGTGACTGTATAGCTTTTGATGTGGAAACAGTCGCAATGCAAAAGCAAATAATAGCTAAGAAACACAGCCAATATCTTATTTATATTATATCTATAGTGCGGAAATGACTTTCTTTGCAACAGCAAAACATTCACATGATCGACACCGACCCCCCTCCTCAGCAATGTACGTAGAAACATCAGATAGATCTGTACACTATACATTATCTACCCTTTTGAGATTTAACCTATTGTACCAGTGTTACTTTGTAAACCAAGCTTGTTTCTTACAATATTCAGACGACACAAGATACATGTAAAAGTGAATATACGTACATTGTTTAGTGTACAAATTATAAGGGTCAATATTTTATCGTCCATTGCAGAATCGGCGGCTACGTAACTGGTCAGTGTACTCAGCCCACGTCCGTCGACACGTCACTTAGAATTCTGATGTCTGCCGTTCCCACTGGATTGTCTCTGATTGGTCTAGGGTTTCTAATTATTTATCCAATCAACGAGCGGGTAATAAAGGAAAACAAGGCGGCCTTAGAAGAAATGTACGTGTTCGTTTTCAATCTTGTTTTGTGATTTCTGTTTGTTTGTTTGTGAAACTTGGTGGTGTCAGATGCTTTCTTCTACATATTCAGTCCTTCTATTGGTTTCCATGATGATCAGTTGTTTGAAATCTAGCTAGCTATAGACAAGAACTGTCGTAAATTCATGTCTACCTTTTACTTCACTTTATCCTTACTTACTTTAAGTAGTTCTACTTATTTCTTACTCTTACAAAGTCAAGCTACTATGTGGTAATAATCAATTTTTGCTTATTATTCTTCTACAGGACTGCTTCTCTTCAAGAAATGAAGGCTCCCATTGCGAGTAAATGAGACCTACAGTAACTAAAGGAAAGGAGACCATCCTACATTACACCCTGGACTACTTGTAAACTTTAAACGTTTGACATGTTTGATGTGAATCAAATGTAAAGAGATCGGAGGGAATCGAGGGTTAGAAAATGATTGAATTAGATGGGGAGTTTTCTGTATCTGTATTGGTATAGCCGGTATAACCGCCCTACGGCGTAACACACCAGCTTCGCAGGCACGCGGCGCGGCGGCAGCTAGCTATATCATACCGAACGACTTGTTACACTTAATCTTTGCACATTTAATTGCAGGAGTTGTTTAAAGCTTTCTAGTGATGATGCCCTAACTGTGCTTGGTGGCAATGAGTTCCAGTCTACGATAGTTCTGGGGAGAATAGGTTTTAGAATAGGTATGTGTTTGTGTGTGAATCTTTGTGCGTCGTTGAGGGGAAGATAAGCTTTTGCTAAATTTACCAAAGATAATGTTTTCATGGATTAGTCATTAACTAATGTATTCTATTTAAATGTAGCTGTAAATACGTAGTCTAAACACCGGTCTTTCGCACAGACATGAATCCGATGTATTCTATATAATTTTTGCGATCATGTAGTACATAAGTTGCCAAATTGAAAAAATAAAATAAATTCAAAATTGTATTTCTCTCGTAGTTGTTTTTATGGTTTACTGCAGTGACCAGATAGATTGGATTTTTTTTCACAACACTTCCCTGTTGCATATTTCGAGTACAACTGTTGTAGTGAGAGGACGACATGGGGGTGGATGGCGTTCAGCACCAAGGACAGACCCACACCTTCTTTTGTTACTTAATCAAAGGCAGCGCTGTTTGTTAATGCCCTGCTCTGTCACACACATACTCAATGAAACAGAAAGGCTATTACTGCCTAGACATCAGAAAAACCTTTTTCAGAACGATTCAAGATTTATTGCAAGTCATATTCTCTGATTTCTGTGTATACGCAGACCAACGGATAGCCACTCCATGAAGCATGTATGTAGAACAACTGATTATAGATGTAAATTGTAATTTAAGACAGCATGTTGACTTACGTAGTAGCTAGCACATGCAGGCCGTATTCTGCCTGGCACTGGCCTCTCACCATGTGCCTATAGCTAGGCATCAGAAAAAAACATTTCCAGAACGCTACAAGATTGATGTGTATACGCAGACCAAGCTCGTGTGTGGAACTACTGGCTTTATTAAAATGAATTGTGATTTAAGACAGCACACGCCGTATTCTGCCGGGCGCTGGCCTCTCACTATGTGCCTATAGCTAGACATCAGAAAAAAAATTATTGCAATTCATTCGCTAATTAGTGTGTGTACGCAGACCAACGCATGAAGCTCGTGTGTGGAAGTACTGGCTTTATTAAAATGAATTGTGATTTAAGACAGCACAGGCCGTATTCTGTCGGACACTGGCCTCTCCAAACGGCGATACCGGCAGGACCTACTGACCGAAAAGCTTCTTCAGGAAGTTCGGGACGCGATTCTTCTTCACAGCCTCCTTTTGTCCATCTTTCGCCTCTGTGGAATGAGTAACACACGGCATTCAGCACCAAGGACAGGTCCACAGGTAACACTTTTTGTACCGGTTTTTAAAAAGTCATGATGGGCTATACAATCTACAAAACGTCGACGTGAAAACGGATTGAAAGCTCCTACATAATGCTACTTACAATTTGTTATCACTTTATATTCTGCTAATATCTGCTATTACACTCAGCTGGTAGACTAATCCAGTAGCTTCCCACGTGGGAAACGTAGAGTGGGACGATCACATACTAGTACTACACAAATTTGTCCATGTGAGAGAAAGACACTGGTCTCGCAGAGACTGCTCTAGTGTGCGCCATGAGGGACAGGGGAGTGTTGGAGTTACTTTATCAAGTGTACCTCACCGGATTATAATCCGGAGGCATGCTGCCGCTGATGATGATATGATCTACGAACTTCCAGAAGTTGTATTCTTCCTGACAGAACCGGCAAGTTAGACTTACCGAGGCAGCTGACGCCGACGTCCTCGTGGTGTCCGCAGTTAGTGACGCCCCAGCCGGCGTTAGCGCAGTACTGCAGCGAGCTCTCCGTGCCCACACACGTCACCTCGTCCAGCCAGATCGGGCCCTAGGGCAGCAAATTACATCTTTGTTTGAATGAAAGCTCATCTGTGTTGGTAGAATCCATAGTTATAGAGTTCGAACTCGTTCCAACACAAAGAAGAAACTTACCATAAATGGTAATACTATACATCTTTGTTTGTTTGTTTCGCATAACCGGTAAACCGCCTTTAGGCCCTATGTAATCAAATTCAATCTTCGTGTGTTTTTTTTGGGGGGGGGGTGAAAAAAATCCAGTGCAAAAGGGAAAGTCCAGTAAAAAAAGCATAAAAAGACGCCAAAAATAACCCGAAACCCAAACCTCTGCTCGGAGAGTATTTATACACCTGTTTTGCCCTCCCTTCCACTTGTTTATTTGTACTTGTGGCAAATTCACAAATTCAAATAAACAAACAAACAAATAAACAAACCTCGCCCGGCTCGAAGTAGGCGTCGGGGTAGAACTGCAGGGACCCGGGGAAGCCGAGCTCCCGGCACACCACATCCGCGTCCTCCTTGCCGAAGTTATCGTCGCACACGGACCCCCACTGCCCGTTATAGAACACCTCCACACGGCCGAACGACTGGCCGCCAACAAGCCGGATCTGATAATCTGTAAACAAAAAGGAAAACTTTATATTGCGCGTCAGTTGCACATGGTACAATGTATGGCAACAGCAATTGAACAAAGGACTACAAACCAATGAGGTTATATGGGAGACCCTTACAACTTCCTTGCTCAAACACATTCATATGATCAGACAAGAGTATAAATCCCCCTGGTATAAAATTGCAACATGATGTAACCCAACACTAGTTAGAAGAAGATAAGGAAACAGAGCAAAACCAATACGTAAGCAAAGCAGCAGTGATGTTTGAAATGCACAACACAAAGACCGACACAAACCTGGGATGGGAGCGCTTGTCTGCACATCCTGACCCCCATCTAAAGACAAAATTAAAAGACACAAGAAGATAAGAAGCCCCATTCCATTCAAATGAACCAAGTCCACAAAAACTGCAGAAGGATCTATCTGTCTCTCAAAACTTGGAGTACATTCACCGTACAATTGTTTCATCAATCAATCACAATCACACACACACACACAATCACACACACACTTGTTTAAATGCTGTAATAAAAGATAAACCCTGACCGCCACACGGTTGCAGGTCGCAGTACTCCCAGCGCACATTAGTGTCCATGGTGTAACACCAGGGCCGCGCGGCGCCGTCACACACACACACACACACACACACACACACACACAGACACACACACACACACATTCATTCGTTCGTTCGTTCGTTCATTCATTCATAGATTCTCACCACCGCAGGGCTGCAGGTTGCAGTACTCCCAGCGCACGTTGTTGTCCATGGTGTAACACCAGGGCCGCGCGGCGCCGTCAGGGTTGCGGCAGTAGTTCTCCTCCAGCCCGGCCTCCGGGTACGACTCGGCGTCGAACACGTGCAGGTGGGGCCGCTGCTGGTCCCAGCGCTGGCAGTCGTACCCGGACACCGTGGTGTTGGCCGTGCCGCGATACTTGTCGCCGTTCCCGGTGTAACAGTTCCCGACTGCGGAGGGAGGAACAACAACATCACAAAATTACGGTTTTTGGTTAGTCTCTACCAGGCTTCGGGAGGCGGCTGGAAAGAGTAGAAATCAGCCAAATAGAAAGATAGCATGCCAAGGGAGTTGGTTAGCTCTAGAGTACAGTTTGCCGCTCCCTTGGCATGTTATCTCTCTATCTAGATCTGGTTGATTTCTTCTCTTTCCAGCCGCGTCCAGAAGCCTGGTAGAGGCTAGTTCTTGGTGGCAAATGTGCAGATGTTGTCACATTGCCGCACCAAATGTAGTAGCGCTGGCAGTCGTACCCGGACACCGTGGTGTTGGCCGTGCCGCGGTACTTGTCGCCGTTCCCGGTGTAACAGGACCCAACTGAGGAGGAACAACAACAACACAAAATTACGGTTTTTGGTTAGTCCCTACCAGGCTTTCGGGAGGCGGCTGGAAAGAGTAGAAATCAGCCAAATAGAAAGATAGCATGCCAAGGGAGTTGGTTAGCTCTAGAGTACAGTTTGCCGCTCCCTTGGCATGTTATCCCTCTATCTGGTTGATTTCTACTCTTTCCAGCCGCGTCCAGAAGCCTGGTAGAGGCTAGTTCTTGGTGGCAAATGTGCAGATGTTGTCACATTGCCGCACCAAATGTAGTAGCGCTGGCAGTCGTACCCGGACACCGTGGTGTTGGCCGTGCCGCGGTACTTGTCGCCGTTCCCGCTGTAACACGACCCGACTGGGGAGGAACAGTGTCGTCATGGGGTGAGATCACCACACAATGCAATGTAGATATGCCTGTAGCGTACGTAAGTCTTAAACCTTCGAAAACGAAGCCAAGCCGAGATGGACGTAAGTCTTAATTCAGAAATACATAATAATTAAGTAGAAACAAGAATATTTACCATCGACAGGACCATCCGAGGTGTCAATGACAATCGGGTCATCTGCAACATAGAAAAGTCAGCACGTGTAATTTTTCACCATAAACCACGCGAGAGTTCAGTTATCTTCTTTGAAGTATGCAGAAATATGGGATGGGACGTAAAGCTGGAGGTCATGTGTTTAAGAAGAGCAACACCTAAACATTATTTAAAGTACCCACCACAACTTATACACAATGAATAGGTGTAGATGTCGGTGAATGGATCAAACCTATTAGTCCGGTCGTACGCAGCTTGTACCTACTGTACAAAACCGGTGTTTTACGCCTAAAGGTGGACTATAAGTCTACAAAACAAACAGACAAACAAAAAAACAAACCTTTGTTGATCTCGCAGATGTAGTAGTTCAGCTGGGCACAGCTCTGGTCGTTCCAGGCCTGCTGATAGCTCCCCTGCATCTCTACACAGTCCTCGTTCCCAGAGGAGTCGTTGGGCTCGCCAACAATCCAGTAGCTGAAATGCAGGACGCATAGAAAGGTTGGTACATCGATGACGGTTAGACATCCAGGTAATGAGATATGCCAAAAAGCAGTACAGTTACTCAAGCAACTGGATATGAGTTTCAAAATCATATCCAGTTGCTTGATTGTGAAAATCTACTGAGTAACTGCTTTTAGTTATGTTCGCTAGAACTTTATGTACATGTTTTCGGCAGCGTTTGGAACGTATTTTGGTTGTGGTTGATCACACAACTCAAGAAGCTATGGGTGGACTGTAGCGTAAGATTTGGCGTGCAGTTAGGTCTTGACCAGTCGAAGGTCGTACTAGATTTTGATTGCCTGGCCCAACAAATTCTCCATCATTCTTGTTGACTGATTCTGTTGGTATTGTACGTCATGTACTCACCTAACAGTGAGGGGGTTTCCGTTACTCCAGCTGAAGCTGGTCTCAGTTCCGAGATCATTCAGACCGATCCACCACCACGGCTGGTAATAGTCCACCTGCGTCTGCAGCCAAGTCTGGAGAGAGAGAGAGACATTGGAAAGATTTGATTCCTAGAAATAGAGCAACACATATACAAGATGCAATGTCTTTATTAGTTTGTCGCTTTTTTTTAACCAATGTACGTACAGGTTTATATAGCCTTTTACAAGTTTATACAGCCTTGGATATACTGGCTCAAGTCGGAAATGCCGACAAAATAAAAAGCTCGACAAAACGCGTAAATCTTTAAAACCTTCCAAAACAGGCCCTAAATTCTGGTTTGACAATACAAAAAAAATTCTACTTCACTAGGCAGAAGGCTGAGAGAACATTTTGCCACTCTAAATTAGATAGTGGACTTCAAAGAACGTAGCGCACCCCCCCCCCCAGGCTTCGGGAGCGGCAAAATGTACTCTCTACTCTAGCTGACCAACTCCCCTGGTATGTCTTTCTGACTGATTTCTACTCTATCCAGGCGCTTCCCGAAGCCTGGTAGAGACTAACTGAAAAAGCCATCTACCAACTTTTCATATACTACAGTAGTCTTCTGTGATTTAGTATGTAGATTAAGGTACTTTCATTTGTACCCAATGTAAATTTCTTTTTTGTGCTAAATGTGTGTTTTACCATGTTATCTGTTGTATATGTGTTTTTATTTCTGTATGTACCCTGGAAGATTAGCCTTTTAGGCTAAAGTGCATCGAAATAAAGAGAACTCAGACGTACGTGTTCGGCTGCGGAGTCTACGCTGACGAGCCCTGCTCCCTGACTGCGGCAGTCGTCCCGCGCCTCCTGCCATGACTTCTGCACCTGCACGAACTTGTAGCACGAGCTGGAGGTGGCCGTCCAGCCGCTGGGGCACGCTGTGGAGAATTAAAAGCCATGTAAACACCCTTCAGGTAATACATTAGCCTGCCATCCTGTCTGTTTGTGCTCTAGTTCGTTGCCGAAAGTTTTCGGAATGGGTACGAAGGTTTTCGGCAGCGGGCTAGAGCACTAGAAGACGGGATTTCAGGCTAGGTACGAGTCCATAGCACATGTCGCCTGCAGGCGGTTTTCAATGAGTCCTGGAGGGAGAATCCCTCGTAACAACATATGATCCTGATGAAAACAACGGTCGACTGAAATACATACATGCATCTTCATAGATCAATTTACAGTTTCCCGTTTTAGGATACAAATTGTGTTCATATCAGAGGATTTTAACTATAAAATAGTAATTTCTCAAAACTGCCGATCTTACGGATGCAGAAGCCTTCGGTCAGTTGGACATCGTCAATAGCGATGTTAGTGTTGGGGTTGGTTCCGCGCTCGGCCTCGAAGAGAACCTAGAGAACACAACAACTACGTGGTGAGAAGATTTTGTTTTGTGTGCGATGGTACAGAGACAGAAGTGAAGGGAAAGCTGGAAATCTACATTGTCATGGTCGTATGTAGGTTCCTTCGGTAGGGTTACTTAGCCACCGTTTAAGATTTTTCTTTTCATGGTGACTGTATCAAAACATGTCAGATTCGGTGCTTCAGTAGTAGCAATTGCTGGGCTACATGATCAAAGCTTTTTGTGTCGGTTATTGTATAATGAAATATTATCGGGTATCACACTACTCCCATCTTGACCTTGAACTCATGTCTGACGTAATGTCTGGAATTCAAACATACTAACTCCACATATACCAACGCCACCCAAAAACAATACTTTCGTCGTTTCGTTTTTTCTTACCCTGAAGCTCCCCGCCTCCACCTCGATCTCGGCTTTGAGCCAGGTGTTTGTGTTGTTTCCTGTGGAGCTGAAGATGGTGGTCTTCCCGCGCGGCCCCTCCACGTGCACATTCAGCGTCCCGATCTCGTGTCCGTAGATATGGTAGACGAACCTAGGTAGTAGTAGACTGGTTTATTATTTGCAACACACATACCATTGTAGCTGTACATGGCTGAATTGGGGCATGATACATATTAGAATTCATCATTAATTTTTCCTCGTTTAGGAGGTAGCCAACTAGAGAAGTTGGGAGATTTAGCTACAGACATTGCACAGTTCACACAGAGGTTACGGCGTCTCAGGTACAATGGAGTAAGTGACAGTTGCTCTAGTGCTTTGCTTTGTCATAACTAATATAATTTCGCCAGTAGGTAGACGTCAGCATCAAGTTCATATACTCATGAGTGTGATCATTTTGATTGGGTCTATAAGTCTGTACTTGTAACATTATTTGTATATAATTGTGTTGCTGTTTTTTGCGACAGTCCTTTTAAAAGTGTGTGCCAGGGGATGTCTGAAAACCAGATCCGTAGATCTGAGATAACTCTGGTTATTAGAATAAATAAACTTAAAACTTGAGACGAACCGCAGGCAGGCGTGGGTGTACACGTCGATGGTCGGGCTGATCAGGCTGGTCTTGTCGCCGGGGTTGGGGTGGTGTTCCGCCTGCGTCATCATGTAGTATCCTGGAAAGGTAGACACACAGAATTTGCAGAACGCGACATCATAGCTTTCAGTAGAGACGTCCTTGGTACAAATGGGACGTCTACGTCTACATGACAACGTAGATAGATATTACCATTTTGTTAAACAAAACCTTCAGAACAAACACGGTAAAATACTAGTACTCAATACAGTTCTTTTTTTCATAGACTAACGATACCATGTTATCATTTTTATCAATGACGATGATGTTTATTGCAAATTCATGCCCGAGGGCTAATTGCATAAAGACATTAACAAGAAAAATGTGATGATATAAGACTATTTGCTAACATGAACTTCTACGTGTACGATATACTTATCAAACCTACTAACTTCAAGAGATTAAAAAGAAGAATTTCAGGGCCAAAAATTTTAAACCTACTCCTCTGTCCGGACAAGCATTCACTGAAATCCACTCACAGTTTCGTACTCGGAAGAAAAGATCATCAACGTTAGGAAGCCACTTACCTGATCCTGAGGTGTGGTCGGCCAGCGGTCCGTTGTTGGACTGAGGGGTCCACCCCTGGCGCCTGGTCCAGTAAAAGTCAGACGTGCTGTCGTTCGTGTACCCGCACACGTCCGTGTCAAAGTCACAGTCGATCCTCGCCGCCTCTGGAAACGAAAAAAGATTCCTGGTACTGTTTTAGCCTCCTGTGAGGGTGAGTGTTTTAATACAATGTAGTTGGTTTTGTAGAATTTGTTCTTTTGTCGGCCATCGGCATCGTACAGCCAACCGGCCATCGTAGGACAGACCCGCCTAGGCGGTTGGTTGTCCGATGCCCGGAAAAAGAGCGCGTTAATATATTATTAACTAGAGTTCCACGATCTCATACCTTCGCCAAATGATGTTAGCCTTTATGAATAAGAAATATACTAATCACCCTGATTATGCAAATAGGATCCTCAATTGCATGAATTATATCAGTCTGTTGATCATATTCTCCACCGAAAGACAGTCTTATCTTAACAAAGAATGCCATTTTCTCATAAATTATGCAAATGTGGTCCTTATTTGAATAAGTTATGTTTAATTATGTTCACCTTCACTTAACTTTCAAACACCCCAAGTATGAAATTCCAGGCAGTTACCACTACGCAATTATAACATTTTCTCATTAATTATGCAAATTAAGTCTTCATTTGCATAATCAATATTTGCCTGTGTTTCTCTCGTTCTTAATAACATATGTTACAAGCTTGAACTTCCTATCATGGAATGCAGCTGATTTATAGAATTTCCTCATTAATTATGCAAATTACATCAATATTCGCATAATTGTAATATCATTATGTCAAGCATCATTTAAGCTACCTACATACCAAAAATCACGATGATCCATCAATCGGTTCTTGAGTTATCCTCTTTTAAACATTTGTCCTTTAAACCCCCCTGCAGTTCTAGAACAAGCCGCTAGGGGGCCTGAAATCACGTCACTTCTTCCCGGGCACAAGAGCTACCTACCATCCAAATTTCATCACCATAGCATGTCTGGATCTTGAGATATCAAAACCGGAAGTTCAGCTGCAGTACCATAACAAGCCGCTAGGGGGCCCAAAATCCAATCATTTTGAGGTCTCATCAAGACCTACCCATCTACCAAGTATCAAGACAATCCATCAAGGCCTTCTCAAGTTATCGTGTTTACAGACACACACACACATACACGAACGCCCCTGAAAACATAACCTTCTTGGCGAAGGTAATAACAATAACGTTACTACAAAACCTCGGAGGTCTGCGCAGTAGACTTTACTGTTTTGGGTATCCGTGAATGTATTGGAAATACCTGATTGACTTTTATATCATACGATTGTTTGACATAACTTGCTCCTCCCACAATTGAACCGTCAGCCATGCTAGCACCTTCTTGAGAAGTAAAAACAAAAGTCCTCAGTTTTCTTACCCAGCCTGATCTCACAGATGTAGCGGTTCTGGTTGGTGCAGGGGGCGTCGTTCCACGTGGTGCCGCCGATTTCCGCACAGTCCTCATCGCCGCCGGAGTTATTCGGCTCGCCGTAGTTCCAGTAGCTTTAACAGATACACAGCATTTCTTACAGATGTATGAAAAGTTTGAGGGATCTCTCAAGTACTATCATGAATGTTCCTCATCAGGGGACATCAAGATCTTTAAAGTAGCATCCCCTACTTTTCGTCAGTGACTTTTACTGACGATACGTTGCTGGAGTAACAATATTCTGTATCTGCATTATAGTATAGCCTGTATAACCACCCTTCGGCGTAACACATCAGCTTCTGTATCAGTATAGCCTGTATAACCGCCCTTCGGCGTAACACACCAGCGTCGCAGGCACGCGGCGCGGCGGCAGCTAGCTACATCACACCGAACGACTTGTTACACTCAATCTTTGCACATTTAATGGCAGCAGTTGTTTAAAGCTTTCTAGTGATGATGCCCCAACTGTGCTTGGTGGCAAAGAGTTCCACTCTACGATAGTTCTTGGGAAATACGAGTTTTTGAACACCTCAATTCTTGGTTGATAACTCTGATATTTGAAGGCATTTAATGTTACTCATATATCTCATTACCTGGATGTCTAACTTTCATCGATGTGTCAGTAGTGTACTTACGTGACGGTGACCGGGCTCCTGTCGGACCAGACGAAGTTCCCCTCGCCGGCCTGGTCGTGCAGCCCGATCCAGTACTGCGGGAACGACCCCAGCGTCTGACCAAGGATCCAGTTCTACACACAGGCAGCGGAAGGTGTCAGTTATGTTGGGATACTCATGGTTTTCATTGATAATCCGTTCCTTTCTTCCTATTCTTAAGAAACCCAGTGGTAGAGCCTGTGACTCGCCTAGAGTACGACTTTCTCTGCTCAGCACTCAGAACTTATGAGGAAGTGGGCACACCACTACCAGTATATATACCACTATACGTATACGTAGTACTACTTCAGAGTCGTGTGGCCCAAAGAAACGGAGATGGGCACCGTCCTATAGAATGTCCTATGAATTTAGATAAATTCTACACTGTCCCAAACATGAAATCAATGAATACCATAAAACAAACAAACAAACAAACAAACAAACAAACAAACAAACAAACAAACAAACAAACCACGTATGGCCATCCCTCGTGACCTCTATGAAAAGCGAACTGCAGGCATGCAGATTTGGTCTTCTTATGAATAAAGAATGTTTCCAACAAACAAACAAACAAACCCTCCACGTACCCACTCGGCGTCGGAGTTGACGCTGACGAGGTCCCCTCCCCGCCGCTGACAGTCGACCCTAGCGGTGGCCCAGGGTTTGAGGGTCTGCTGGAACAGGTAGCAGGAGGACAGGCCGCCGGTCCAGCCGTCAGGACACGCGTGGGTGAACTGGGAGGCTAGACAGGGACAACAGGCAGGGGGAAATGAGATTGTATGTAGTTCTCAATCCTAGACGCGGTGAGATGTCATTGGAAAAAATGTAGCCTCTACCAGGTTTCTGGAGGTGGCTAGAAATTGGCCAAATAGAGAGAGATAACATACCGTGGGAGCTGGTCCGCTATAAAGTACAGTTTGCCGCAAACTCCCCTGGCATGTTATTTTTCTCTCTCTATCTGGCCAATTTTCACTCTTTCCAGCTGTCTCCCGAAGCCTGGAAGAGGCTAGGAAAAAGGCACTACATGAAAGGTGGAAGTTGCCAATGATAATAAATACCAGATAACCCTGACGTTACCTAGCTCAATGGTGGCGTTACAGGTCCTGTCGGCCCACAGCTGGTGAGGGAAGATGGGCGGGGGAGCGGTGTCGCTCATCACACCTGGAAAAAAACAACAAAAATATCATGAGTATTTCCGTCACCTCTCTCTACCTAACGGCTCGGCCACAGTCGTACAAAACGTCGTGCAAAATGTGCCTGCGTCTTATTACGGACATGTTTGTCTTAAGTCTTTGTCGATGATGAAAAATTCTGAGAAAATTCTACGGCATCAAAATCCTACGACGAATGCGACAACACCGTTAGTCTGGGAGAGTCACGATGCTAGGAAGCGCATTTCAACAGCTATACATACATTTATGCAGAGTTTTGAAACATTTTTGAAGAATTCTAGCCTGGGTGCCAACCTCCTTAGTTTCCGCCGGCTCCCTAATGTCGCTGGCTACCACGGAAACAGCCGGAGGAAGCTAGAAGAACTCTACTATGATCTTAACTTCCTACGACGTAAATGTCTAGTGTTAAAAGTTCAAGGGTTAGGTGTAACAAGTCGATCGGTGTAATGTAGCCAGCTACCGCCGCGCCGCGTGCCTGCGAATCTGGTGTGTTACGCCGAAAGGCGGTTATACCGGCTATACAGATGCAGAAGCTGGTGTGTTACGCCGAAGGGTGGTTATACCGGCTATACAGACACAGAAGCTGGTGTGTTACGCCGAAGGGCAGTTATACCGGCTATACAGATACAGATACAGACTTACTGGCGTATCTAAGCCTGAATCCGGGCGCGGTGACGGACGAGTCGGTGGTGAACTCCAGTTTGACGAACGAGCCGTCGGTGGTGTAGCTGCAGCCGAGACCTGCGTCCAGCTTACACGTGTAACTGCGGTGGAGGGGAAATACACAATGCAATCTTTTCAAAGTCTAGGTCTTTGAGAGTAGTGAATGGCCGAGTGGCTACCCTAGTGGATACGAGATTGAGAGGTTCGATTCCTGTCATTCATCGCTAGACGTTGTGTCCTCACTTTCCTCACTCCTCCCAGGTGTAAAACGAGTATTTGACGTTTGGGATGTAAATTCACTTGAAGTGAAACTGTATCGGTGCCGCAGTCCAATACCGAGCCTTAGGCACAGTGAATCAACAACACACTGCCTCAAAAAGGCTATGGGACTGCCTTTACCCTTGCCTTCTTTTACAGGTACTGTTAAAAGGAAATTGATCTCAACCTAGCTCTTTTCGATCCGAGAAGCACAATGAACAGTGGCAGTGGATCTGGACCACGGCTGGACTGTGACCCTTTACGGTAGCGTGCATGTCGGATAAGCGTCAATAGCCCGGATTAGAACCTCTTTCTGATCTTTCATTATCCAACTCACGTGTGATGCTTGTCTCCGTCGGTGATGATGAGGAAGTCGTAGTCGCACTCGACGTCGAACTCCTCGAACCAGATGACGACGGGGGCGTGGTCCGGGTTCTCGATGGTCCAGACGCAGGCGTGGTTGTTGCCGTACTGTGCGGGGTACCCCGGGCTCTCGATCACTCCTTCCGCCGTCGTAAGAGCCTCGCCGCACGTCGGTGGGCCTCCGGCTGTACGTGTGTGGAAGATGACACAAAAAATGACAGTGAACCTCTCTACTTAAAGTAGACCATCTCTACTTAAAGTAACGTCCTGTTGCCGTACTGTGCGGGGTAGCCCGGGCTCTCGATCACTCCCTCCGCGGTCGTCAGAGCCTCGCCGCATGTCGGCGGACCACCGGCTGTTGGTAAGGTGACAAGGATGAAAATAGATGACAAATTAAGCAGATCTTTCGGTGGCAAAGTCGTAACCTACCGGCAAGACAATATCTGGTGGCCAATTGGATACTATCTTGCCAATTAGATAGTGTCTTGCCAGTTGGTTACAACTTTGCCAAAAAGATCTGCTTGTTACTTTAATGGTAATGGCGATTAATGTCTCGCTGAATGTTGGACTGCCTACACTATAGCCTTCGTCAGTAAGTCAGTATCAAATGGTTAGTCACTTTGGACAGGTGGATTCCAACATGTGACTTCAGCAAGCGCCAGGAAGTTTTATACTGGCCCCACCTCTGTTAAGTGCTGGTTGACCACCAACACATGTACAGATTAGTGTATTTCATTACAAATTCAACAGAAGAGCTTACCATATGTAAAGTCCGGCCACTTTCATTATATGTTCGCTACACATTTTGTATTTTGTTACTTCAACCTGTATTATGTATGTTTTATGTTCTTGAGCAAAGGATTTTATAAGCAATTTACGTGCTTGCTATTCCAGTGCTCATAAATCCATGTGAATAAGATAGATAAATAAAGTTCAGAAAGCACTGTTTGGCTTGTTTCCACCTGTATCAATCTCACAGATGTACTGTGCGGTCCCAAAGCAGGAGGCGTCGTTCCAGTTGTAGCCGGACAGCTGAACACAGTCCTCCTCTCCGTTGTTGTTCGGCTCGCCGTAGTTCCAGCTCCTGGTGGGGTCATAAACATCAACACGATTAACAAACCTGTGAATACTTAACATGTGCGATGCCATGTGTGTAGACTAAGTGCAATATACTTCATGTACGGAAGGCACACGGAAGCCTTTGGCTACGGTAACGCATTTTTAAAAATCAATGAACCACTTTTGATTTGATTTAATTTTGATGCAGACGACGTTTAGTAGATCTGATAGGCCAATGCGTTTTCAAAGACACTATTCGAGAGGTTTCCTTGTCATCGTTAACGTTCATACCATTTTACATGTATGTTTAGAACTTCAGAAATCGAGTGAGATAGATATCACCACAGAGGTGGCAGAAAGATGCAGTACAAAACGTTTCATGGCCGTATACAACTGTGTCACTTCGGCTTGCTCGCTAAGGCTTGCATCTTTCTTACACATGAAAGAGAAGCAACTGATGTAGACTACAGATCTCTAGACCATCCCTGAGATGTCAGTGTTTTGAAAGGAGAGAGCGACCTAAACTAGAACTGCAAAGGATATTCATACCCGACCGAAGGAATCTACTCTACTCTTCCTTCTGTTTCAAGTGTAGATTTGTCACACTTACGTGTAAGTGAGCGGGGTTCCGTCCACCCAAATGAAGATGCCCTCCGCCCCGGTGTCGTGCAGACCGATCCAGTACGGCTGGTAGTCATAGTTCGTTAGGCCCTGGATAAAGGTCTGGTAAAAAAAAAGGTACCATTCGGTAAAAACATCGGGGCGCGCCAACCTTCTCTCAACTGGAACGGGGGGGGCGGTATCGACTTCTCACAACCTTTGACCCATTTTTAAAGTTAAAACTTTTGGTCCAACACAAAAAATTCTCTCACCTAGAGCTTTCGACCAGTCACTCTGGTCTTCCTCAGTAGACTGACCCAGTGAAGCTTGTCACGTGGCTTCTTTGAAGTGTGACGTCAACACTGGGTCAAAGGTATCTGGTAGACGATGTCTACTGACGAAGACCAGAGTGACTGGTCGAATGCTCTAGGTGAGAGAATTTTTTGTGTTGGACCAAAAGTTTTAACTTTAAACATGTAACTACCAACACTTTCATGATAGTATAAGAAGTGACTTTGACCCATTGCTGACGTCACATGTGCAAAAAGTCACGCGTCATAAGCGATCGCGTCTGATAGTTTAAGAAAACTGCAAGTAAGTAAGTCGGTCGCAAAATTCCGGTAAGTCCAATCTTATGAGTTTGATTACAGATGGAGAACAGTTTAACTTTTCCATGGTGTAATTACCAACTCTGATGAACATTCATGCAAGATCTCGTCCAGCCTCTGGCATAACAGTTTCTCCTGCATAACAACTGCCCCTTCCGGTAATGAATTTACGCCTGGACACAAGGACATGATTACGGACAATGAATATATAGGATAATTCTGCAGATACCTCTGACCTCTACATGCCGGAATGTTTCAACTCCTGTGAACGTGGGCATTAACAGGGAAGAAGAAGAGAAGAGAAGTGGGGCCGTGTGGAGTATACGTAGCGGCAGAGTGCTCGACTCGGAACCTAGAGGTCCCGGGTTCGAGTCCTAACATGCCACCAATCTTGTGCCCTTGGGAAAGGCACTTTACACGACTTTCCTCACTTCGCTCAGGTGAAAATGAGTATTGTATTGTCCTGTGCGTTGGCGGCGGCATTGATTTAAGTTTGAAAAACTTGAGTGTGCCGTCACCACGTCTTGTGATTACATGTTGGAAATTATTTAAAAAAAAAGAAGAGAAGGAGAAGCCTACCTCATCTTCATAGGATGCGATGGTGGCCAGATGCCCTCCCTTGGCGACACAGTCGTCGCTCGCCTGCTGCCACGTCAGGTAGTTCCTCACCACCAGGAAGCAGGAGGACGAGCCGGTGGACCAGGTGGGCGGGCAGCCGACTGGAGGAGCGTTCGGGTCTGCGGATAGGACAGGCGGGCGGGATTAGAGACGTACGTCCGTGAACAGTAGATAGCTTTAAGCTTGGGCTGGCCCAGTACATGGGCCATCCCTGCCCCCAGATGTAATCAGGACTTCAAGTGCGGCCATGTAAATAGAGTATAAGCACAATTTCGGTTTTTGCACTTTGTTGTTTTCATGTTGTTCTTTTCAGCACCATCACCCCACCGGCCGCACTTAGCCGTGCACCCAGCACCCTGGACTGTTTACAGGGCCTTCATGGACCAGTTTCTCTGCTCCAGGCCCAACAAGCCCCCAAGGAAATACCACACGCCCCCCCCCCCCCCCAGTTAGGCCCTGGCTAACTCCGGGCGTAGCGTGCTATATATACTAGTGCGTTAATTTTTTATCACGTCAGTTAAATATGCCATCAGTATAAGTAAAGAGTAACTCACCGGTAGTGGTTGGAGGAGCAGGTGTGGTCGCTGTGGAGAAGACCAGATATAATGAACAAACAGACCACGCTTTCTCAGAGATGTATCAGAACACTACAGAACACTACTACTCATCATCTCTCATCACTTGATAATCAATGACCATTGGAAAGTGTCAAACGTGTATGTCGTGTCATTTGAACATTACAAAATTAAGTTGATATCACCGACAGCTGTACCATAAGCTGAAGCTCATTGTACGGCCACATCATTCAACTAAAAGTAGACAGATACATTTATGTAACGATTAAGCGCGTCTTTTCAGAACACTATTTTAAACAATGGATTCTTCTATTCTTGTTACCAAGTTATTTAACTTAAGTGCATTTGGCCCGTGTAGGGCGTGAACATGCAAATAAAGTTCATTGTCATTCATTGTCATTTAAAACAACGGGCTCTTCGGTAAACTTGTAAACTCACGACAGGCGTTGACGGCGCACGTCTCGAACTCCGTGGCAGGGTCTGTGGTGTAGCACCAGGGCTTGGTGTCGACTCCCAGCGGGTTCCGGCAGTAGTTCTGCTCCAGCCCGGAGTCCGGGTACAGGTTGGGGCGGAAGATGTGGGTGTGAGGGGTCTGCTGGTCCCACGCCTGGCACGTCAGCCCGGTCTCCGTCACCGCCGTGTCCCCTCGGTAACCCTCTCCGTTCCCGTAGTAACATTCAGATACTAGAATAAGTTCAATTTGTACGTGTTAGAGATAGCAGGCTAGGTATCAATTAGACTAGTTCCTGTGTCTAGCGAAAAAAAGGAAGGGGATATGTTTTTGCGCCCCTCACTGTTGGCGTATATAATTTCTATGCCTAAATGGCTTAGGGTTAGGATTAGGCACAGTTCTGGATAGTGTCCGTGTATCTAAGAAAGCCTATTTATTATTTTTGCCTTAGACATGGATCTGGATATGCGTGATCACAGATCAACCACGGTTCTGGATAGTCCACGCGTATCCAGAACCGCGTCTGGGACAAATCTATGTTCTTGAATAGGAGGATACTATCCAGAACCGTGATCTCATGTATAAAATCTAGATAGATGCGGTTCTAGACACAAGTAATTGTCTTTCTGGTCGGATACTGTCTTGCCTGTTGGTCACGACTTTGCTAACGAAAGATATACATGTAGATATGTGCATAGCCACCGCCGGCCATATGGTCGCATCCTTACCGCACGCGGCCACGTCACACGTCTCGAACTCGACGGTGGGGTCTGTGGTGTAGCACCAGGGCTTGGTGTCCACGCCAAGCGGGTTGCGGCAGGCGTTCCCGTCCAGCCCGGCGTTCGGGTACAGGTTGGGCTGGAAGATGTGGGGGTGGGGGGACTGGTCGCTCCAGGCCTGGCACGTCAGCCCCGACGAGGTCTGCGAAGTCGGTCCTCTGTAGCTCTCTCCATTCCCGTAGTAACAATCTGCCGGGGAAGGAAGTGTCAAAGAGAAAGAATTTAAGGGTAAAGAAATCATCCTCAACTTAGGTGAAGAATTATGGTTTTCCTAGTATGTAGTAGTGCCGTTGTCCAGGCCGGACGCAGTCTGCGAGGTCGGTCCTCTGTACTCTCTCCATTCCCGTAGTAACAATCTGCCAGGGCAGAATTAAAGTGTCAAACATCCCAGTTACCACACGAAGGTAGCCGCTACCAGGCTTCGAGAGGCGGTTGGAAAGAGTAGAAATCGGCCAAATAGAGAGATAGCATGCCAAGGGAGTTGGTCTGTTGGAGAGAACAGTTTGCCGCTCCCGAGCTCTGCAGCAGACGAACTCCCTCGGCATGCTATCTCTCTACTTGTTTTCTACTCTTTCCCGCCGCCTCCCGAAGCCTGGTAGAGGCTAACACGAAGGGTAAAATATAAGGGGAAAGCAGTCATCATCAATTGAGGTGAAGAATGCTGAGATCCTTTTTGTAGTAGGTATTAGTGCGATGTGGGCCCGCCACCTTTTCAGCCAAGCACACTCAGGTCACTCCTACTCATCTCGCATGAAAAAAAGATTCCTTTACGGTTTTAGCTTTAGTTTGAGGTTTGACGCCTGAAGCTAATGCCTTATAAGCTTCCCCATACATACGGGAACCGCTTACAAGATAGAAAAAATTGTACAGAAACAGCGAAGTAATTGTAATATATACATGTTAGGTTATACAAATTCCATATGGTACATCGTTATCTTCGTTCAAAAGTTAAACGTTGAATGAATGAATGAACTTTATTTCTCAACAATCGTACAAGGTACAATGTGTGGCAGTAATAAACAATACTGTACTACAGAACTTTACTTACTACAAACTACTATCTAAACAGTATTTGAGTTACCATATGGTCATGTATTGAAGATATGTTCTCGCTTATGGAATAAAGTGTACAGAAAGATGTTTTTATACCGTCTTGTGCGTCGCTGCTCTCCAAATGGACCGCGAAAATCAGCAAAATCAGGGCTGCTATCCGCGCCATTGTGACAAATAGTGAGAAATTCTCTCTTCTTCTCTCTCTCTCTCTCTCTCTCTACACGTCTCACTGTGTCGCCTGTTCTCAGACAACTGCAGGTGTTGAAGCTGTGCCGACACGACTCGCCACGTCCCCTGAACGGTTTTGTTTAAAGACGACTGCGTAACTGTACACAGAAACTTCCGCGGCCTTCGATAACAGGAACGATGGTGTTTGGATGGTTGATAACTTCGTCACATGTCACAGTTCCCTCATGAAATATAGTTAATAGGTCACAACTTCTCAGGCACTTAATTACATAACAAGCATCTTCTTTTTGATTACGCGAGTAAGGTCCGAAAGTGTCTTGACTACTGAGCTGGCTCGGGCCAAGAAAAGCAAATTAATTGGGAAGACTCATAATGAGGTATCCTGTAGTAACTACACGTAGGGTACAGTATCTATAAGATATTGAATTCTAGCTGATTTAGCTAGCTTCTACAGTAGGGCAAGTAGCTTCTGTTTCTAGAAGAATACATTACCGCGCATGGAAGTGACAAAGAGTATGTTTGTATGAAACCGAGCATTGTATGAAGGAAGAATATAATGAAAAAACATATATTTCGGACAATGGACATTATTGAGGTCTCTCAGGCTCTTATTTGTGGAATTTTCATTCGTTCGAACAGACGCGACATGTGCCCAGCCGAAGGGAACAGGCGCACCTGTGGTAAACCCGTACCAGTCCGGCACAGGATGTGACTTGCAGTTCATCCCTTTGGCAAATAGAACATGTTTGGGCAGCAAATAATCGTTCGGTTACATGATTTCGTTACAAAGGCTGTTAAGATGATATAATGATGATATAATGTCGAGAATCTGCGTAAAATATAAGCGCGTCGTTTTAACTAAATTCAGTGAAAACTTTTAGAACTATGCAGGATTCAAGGACATATAAAATAGCACGTGTTTGGGCAGTAAATAATCGTTAAGTCATATGTTCATCGGTTATAAAACCTGTTTAGATAACGTAACGTGATGATATAATGTCGAGAAACAAAAGCCTATCTGCGTAAAATATAAACGGGTCGTTTTGACTGAATTCAATGAAAACTTTTAGAACTATGCAGGATTCAAGGACATATATACAAAATCAATGATTAAGAGGGAAAGAATTGTTTTGGTTTATACTGTTATACGTAAATACGTTTTTTCTCCGCAAATTGCGTAAGCCTGAAGAATTTGCTGCGAAGCGTGCGATTATCCACCTTACATCTGCTTGGAGATGCGGTTTTACGACAATTTGACGTTTTGCGTCCGCAGGTTGATAGCGAGGACTGCGCCTGCGCGACAATAGAAAGCATCATGCCAGAAAAGATGACGGCGCCAAAAGATGCTCAGGTAAAATTTGATATTTTCGGGTAAACTGTACGTCTTAGACCTCAGTTCCTTTTGTTAAATATTTAAGTAGGCTCAGTAGCATCTGAAGACGTTAAAATCTGAACTGTAAACGATAGAGACCGATGTTTTTGTGATGTCTTATGTTGTCGTTTTAGTCTAACCTTGTTGTGGAGGAGCTCGAGTTTCCTTGCTCTAGCCTAGGTTCAAAATTTATGTTTTCTTCTACAAGTACAACAAGATTTGTATGTTCATTTGCCTATCAATGATTTGGATGAACCTGCCTGGGTATCTGATTGACTTTGATGTTTCCTATTCATCAACGAATAGCTAAGTTATCCAAGCACAATAAAATTTTACAATATGATAAATAATTTATAAAAGTACTTATCTCTCCACCAGGTGATGGCAGCCGTCCTGAAGGACATGGGAGTGACAGACTACGAACCTCGAGTCATCAACCAGATGCTGGAGTTCACCTACCGTAAGTCTGATTCATTCCCTATCCAGAGCTAGAGATATGATCAAGGAGGTTCTCCAAGCTATGAGTATGATCTATCATCCGTCTATGATTAAAATCTTACTAAAGTTAAATATTAAACTTCCAACAGAAAATGATTTCTCTATAATTTTTGCACTACACTGTACTTGGTTTAAATCTTTGTTCTGTTAGTATTTTCTATGAAGGTCCATGAAGACCCTGTGTTTAACAATCACTCTAAGGCCACACCAATTTAATTTCTTGGTTAACGGATTCGCCCGCTTCATTTTTTTCTGATTTGCAAATAAAAATAAAAATTCAGAATCAATTGCAAAATGCTCATATTTTGCCCTGAACAGTTGAAAACAGTCCTTTTCATCCTAGTTGTTACAGTTATTCCATCTTTCAATGCAATGGTATCATTAAAAGTTCAAAATTCATTGTTTAAATTTTGACCCAGCCTGGTGTGTTGACTTCATGGCTCCTATCATACCATTTTGGGCCATAATAGGATGCCTAGGCCTGTTTTTATTTTTATTTTTTTTTCGCCCGCCCGCTCCATTATTTTTGTAGAAAAATCCGTTAACCAAGAAATTAAATTGGTGTGGCCTAACTTTGAAAAATATAAGTTACAACTTTTGTTCGTGAAACGTGGTGGCATTATGAGGCTATATGAGCCATCCTGCAATAGTTGGTGTGTTATCAAGATTGTATGAACTGCTTTATTATTCTAATTAGTTCTAGTTATAAAACGAGGCTAGACCAGCAAAACTAAGAGCAGAAGAAGTACAAGGAGTGAGGAGAGGCCTTTGGTCACCTAGGAATCTTCAAGGTATCTTCAAGGTAGATCAGTAAAATTCTGACACTAGTGGCTTCTTCTTGACAGGTTATGTGACGGACATCTTCGAGAACGCCCGTGTTTATTCCACCTTTGCCAAGAAGAAGGAGATGGACACGTCAGACGTGAAGCTGGCCATCAGACACAACTCCGACCATTCCTTCGCAACTCCACCACCTCGAGATGTGGGCATTTTCTCACTCATTCTTATACTTAGGATCAAAGTATAAGTTACAGAAGTAAAAAAAACTTAGGATACAGAAGTCTAATTACAGTCAAAACTCACTGCCCAAGAACTTGAAGGAGACCACTCTAGGGACCGGTGAAATATGGTCTATGTGGACAGTAGTCACCCTAGACAGGATTCTTAGTGGTTGTATCAATGGAAAAAAAATCCATCAAGACCATCAAAAAGTGGTCTGGTGGTCCTAGTTATATAGAGGTGGTCTCTTGTACAGGTTTGACTGTAATTTTTACTCTAACTAGTCTGAGATGGACCAACTTCCCATGTAAATAAGAGAAATTCAAATATACTAGTAGCATCCTAGATGCTGAAAGTTAATGGAATAGAGCTCTCTCTATATATATACATATGCTAATATGCTATGTTGTAATATACTACACTACAGTGGCATTTATTGATGCGTATCAAAAAGGTACCTGTATTCTGTGTTCTGAAAATGTGAATTTTCCCACAGTTCCTGATGGAGATAGCCCGGCAGAAGAACAGCACACCTCTGCCACTGATCAAACCCTACGGAGGCCCCAGGCTCCCTCCAGACAGATACTGTCTACTCTCAAATAACTACAGACTCAGGTCCTTACAAAAAAAGGTAATTACGGTGCTATCATTTAAGTTAATCTATGTTGGTAGTTACATGTTTAAAGGTAAAACTTTTGCTCCACTAAAAGGGAAATGTTCCCACCAAGAGCTTTCAACCAGTCACTCTGGTCTTCTTATGGTCTTGACCAAGTGTTGACATCACACTTTTGAAAAGCTACTGAGGAAGACCTGAGTGACTGGTCAAAAGCTCTATGAGAACATTTTGTATTCTGTTGGAAGAAAGGTTTTACCTTTAAATGTAGTTACTTTATTATTGACCTAGTTTTTTGTTTGTTTGTGTGTGTGTGCATGTTAATAGCATCTAAGGGGTTGAAATGAAGGAATCCAAAGTTTCAGCCATTATTATCATTCTAACAAGTGTACACCACCAATTATTCATGTGATTAAAAAAAAAATCCTCTTGCTTTTCCCCAGCCGAAGCTGACAGTAGCAGTCCCTCGTCTGGGCCTGTCCACAGTCATGGGACAGCCTTCTCCTGTCGGTAGGTATTGTTTGTTTAGTGAAGTTCAATATGATTAATCTTCTTTATGCAATGGTTGTGTAATTTGTTCTCATATGTTTCTTTTAAAACTCCAGGAAGATTATCTTCTTTTTGGTTACTTAATAGTTCACCACAAAACAAGGCTCAAGGGAGCCACTCAAATGTTTTGGGTTAGTGTACAGCCAGTGAGGACAGATGTTTGTTGACCTTAGACTTAAAAGTTTAAATCTACATATGACTACTTTGTTATAGTGAAAGCTAATGGAGTCAATAAAGTATCCAAGTATTCTTCTTTTGAAAATAGTAAAGAAGTTTTGAACCATGTAATTTATGAAGAAACCATGGCTATAACTTTGTGTATTTAATCTTTCTTGATGTACACACAAGTCACTCTATCTGAATGTTGGTACTCATGTGTCTTTAGAAATGGTAACAAAATAGTTAAGGAACTGACAAAAGTTCAAAAAGTGATCTTCCTACATTGTTGGTATTCTATTAGGTACGTCGACAAGTCGAGTATCCAGCCCGACGACAGCAAAAATCACCATTCCGGTCAGCGTAACGTCCAGAGTGGGACAACATTCCTCACACATCAAATCATCCCAGACAACCCTACTGCAGCCCACGTCACTGCTGGGCAGGCCTATGTCTACTCTGGGATCCTCTTCCTCAATAGGAGACTCCAGCGGCACAAAACGGAAAAGAGAGGATGATGATTATGATATACTAGAATAGAAGTAACCAAAAACAACAATATCTAGTTCTGTAAATACTACTTAGGACACATGAAATTTTCATTTTGGTTGTCAGACTCTCAGTTATGATAAAAAGGTGCTAGGTCAATAGGAAAATTAAGCTGAGAAAATTTGTTCTTTTACCCATGCACAATATTTCATGTCATCCTCAACTGAAGTGAAGCATGATGTATAAGTTATACATGTATTATTGTCATCTGTTATACATGTACAATGTATATCAGCTCTGTCTTGACTTCTATGTATTTGCTACAACATGTAGCGTTATCTAAGGCCACACCAATTTAATTTGTTGGTTCTCGGATTCGCCTCTTCATTTTTTTCTGATTTGCAAAAAAAAAAAACAAAGATTCTGGTTCTGAATCAACTCAAAAATGCTCATATTTTGCCCCCAACAGTTGAGGAAATTCCTTTTCTTCCTACCCCGGTAGTTGTTACAGTTTTTTCCATTTATCAATGCAGTGGTTTGATTAAAAGTTCAAAATTCATGCTTTAAATTTTAACCCAGCCTTTTTTTGTTGACTTCATAGCTCATATTGTAGCATTTGGGGCTATAATAGGATGCCTAGACCTGTTTTTATTTTTATTTTTTTTCGCCCTGTCGCTTCATATTTTTTCTGAAAAAATCCGAGAACCAACAAATTAAATTGGTGTGGCCTAATGAACTTTTAATAGTGTCTAGGAAAATATGGATGTTGATGAACATGTAGACATGTAAGTATTGCTAGTCTTTGATGGTATCTTTGTTACATCCTTTCTTTTTTCACAAGGATAGTAAGCTGTAGTGTAGATGAGGCTTATATCCTACATCAACTTTGATACTATTTTCTTTGATAAACTGTCAACATTTATGTCTCAACATAGTGGAAGGATGAAGAACCCTTATTTTGTACTCACATTTCTACTGAATTGTTCACCTAGAAGAAAATTTGTGCAAAAATAAATACCAAGTCTGTACAGAAATGTTTGTGTGCCTCTTATTATGTATGAAAAGACTTAGTAATGTTAGTTTTGGTGCAAAACATTGACATTTCCTTGTTTGCCAGGCCAAGGACATTATACACACTGTTTATAATGTCCTTGGTCAGGCTGGGTTTTAACTACATGTACTATGATAACTTACATCCCTTATATACCTTACGGGCACTGAAGAACTAAGTGACTGGGAACCAAGGAAGCTTCATTTTTGGGAGAACAAATACTATATCTGAAGCCTAAGGGGCCCAGTCCCTGCCTTTCTTTTCAATTTGTAGCTACCGGTAACCCCTTTCTTTCACAGTGGAATAGCCCGAAAAGGTGAAAGGTCACACGTGTCACATGACGGTCACACAGGTCGCGGGAAAACCCGAGATCAGCTGGGATCGTGAGAACTTCAAGTTTACCGGACGGTATAAACAGTCAGACAACAGCGTCTGTCTCTGCAACTGGACCAGAAAAATCTTCCGTAGCCTCCAGTAAAATTATAACATTCGTGTTTATGTATATAGCGATGTGTGCATCTTACTACTGTAACGCGAGTGGTGACTTCAGATGCCTCCTATAGCCGTAACACTTGTGTGTGAAATTTCTCGGTCCAGCTATATGGGCAGCCCGCCACTATAGGTTAAACAGGGACAGGGCTAGTCCGTGTGTCGTTATTTAAGGTCATGACTGAACGACTGTTTAAGATTCTGATCATCGGAGACGCCACAGTCGGCAAGACGTCATTCGTGCAGCGTTACGTCAACGACTCGTTCAAGAGGGAGTACAAGGCGACGGTGGGAGGTAAGGGTTGGATGTTGTGGTTATATTTAGTCGTTGTTGTTGTTTAAGTCCTTGTGTTGTTGAAGTCCTTACTGTCTATCGTACACGCTAGACGTAAATCTCCGAGCAGATCTTTCGGTGGGGGTAAGACAGCATCAAATTGGCCATTTGGGGAAATGGTTACAGACTAGCCAAATTTGATACTGTCTTACCCCCACCGAAAGATCTGCTTGATCTCTTCCTGATGCTTTTTGGTTGTGGTTACTAGTACCTAGGTGCTTGTTCACTGGTGCTTTGCACTTGCATCATTGCGGGTCATGTAGTTCCCTATCCCTTTGCAAATCTGGCCGTGGCCTCTATGTAACGTTACATGTACATTGAAAATGCTGAGTACATCCTTCTGTACATGTCTCCCAGATCATCCCTCATTCGTTTAGTCGACAGGTCCTTGGCGTCTGCTGACTTAATTAAACTAAAACATCTTGTCGAACGGATGACAGTTGTGTGATATTTGCATGCATGATCCTGTTGCTAATATAATAACATTTCCTTGGTTGTGGAATGATTAACCATAAATATTAATATTTCTACACAACATACACAAGCACACGAAGAGCAAATGTAGAAGTACTTTCTGCATTTTTGTTGTCTTTTGTTATATAGATTAGCCTGAAACTTGATTGTCAAATTCCATAATTGCTGGATGTAAAATAATAAATATGACCAATGACCATCTGTCATCTATAGATTGATTACATTAATATGCTGTGGTATACACTGTTTACTTTCCATAACACATATCGTTTTTTTTTCACAGTTGATTTTGCACTTAAGGTCATCCAAATTTCAGAAGAGGACACAATTAGATTTCAGGTAAGGAAGTGAATGTAAAAGTAAATATTTCAAGGTATTTCAGTACTTATTTCAAGTAATGCTATTGGAAGACACAAATGGAATTACAATTGTGTAATCAACTGGATTAAATAATAAATCATACGTCAATTTCCCATGTTGAAACTAACTGTTCCTTCTTTACTTTTTTCATATCTGGGATTGCAGTTATGGGATGTTGCAGGTGAGAAAAACAAATATTTGCGCACATTGGTAGTGAGACAGTACCCCAGTAAGGCCTAGGAAAAAAATGTTGTTTCCTGTTTCCCGACTGACCCTAGAAAAACTATCTATCCTAGCCTTTTTTTTGTGGATCCCTGCAAAGGGACATGAATTTTTCAAGCTGATCAACCTTTTCTAGGTATGTCATCTGACACCTGAGTGATGAATCGTTGTACAATCTCATTTACATCACCAATTATCTCACCAAGAGTGCCGACATTTCGGTGTCTATCAGACGCCTTCCTCAGATAGACACCAAAACGTCAGCACTCTAGGTGAGATAATTGATTATGTAAATGAGAACTCCTGTATCCTTTACTATACCAACCTGATGAAACTATTTTCGGAAGTTGTACAATCGGTTTTCCAACAATTGGTCTCCTATGCTGTATTGTTTTAGCAAGGCATACAACTGTAAGTTAACATTGTAACAAGATTGAGAATGTCATTGATTGACACATACCTACTTTCTCCCAGGTCAGGAAAGATTCACATCAATGACCAGAGTTTACTACAAGGATGCCTCAGCCTGTGTTATCATCTTTGACGTCACGGCCAAACAGACATTCCACAACTGCTTAAAGTGGAAAAAGGACTTAGACTCTAAAGTCTCTCTACCTGATGGGCGCTGTGTACCATGTATGCTGCTAGCAAATAAGGTGAGTTTCCTGTTTTACATGCCACCAATCTTGTGCCCTTGGGAAAGATATTTTACACGACTTTCCCCACTTAACTCAAGTGAAAATGAGTGTTGTCTGTCCTGTATTTGTTTCTATGTGCGGGACACAACACCAGCAATTGCTGCCTTTGTCCCACATGTATTGCACTGTTGCAATTTCAACAGATCAAGTCAAATAGTAGTGCAGTCAAAACTTCCCAAGAAGATCACTCAGGGGACCAATAGAATCCTAGACAGGATAGACAGAATTCTTAATGCTTGAATTAACCGGAAAAATCATCTAAGGTACCACCAAAAAGTAGTCACATTGGCCAGGTGGTCCCTGTGTAGGAGTGGTCACTTGCACAGGATTAACTGTATATGATATTGTGGTCCATATGTGTACTAGAGATGTATTTATATGTGCTGGTTCATTATAAAAGTGAACAATGTGACGGACATCATTCTTATTATTTACTTCAAAATTATATTTCATCCTTTCCTTTCAGATTGATTTACAAGAAAAAGCAGTGACAGAAGAGGAAGTGAATGAGTTTTGTAAGGAAAACAACTTTATAGGATGGACGGAGATCTCAGTCAAGGATAATGTTAATGTGAAGGAGTCCATGAAGTAAGTGGAAGAACTCATTGAAGTTATTTGAACAGTTAGTATCATGTGTGAATGTGTAATCTCCAAGCAGATACCTTTAGTTTAGGTGGCAAGATGGTATCCATTAGCCAGAGTTTGACTGTAGGAGGCCAGTCAATGGTATTTCTTGTTACTTCACCCCAAATTGGCTTAATTTTTAATGTATGTGTTTCTGTGTTAATTCCCAAAATACACAATGTAGCATTGCCATACATACTTCATGCTGCAGTTTATGTCTGAGGAAGTGTGGTTGAACGAGTATCGGTGAATTCTGCCAGCCTTGATCTTCATTCTTCCTCTATGAGGTGCAGTTAGTGAAGTTTTGTCTCCAGTACAGTCTGTCAGTCATTGCAGACAGAAGTTCTGATCCTTGCAGACCAGTTTCAGAATTCAGACTCAATGAGTTTCTTAAGGGTTGTGATAGGACGGCCAAGCTATGTAACTTGAAGTTGTGCTCTTTGTGTTTCCATAGTTTCCTGCTAGAAGAGATCCTGGCCAGACACACGGACACCCAGCCCCAGAGGAACATGGAGGCAGAGGGGGAGGGGGGTCACATCAAGCTCAAGGACAATGCCAAGCAGGCTAAGGAAGGGAGGAGTTGCTGTGGAAGTTGATATGTCTTTTTAGCCTTCATAGCATGCCAAAAACTGGGGGTTTGGGGGGTCTTTGGGAGTTTTTATGTGCTATTTTCTGATTGCATCAACTGACAACATAGCCGGCCTGGTTGAATTACCCCCGTTTTTTGTTAGAACTGGGCTAATCAGAAAACAGCCGAAGACCACCAAACCCCCAGTTCTATAAGCCTGCTATGGAGGCTAGTGTCTTTTCTACGCTCCAATTGTACAAATTTATGTTGCGTAGGCTGCACAAACTTGATTTTTTGGATGACATCTTTTGGAGATTCTAGATACGCATGTTTTTTGTGGAGAAGTGTGCAGCACATATTGCATTAAAATGTTCTATGTTGATGATATGTACTGACGTATATGGTCATTTCAAAGTAAGTTTCATGATAAATACATCTACAATACAGCAAATGCAACAAATGATCTCCTTTTCATTTAGCTTACAAAGGTAACTAACTTATGTTAGACTGGAGAAGAATCAAGTTTTATTTATGCTTGTGTGCATGCAGATGTCAGTCATCCATTAAGTAAAGTTTGTGTTGCTTTATGTCTGTATATATGGATACATGTTAAATGTAGTGCAATTCCTTTAAAGTAGTACTGAGTACACATACATGTAGTACTGTAATGTCTTAAGTTCCAACAGTTTTGCAGAGGGTGAACAAGATTTAAAATGTTTACCATATTGTTGTAACATGGATTAGGTTGTCTACCTTTTGGCGCCCTGTCCTTGGGCAGTTTTAAAAATCATGAAGGAAAAATTATGGCTAATTTCAAACCATTGAAGTAGTCATCTAGACTCCAATTCTAGCTAAACCAAATTAATGAGCATTTGCCAGCCCCAGAAAGACATGGCTGTTAGAGGCTCTTGTATGTTCTTCATTGCTTAATCATTCTTCATTAAAGTTACATATGTATGTCTTTTTGGGTTCAGATGACGGCATATCCCATGTTACTGCTGCTAAAATGTGGTATTTGTGAAAGGTAGAAAAACTGATTGTTTTGCCTTTTTCACATCACCACCATTTGTATTGTACATGTGTACTTACTTTGTAAGTTTGTATCCTGCATGAAACATTTTAGCCAGTAAACCATTTGAATAGGATTATATGCAGTTCTTTTAACATTAATTTCTTAGTCATTGGTAGACATACTAGATGTATTACTAAGGTAACGATCACATTTATGATTTAACACTTAACCTGTGTAATACTGGATGTATCAATATATTTAAATCCCATTGTGTTTTCACCGGTGAAAAGCCATTTATTTGGGTGCATTTATGGGAGAGGTGGTATTTAAGATTGGTGTTAGGAATTTGTATGCCATTGAGTGCACCATCAGGATGGAAATGATTACAAATACAAGATAATTTTTGTTACCTTGTCTTTATACCATGTTCTGTAATTTCTTGCATCAGAGCTTTGGAATTCCTAGTAGATATCAACCCCCTTTCTTTGTCCTTGTAAATTTGTAATACTAATTGTTACTAGTTGCTCCTAGAACATTTACAACTTAACTATGAACAAGTGAGTGTGAATGCAAAGTATGCAAGAACAGACGATGGTGAGGTGGTATATTTTAGCTTTTTATTGATTTCCCCACATCGGATCTGCACATGACAACAGGACAGGACCCGTCCTAGAAGAAGGTGTTGGGACGCCTGGTGGTGAAGCGAGGGTTGTGCAGCCTCTTGGTCACACGATGCGGCAGAGGGAACCTGATCTTGGAGGCCTGAAAAAACAACACAGACACATCACTATAAGTCTGAATTCACAGAGTAAATGAAGGCATTAGCATCTACCATTAGGGAATGCTACATGTACATTTGAGAATTTAGAATTTAGCAAGATATCAGAGTACATGTATTCTTACTATACAGGCCCCAAGCACAAAAATATCAATGAAACAATCAAGGTACAGTGTATAAACAGTATTTTACATTCACAGAAATCTCTTTGAAGATTCCAATAAGCCCAATTTGCTACTTTTAGTGTCTTGAGTGCTACCACCATCTCTCCAGATGGAAGGATGCCTACGAAACCAGTGGTCTGTGTATGGTAGATGCTTATGTGGAACTACTCGACACTCTTATTACTATACAAGCAAATTTCTTCAACAATTACACTGAAAAAAAAAACCTAGTTGCACATCCAAGCAAAGTATAAACAGTAACATTAAAGTTTCCTGTTACAGAAAATAGTATTTGAGGGGGTCATCTGACATTGCTACTCAGGGCTCAAAATACTGGGTGCATGTGCACCTTAGTCAGTGCACCCAAATTTGGAGCTGTACATCCAATTTTTTTCTGTGGGTGCACACAAATATTTTCGTAGTGATCTGTGTGAGGCTGATGCTTACGTGGAACTGCTTGACGCTTGGTCTGCGGCACTTTGCTGCGGGGATCTCCTCAATCTTCATGATCTGGATGGAGTGAGCCCGGGCACGGTGACGAGCACCCATGTCACGGTCTGGGGGAAAGAAAAAGTTAAAACACACATTAGCACATGCAGTAATGTACATGTAACAGACAATGATGATCCTGTGCTCAGTGTAATTGTTGAAACAACTTTCAGGAATCAGTTGTCTTCAATCCACTGTCTCTTCTTCCCTGAAAGTTGCTTTAGCTCTAGGTCTTTCTTTGTTGATCTTAGCTTTCCCATTCCTTTGTTTGTAAAAGGTCTCTTGTCCTGTTTCTCCTCTTTATTCAATGTGACACTTGTTTGAGGGACACAACCATTAGTGATAGTTCTTTAGAGTTCAACTTTGTATCTTAAAATAATGTTACTTGTATGTAAATTACGATGGTTGGAAGTTGGGGTAAAATGAGAGAAAACTTGATGTAGACGTGTCATACAAAATTTTTTTTCCAGTTCATGCTACTACTATTACTAATGATGTGTTCTTATCATTCTAAAAATCATGTTCATATTATTTGATGCATTAACCAATGCATCTCATGAAACCAAACAAACACAGGAATAGATGCTAGTTAATCATCATGATGATAAGATCATTATCCTTTTATATCTGTACACTAACTACAAGACACTACATGTAAATTACTAAAGTTTGACTTTGAATCTCTACTAGTACTGGGACATTGGATTCAGGCTTACAGCATGCGGTGACAGCGTTGGCCACAGTCAGGTCGCGGTACTCCCTGTACATGTTGTGTGTGCCGCTCCTGGAGTCGTAGCGCAGCCAGATGCCGTAGTTCTTGATGCTGGTGGGGTTCTTTTCCCTCACCTGTAAAGAGGACATCATTGGTTCCATTAGGAAAATTGTTTCTGCTGTAATATTTAACCGCTGACACCACTTGTCATACACAGTGCCGGTAGTTGAGTACGTATTCACACAATCCTAACTCATTCAACACCGTACACAGTGTGATACATACACATGGAAATTTTGTCAAGAAATACTAGTATAAACAGGTTTGTGATTCATTACATCTACCAACTGTGCATGTTACATGTAACTGTCTACAGAAAAATTGTATACAGCACTAAAATATTTTTGCATAAGTCAAATGACTCAATGCACAATTTCACACAATAGGTAATGTGACTGACAAGAATGAACTTTATGAATGAATGAACATCATTGCTGGACCATTGTACAGGGTACGATGTATGGCACACATTACAACACTATAACTTGTACAAGACATATCTAGTATCCTACATTTATGATTATGATTATGAAATTTTATGACTACAAATACTGAAAATATCATTGATAAGATTCTGCACCTTCTGGCAGGAGACGACCTCCCCGTTGGCCTTCTTCACACTCTTGAGCTGCTTCATAAAGTACCAGTAGCGAGACTTGGCCACGACATGGTCGGGCGCGAAGATGCGCATCTTGTACAGGGGTGGGCTGGCCTGCGTCTTGCTGGGAAGACGACGCCCCACCACGCAGAACTCTTTTAGCTGTACGGAAAGAGAAACGATAGACAATTAAGCTCAAAGTATACCTTAAACTGAGTCAAATAAAGCATGTGAAATATACATTTCCATGTACCTTGCTACCAGTATGTTTCAAGTTAATTTAAGGTAATTTAGAGAGTTACCTTAAAAAGGACCATGAAGGATAAATTAGAAATGCATGTAATCTTACATGTTAACAACAGTTTGCAATTTCTTTGTACCTGTATAGACCTTGTTTAATAACAAAATGCCACATTCTAAGTACAACAGCAACTCAACGGACGATTTTGTAAAGGTATACTATACATTTTGTAAAGTTGCAAAATATCCACTAGCACAGTGACAGTGGGGAAAGACCACGTTTTGACACTGGGTGTTAGAATAAACTTACACTTGGCTGTCTTCTGTCTTGAGCATCAACAGTTCACATTGGAACATTGAATATGCCATTTTTATCTGACTATGTTCTAATACAGAGATAATGTTCACCTATCCTAACACATGGCAATGCCCACATGCATGCCGCCATCTTTTTTTTTCCTGACTAAATCCCTTCCCTCTTTGAAAACCTCATTCGGTGCTCATGTTTGACAATGGCAACAATACAGACCCTTCAAATAACAGAAGAGTTCCTTATCTAACTATCTGTGTACGTTTAGTTTGATATTTTAGCGAATAACTGTCCAAAAATCGCGTTTTTCTCTCACCGTTCCCTTCGCCTTCATATCTGCACTCGCGCAAAAACCGGAAAGAACGACACGGGGTAGCGCCTTCCCAGGGTGCCCCGCGGCACAGCAGTGCGCATGCGTGAAAGGAATTTTGAAGTCACGTGATGGCGGGAAAAGCAAGATGGCGACCAGTGAAGTAGTTTTGCAGAAAAAACTCAACTACGCGATTCACCGATGGTCAAGTTTCTCCGCGAACTACGTCCCCGAGTGAGTAGGGCTGGGTTTGTCGAGTTTGCGAGCTTCCGTTGGCCGCGTTTTGCAGTGCGTTGTTGTTTCGTAGGGGTACATTTCCGAGCTGTTTCGGATGAAAATATGGTATCTTCTTACCGAGATCTCAAGTTTGACAGTTGGCGTATGATTGCGCCATATTAATTATTTTGCTCCTCCCGTTCAATTCTGCCTTAATTAGATACTAACAGAATGACATATGCGAAGCACAGATCGGTCGTAGTGCTCTGATAAAGCCGTAGTATGCGTGACAACTTTGACCGAAACCAAAACAAACTCATAACGTCATATCTGACAGATGGTCCATATTTGGTATCGAATAACTTGTCATCGCGTATTTTGGAGCTTGATAGTTTGCCAAAAGGTCCATCATCTTTTAAGAGACGAGATTTGCGGCATTCCACTGCCCAGAGCACGAAGATGAACCAGGGAATGATCACGTAGAAAGTTTGATTTTGAACCCGTTTGTTGTCTTCTCTATCTTTAGCAACATCCTTGTTGACAAGCCAAACGATCAGAGTTCAAGATGGTCCTCAGATAGCAACTACCCACCGCAGGTACGTGTTTGTTGTTTATTCCTCGTGTCTTAGTCATTTGTTTGTAACCTTTCGTTAAGAATACAGGAATCTGCTGCAAGGTATCTGACGAATGGCATTTGCTAAGTCACATGTATATTTAGAAAATATCTAATCTACTGGTATTAGTGAAAATGTCTGTCAGTTAGGAGCTTTGTGAAACGTTGTACATTTATCTGTTGAAGTTGAACATTAAAAGTACAGTATACAAAATGAACCTGATATCCATGCTTCATTGTCAATCATAATATGGTAGCAATGAAAAAGTTTTGGTACCACAGGCACTTGTGGTAAAATCATTACTTGTGGTTAAATGAAAATATGATGTCACAAGTTCAGTTGCATGTCCTTGGTCTTTGACGCAGTGCACCCAATTTTAGATACATGTACTTGTACCCGTGCACAGGCTGTGTTTTTACAGTGTTTACAGTCAAGTTGTTTTATTTTTGCAGTTTCTGACCCTGAAGCTGGAGAGACCTTCTATCGTGTACAGTATTACCTTCGGAAAGTATGAAAAAACACATGTATGTAACTTGAAGAAGTTCAAGGTGTACGGAGGACTGAATGATGACAACATGATAGAACTCTTACAAAGGTAATTATATATAGCTGACAGAACAAAAGTTTTAACTACATGTAACTTCTATTCTAACTAACTTCTAAAGACTCAAAATCTGGATGTCAATGGTTTATAGTGTACTTGTGTTTTTATGATATTGTGATACTTTCACACGTTAACACCAAAATTTAAGAAATATTAAAGTAATTTTAAGGTACAGTTATACATTTAGTGGCAAGTACAAGATAAATATAACATGGCTATGTATTAGCATTAGCAAGGACATTCTATTTAGTGACCAGTATGGATTGACTTCCACGTAATGGAAAGTGTCTTACTTTATGTACCCTCCAACAACCCCATAAGGGGTACTAGTATCACTGAGGGAGGGGGGAGGAGGTGCGTGGACCTTACGGCAAGGAAGACCTGAAGGCCTCTACTGACTGCTGTGGTACATGTTTTAAAGTCCTACATGAATTTGTACCTCTTTTATCAGTGGCCTGAAGAATGACCACAACAAGGAAGCATTTGACCTGAAGAGTAAAATAGAAGGGCAGCTCTTTCCATGCAGATATATCAAAATAGGTGAGTACCTTGAACCCAAAATGTATTATTGGGTAAATTTTCATATGTATTGGAAATGGCAGGTAGATGAGGCATTACTGTCTGTAGGATCAATAAATCAGATGAACTTTCATGATAGGATCAATTAAATGATTGATTTTCACTTTCAGGTTTAAATTAACTTTAAGGCTGTCTTTTGTCAGAACATCAGAACATTTGTGGCCTGCATGCTTATATTAGATTAAGTTGTATCAGCTAAAACTATATCATCATCATCATCATGCCTCTGGATTTTAATCCGGTGAGGTACACTTGATAAAGTTACTCCAGTATGCTCTATCCCTCCCTCATAGCACTAGTGCAGTCCCTGCAAGACCAGCATCTCTGTAACATTGACAAAAGTGTAGTATAACTTATAAGGCCGTCCCACTCTACGTCTCCCAGTGGGAAGCCACTGTATTTACTACATGTATATATTAAATGTATTCCTTCTCTGTACTGATTGATATTTTGTCCCATCCATAGTCCCCATCATGTCATGGGGCCCCAGTTTTAACTTCAGTGTGTGGTATGTGGAACTGAGTGGGGACGACGCTCCTGAACTGGTGCAGCCGTGTCTACAGTGGTACAACTCTGTAAGTTCTTCTGCTACTAATATTAGTTAAAAAATAGGATCATAGTCATTATTAGATGTGGTGGTTTGTTACACCAATGGATTTGGTTTGGTTTTCCTTTAATGCCCACAATCATGATAATGATCATTCTGGCATTCTTATTTTCACCTGAGCGAAGTGAGAAAAGTCATGTAAAGTGTCTTTCTCAATGGCACAAGGTTGGTGACTAGGCAGGATTGGAACCCAGGTCCTCTCGTCTTGGTTCTGAGCTGAATACTCCACACGAGCCTATATCACGGATACAAAAGAGATGTGAGAGCTTCTTGTGCAGTCACTGACTGCATGATCTTTTTGTCATAGATACCAAATGTAGAATTTAAGATAACTTGATATGTACAGTGTAGGGGACTAATTTATAGACTAATTTATGTTTGACTGTTTTCCATTGACAGTATCGAGAGCAGCAGGCGATACGACTGTGTCTGAAGCACTTCCGACAACACAACTATGACGAGGCTTTCGAGTCTCTGCAGAAGAAAACCAAAGTTGCCTTAGAGCACCCAATCCTTACTGAGCTGCATAATCACTTGGTAGGTAAAGTCTTCCTAGCAAGTACATTTACATCCCTTTGGTCATAATCGGTACTGTTACACCTACAATCAATCAACCGCAAGCATCAAGGCAGATGACAACACCTACAGGGTTGATATTATCTTTTGTTGATATTGAAAGTTAGTGTTTTAACCACATGATTTATATTAATGGATTTGTCATTTGCTGATGTTATCATTGATTTGGAAAAGTAGTGTTTTAATCATGTGAGTGTATGTATGTATGTATATCATTGGATATGTCAAACTAAACTATCTCTGTGTTTTATCAGGTTGTTCAAGGTGACTTTGATGCCTGTGAGGCCCTTGTTGAAAGAGCTGTACATGGTGAGTACAAAGCAAAGGTTTATTTCCTTCTCAGTTGTTGGTTTCTGTTTAGTCGTTGAAGATGGTGTGATGATGATGGTCAAGCTGGTGTGTTACGCTGAAGGGTGGTTACACCGGCTATACCGATCAATACAGATACAGAAGATGACAAATGTTGTCAGATTTCTCACCACCTTAATTGTTGTAACAGTTGTATTTTTTTCCTTACAGATGGACTGTTTAATGAGTTCATTAGTCAGCAGGAGTACAGACCAAAGTGGACACTGATAGAGCCTGTCTGCAATGGTAGGGATTATGTTACATATATAGGCTTGTATAGATCAATATGTTTACACGTGTCAAAGCTCTGTATCTTTTGCATTATCAATACACAGTAGTAGTAGTAGTACTATACACATATTATCAAATATGAAGAGAGGTGTCAGGAAGGACCTAACAGCAACACCTCGTGGCAAGAGGTGAAGATGATTGCAAGGGACCAAGGGAGGTGGAGAGTTTTCACTGAAACCCTGTGCTCTAGGAAGCGGGCGAAGAGGACTAAGTCAATATTGATGATACAATAGTACATTTGGAACAAAATTAATGACAACACTTGTCAAGAGACTATCAGTACAATGAATGTTGTAGAAGGAACATACATTGCCACATAAACCACATACACAACTTTTACTTGGTACATACTGTACATGTAGTTGCATTGTAAAGCAACAATAGTGTAAGTTGAGGTTAATGCTACAGATCCGTTTAAGGGATATTCAATGATGATCTGTAAGTGAACTTGTGACTTTGTTTTCTGAAGGTTCTTCAGAAGAAGACAGGCCGGGTATGAGAGGTGGTCATCAGATGGTCATCGATTCCAACACAGGTAGAACCCTTTTCTAACTTACACATAAACATGTACATCTTTATCATATTGATACGATGTATCATTATCCTTATATTTGCTACTGAAGATTGTAGCCTTCTTCTGCTAGCAGATCATGTGGTCACTATCATATCAGTACATATGCTAGCCTGGGTGCCAGACCCATAGCACACTGGACACAAAGTATCTCAGTGAGCATGGTGTGAGGGGTCATCAATCACAGTTTCTCCTCCCTATGCTGGAGAGCCTTTCCTAAGTCTTCCTACCAGACCCGTTCTTAAAAACTTTGTGTCCAGTGTGCTATGGGTCTGGCACCCAGGCTATACATGTGCATTTTCTTCCAACTGTTCAAAAATGACGACAGAGATTTTTCTGATGTGAAATACTTCATGCCTTGCTGTCACTTTCCCCACAGAAACCATCTACCTGTTTGGAGGGTGGGACGGCTCCCAGGACCTGTCTAACCTGTGGGAGTACAACGTACCGGCCTCACGGTGGACATGTCTGTCCAAGGATACAGAAAAAGATGTAAGTTTTTGCAGATCACACTAATAAGTAATACAACATGTGCTTGGAGTTAGGTCCATGGGACTGTCATTGATGACAGGAATAAAGAGAGAACTTAAGAAATCTTAAGAACATTTAACAGAACGTTTTACCATTCCTGTAATTGTAAAAGCCTGTGATAGCAGAAGTACCATGATTGTTGTTGATTTACATAATGATATCAGTGACACTATCCAGTCAGTGACTGTTTTTCCAGTTCCTTATACATAAGTGTTGACTAGCTCTGTCAGTTCATTCTAGTGAAGCTACAGAAGAGTGGTGGATGTCACTCAAAAGGGAAATCCTCATGTTTTATCTAACAGTAGAGTTTGAATTGCCTACTGGTATCACTTCCCTGGATGTCTAATCTTCTTGTTGTTTCTAACTATTGCACATTTTTTCTTCTGCCTGTAGGATGGCCCCAGTGCGCGGTCGTGCCATAAGATGTGTATAGACGGCGAGCGCCGGCAGATCTACCTGCTGGGCAGATATCTGGACTCCTCCCTTCGCACCTCGGAGACCCTGAAGAGCGACTTCTATGTTTATGATATAGATAACAATAAGTGGACGTTGATCAGTCAGAACACAGCTGAGGAGGGAGGGCCCAAACTCATCTTTGACCACCAGGTGAGGCATCTCTTCTCCCTCATGTTGACCGCGTGCCATGCTGCGTGTTATGCCGAGGGGCAGTTATACCGGCTATAAAGATACAGAGACTGTCACACCACTGAATTATGCTGTAACATAAATAATGCTACTCCTAGTAAAGTTGATGCCAGACACTATATATTCTTCAAGCATTTAGTTTAAGCCTGTTTTACATGTACATGTATGTTTTCTTAGCCTTTGTCAGGCTTTCTATTTTGTCGTTTTTTCTAGGATACATGTACCTAGAGAAAAGCAAATAATGAAGACAAAATGCAAAAGAGAGCTTAAAAACATGAGAAAAACCACCTTTACTGTTATTATTTCAAGTATTGGATTTCTTTAAAGTTAAATTAAACTATGTAGAAGCCTTGCTGGAAGCTCAGAAAATTTTTTCCTCCATTCCAGATGTGCATGGACGTGGAGAAGCAAACGATCTACGTGTTTGGGGGCCGCGTCCTGACCAGCGGGAGCTCGGGGGAGGAGAGGTCGTCCAACGAGCCCCTGTTCAGCGGTCTGTACTCGTACCACTGCCCCACCAACACGTGGAAGCTGCTGAGGGAGGACTCAGGGAACGCTGGCCCTCAGGACATCAGGAGCAGGATCGGACACTCCATGCTGTTCCACACGGTAGGGCCAGTTCACTAGCACGTTGGCACTGCACCTGCGCAAAACCTGTAATGTATTGTGTATAGCACTTCCGCAGAATGTGTCATATAAGGTCGAATTCGCGCATACAAGGTCAACTTAGCATCCCGTCTGTAGTTTCGAAATGTTATGTCAGAAAAAATATCGTCTGCACTCACTCAAGAGGCAAAATTCTGATGCAACGTTGACCAAACATCAAACAAAAACCGTGAAAAATTGGGGTTTTGTGCAGGCGCAGTACGTTCTGCCTGGCTAGAGCTCTGATGTATCATCTGCAGATTCTCTCACTTTCTTTAAGAAATAAGAAAAATAATGTGTATCTAAGGAATCCATGATGTACAAATTCCAGTCCCTCATAGTCATAGCCTCCACAAACACCTACAAATATTCATATTTCTCTGCACCATTCCCAAGTGAGATCTCAGCATCTTTATTAGGTTGTAGATCAGACTCAATGCATTTTGTGTGTGTAATTTTCTCCCTGTAGAAGTAGGCTTTAGGCACTGGATTTATATTGGTGTTGGGTTTGTCAAGAGGGAAATGTTACATGTATAAACATTGTTCAAAGCTATCTGAATTTGTTTAGGTACACAGCTCTACCTGCACATCTTTATCTCTCTATCTACCTATCTCTCTCTTTTTATTAGTCATGTCTCTTATTTTATTCATGTCTGTGACATTGAATAAAAGAGTGTTGTCTTATCTTTTCCAGCAACGTCGTCAGCTGTACATCTTTGCAGGTCAGAGGTCCAAAGAGTACCTGAACGACTTCTTCACCTACAATGTGGACACAGACGAAGTGGAATTCATATCAGATGGCACCAAGAAGGAAGAGGGGCAAGGTAGAGAAATCTTTACTCATTTGCAAGAAGTAATTAAACAAAACAACAATGTATTCCAGCATTACAAATTGTGTTACTCTCATTAAAAAAAATCCCCCCATGCTTGCGATCTGCTCCCTCATGCTGAATTTTTCAAGAAAAACCCTGATAGAAGTACAAAAGACAAAGTCACTGTGTCATGATTTTGCAGTAAGAGGTCACCTCTAAAATAATCTGCATTTACAGTAGTTTATGAAGTACTTAGTATGCTGCACAAAGTCATCAGCATGGCGTTTGTATCCCATTATTATGCCTGATAATGCTTCACTCGCTAGTGCCTTTTGAAGTCAAAGGCCAACCAACATCTGTCCTCACTGACTAGTACACTAACCCAGAGTGGCTCTCATGAGCCTTGTTTTGTGGTGAATATGAAGAAAATTATACAAAAAATTTGATGTGTGTTTGCTGCAGTGCCGGCGGCCGGGTTCACCCAGCGCGCCACCATCGATCCTGAGCTGGATGAGATCCACGTACTGTCAGTAAGTGTCTGTTGTGGAGGGAGAATAACAGTAGTGTCAGCAGTCTTACTGCCTTATAGTATATTAAGATATACATGTCAGGGCTCGAAACTCATTTGTGAGAATAGGTGTACTGGTGCACCCAACCTACAAATGTAAGAAATTGGGTGCACAAATTTTTTTGGGGGTGCACCATATAAAATAAAATAATAAAGTAGAATGCCAGCATGATAAAATGTTTGAAATCTAATCTTTCCTGATTGTCTCTTGGTGTGTTATTCTTGATCCAGGGTCTGAGCAAAGACAAGGAGAAGAGGGAAGAAAATGTACGAAACTCCTTCTGGGTGTATGATATCAAGCAGAAGAAATGGTATGCCACGGTGGTTTTGTGTTTAGATACACGAAATGCAAACATGTTTAAAGTTACATTTACATGTATGTGAGGATTGTTCTCACCTAGACCAGTTTTTACTACTACATAGTATGGATTAACTTTCATGATAGAAATGCACACATATATGTTCAGACAGTTTACATCTATCAATTGCAACATTTTTCAAATTGAACAGTTTTCTTTAAAAAAAAAGTACTCAGTGCAAGGCCAATAGATGACTTCTACATATTGAACCTAGTTTGCGTTACTGTAACACTTATAGTGTTTGCCATAGCAGTTCAAACAAATTGTTTATTTAGGCTTTTGAGTGTTGTGTTAAGTATATCCTATATTTTTCTGCCCAGGTCTTGTATATATAAGAATGAGCATTTGAACAAGGAGCAGTGGGGGAAGAGTCATCCAGCTGAACCCTGTCCCAGGTTTGCACACCAGCTGGTGTACGATCATATCCATCAGGTGGGTACAGAGATGATACACTGCTTCACTGATTTGCCTTGTCACATCTGGATACAGAAGTTATGTTTTGGTAGGCTGAGCTGTGGGTTTGTATATGGACTATTATATCTCAGGGGTCTCCCCAGAAATTCTTAGGAAGAGGTGCTCTCTAATCGGTTGATGAAAAATCAGTGAGTTTTCATGGAAATAATATGAGAAAACTCTAAATTTGAAAACTTTGGGAGAGGTGCTAGGATTTAGGGAGAAGGGGAGCACCCTTGCTTCATTACTAATTTGGGAGAGCCCTGTATCTGTTAGTCTAAACAGAACAGGGTTGTGTTGCTTCGAGCATGCTACTTTTGTGATCTAGTTCTGTACACAATCTCCCACATTCCAGCTTCTCCTTGGTGCTGAAATGCCTTCCTCAGTGAACAGACTAAGGAGAAGTTGTCTGAATGCATTACTTTCAAATACCAAATAACTATTGTTTGGGTGGTTTTTCTGTGGGTCTGTGTGTATGCTTGTCCAGACAGAGTAGGTTGTGGGTGGCACGTGGGGGAAAGATTGGCAGGCAGGATGAGAGGTCAAAATGGCATACCGTACTCAGGAAATGGTACACACTAGGATACATTTTCAAGAATTGTAAGATGGATTTATCAACACTTGGGTTAACTTTGTAAACTGATTTGCAGGTACACTATCTGTTTGGTGGGAATCCAGGGAAGTCCAACTCTCCCAAGATGAGGCTGGATGATTTCTGGTCTTTAAAGGTGGGAAAAGGCACTTGTATTTTGACTAATGTATATACAAATGTATGATGATGATACGTAAATGTTGCTCCAGTGTATACATGTAGTTCTTTGGGATTTTATCATATTCTCTTACATACAGGCTAGAGACACCTGACTGCTGCCTTGGCTCTTAAGTTTTTCCATGGCATGTATGAAATTCTTCTATTAAGAACAAAGTAGACTATTCAAAACTCTGTTTTTTCCTTTCTGCAGCTGTGTAGGGCATCCAAGGAACAACTGCTACGGAGGTGCAGATACCTTATACGGAGGCACAAGTGAGTACAACTGTATGTCACATGGCTCACTAAGGAAACTCATAGCTAGTGTTGTTCATGGGCACAGAACTCATAATATCTGTAGTTGATATTTTGTTTACAGACATATAGCCTTCCCTGTCACATGTTGACCCAGCCCCTTTAGATAATGTTAACGTAAGCTGTGTACCTCAACTAATTTTAAGTACAAGTACGGGAGCACAAGCCCATCTTCTACCGAGATGGATGGAGGCTGATGATAGGAGCACAAGTTTAAGTTCAGGACTACAGGTCCACTAGTGTTTCATTTTGTTCAGGTACATGTACATGTACACAAAATGCTCAAGTCCAGACCTTTACCTATAGTAAATAAATATACAGACAGCTGCAGGTATTAGGTGCACAGCCCTAATGTTAACATCCTTTGTGCTGCAGGTTCCAGGAGATAGCTGCTGCAGACCCGCTGGCTGCCCTGCAGTTCCTGCAGTGTGACCTCGCCTCCATCGTGGATCATGAGGACGATGAAGAAACCAGAGAGGTACAGAGATCAGCTGTTTTTTGGTGGCTGCAAAGACAAATTGGCAGGGCTTTATCCATTTGCCACCCCAAGGGTCATAAAAAAAGATACCAGTACAAATAGAGAGCCCGATAAAATGACTAAAACAGGCCAAAAATAAGATGAAGCCTGAGCCTCTGCATGAAGTGTAAGAGGTAGGGAGATCAGCTGTTTTTTTAACCTTTTCCCTGCTGCCTAACTCCATAATCTATCAATCAATCAATTTTATTCAAAATCAATCAATCAATCAATCAAATAACAAGTCTCAGTAAGTTACCCTCAGATAATCAAAAATTCTTCAACAGAGTTGGCAGCACTATTTGTCATCATATGTATCAAGCATTTCTTGCAAATATACATGTAGAATATTCAAAAATAGAAGCGGAAGCCAAATGGCTACTTCAGTGTGCTAATTGATAAAACTTTTTGTTTCAATTGAAATTTGCCACCCTCTGAAATGTTTCAGTTGTGAACACCATATTAGTGTAACATTGAGTTATGGAAGGTTCAATGTTAGCTTTACACTAGTACAGTTTGGAACAGTTGAAGTTGACATGTCTCGCATGTTTGTGTGTTCAGTTCCAGCAGCTGGCATCAACACTTTTCAAGTCCAAGGAGGAGATAGCTGATGGATACAACATGCACTGTAAGTTCATTTGTGCTTTGATATGTTGTCTTTTATCCACATCCAGTTGTCAGTGAATGGGGGCTTTTGAATGTTGATGATAATGAAGGCTTTGAGTGGTAGAAATATGTTTTTGTATTGTTGAAGAAATTTGAGAACATGATTGGATGTGCCTTAATTTATCATTCTGTTTCTCCAACTTATTTTTCCAGTCCTTACTGATGTGGATGATCATTTTCCTGGCAGAACACAGGTAAAATTTTTTGCCATTTGGGGACATATATACATTGTATACATGGTGCTTTGTATTCTGTGCTTCTTTTGCGAATCCAAAGGTTTCTTTTGCACAGAAAGAGCAAGTGTCATTAATTTGTGTGTGAAAACATTCATTCTCTGAATAGTTACATATTTGTTACTGTTAAGTTATCATATTATTGTTATTGTTAAGTTATTATATCCATATAGGCCATATTGGTTTCAGTCTTTCTCCTACATGTACACACCCAATGTTTATGTTCTACACTATGTATTTTTATGTACAAATAAAGAAATGAAGAAATAAAAATAAAATAATATGATGATTCTTTCCCCAGCTATTTGACACCCTGGTAGCATTCTTCCCTGAACACATGGCCCAGCCCAAGGGGAACCTGGTGGACCTCATCACATTCTGACACCCACAAACTGGACAGGACCAGCCACTAGTCTAACCAGGATGGTGCCATAGCACTGAGATAACCAGGGCTCTAGCCAGCTCCAATTTTTTCCATCAATTGCAAGAACTTTGTGGCATGTGGCGGAAAAATTTTCAAACCAATCGGTCGACCTTGACAAATTGGCAAAAATCTTGGTTAAAAACATCCAAAGAACCACCAACAACCACTCTCAACCTTGTGATTTGCCCCTCAAAATGTGGGAAATTGAATTTTTAAAGGCTTGAAAATCCAAAAATTGTCTTGGAACCCCTTAGTTTGTGAGCACTCTCCACCCAGGTCCGATCATGAACCTGGGATGATGGAAAAAGATTTAAAGCTGGGTAGAGCCCTGAGAGATACATGTATATCATTGTTCCTTTCCAAGATTATGCTACTGACTTTAAGAAGCTTATTGCTGACTTGCTGCTGCTGCATATTGTAGCAGAACTTGTTCCTCAAGTGATCGCTGATGCAAAAGAATTTGAATGTGAATTTTATAAAAAAAAGAAAACCAAGACTGTTGGTGTTGGTCATATTCCCAAGACAGGGAAATGCTGCTCCACAATATAAACTGTGTATACTAAATACAGGACAATGTGTTGCCATAAACTTTGTGTAAGCAACGAGATTTTGCTTGGGTTTCTGTACTGTATAAAATTAAGGAAGCTACCGTAGTACATTTATGCTACTTTATGCTGACAGCTACATAGGGGTTGTTAAGTCATCATCATCAAGACATCTTTGATTGATAACAATGACACCACACCAATTTGATTTATTATTTCAAGGCGGACAAGGCTGAACTGGAAACCAACATTGAAAACAGTTTGCAGGGAAAGTCTGTACCTTGATACACACAGTTCCAGGCAGTGAATGTAGTCAGGGTTAAGTTATGCTCACAGCCGGCTGTTTTCATCTTGGGACCCTGGCTCAGTTGTTTTCAGTTAAAACTTTTGTTCCAACACAACACATCTGGTCTCTTCAATAGACTGACCCAGTGAGACTCATCACATTTCTTCTTTGAAATGTGACGTCAACACTGGGTCAAAGGTGTCTGGTAAATGATGTTTTTGCTCAGTTTTTGCTTCAAAATGTCCAAAAAGCAAAAGAGAAAATAAATTGGTGTGAGCTATGTATTGGGTACCCCAAAACTGTAGTATGAAAAAGGTTGCTACTACAATGTATTGAAATGATATCCTGTGTTAAGCCAGAGACAAAGAGGCTAGAACAAACATGAATGTGCATTATGTATATGGTGTAACATCCAAATCAGGTACATGTATGTAGTTTAAATGGACAGTATCAACCATTTCAGTATCTGTACTCAAACTGATGACAAATGTTACTTGCCGTTGGAGATAACACAGGCTTTGATCAACTAACTAGAAAACAAAATAATATGTTTGCTGCTGACAAATCTAACTGGGAGGCACGTGTATGGTGATTTGATTACAGAAGCTAGAAAAGTGCTATTACAAGGTTTCACAGCCATACTACAGGAATGTTGAAGGACAAGAATATGTGTAGTAACACCAGTGTCTTGCACAATGCATTGTCTGAACTGCTGATCGACAAGGACAACAAGTGATCTCCTCTACGTAACTACCAGAATGTTGGTTTATTTCAGTGGATATGTATGTTGTTTTCAGTCCATGTTTTTCCAATGATTTAATGGTATCAAGTCTACATTGGCATGTGCCTGTATTGTATAACTGTTGACATGAGATGTAACAGTTTTGTGTATAAGTTTAAATGTATCAATGTCTTGACACACAAGAACTTGTAACAGTTTATTTTGTCAAAACGCGAAACAAATACTTGGTTGAACCACCGTGCCCTGTTCAAATCGAGGAATCGGTGTTTTCATTTGATTTATTCCATAAATTAGGGTGTGTCATTCTGAAAAAAGTACTTCTGTGTTTGGAATGAACAAAAACACAGGGTTCGTAGCTTCAATCATGTTGAATATTGTGCTGGAAAAAAACAAAAAATTTACACAATACTATAGTGAAGTCAAAAATCAAGCAAGCTTCAGCAGTACAGAGCTAGTCTGCTTAGAACACATCTTTATGCATGGTGCTGGCTTCTTATTTACTTGCACTCCAAGTAAGTTGCAGTATTATTGGTGATAACTGTTGTTCTGAAGTGACTACATCTTCAAGACCACAATGAAACAAAACTCATAAGAATTATGTAAAAAAAGTTTCAGATTGGATTCAGATTGGATGTCTGGTATCTGGACTGCTGTTATTTTGTACATTTCTGTGTTTAATTCTATTCTCGCAGTGTTGGTGTACTGATACCAGCTTAACCTGTATCAATATATATCAGTAATAGGTTCTGGACTGTAAGTTCCAGTGTCAATGGTTTGACATCACAACATGCCATACTTAAAGGTGTCATTCGGGCAGCTTATTTGGAGAGAATATTGGGCAATTCGTACTTTGTCAAATAAATCTATGCTAATAAATATGACACATTTCAGTGTAGTTTTTCTGTTGTATTGTTTAACATGCTCGGCTTGTCAGAATTGTGTTAGAATCATTCAGTAGTCTGTTCTTAATTTATGAAGTACATTGTGCTTATTACCATTTTCGTTTTACCATTTGAAATGGTACACCTTAGTTCTTAAATGGGTCAAAGGGTGTATTGTGCATATGTGTAAATGAAGTACTTTGTTCATTTGAAAAAAAAATATTGATGTTTTGGAGCAGCTTTTATCCACATATTATTATTAATACACCAACAAATGTCAGCCTGGCTTCATTATGCTTCACCCAATCAGGCCCTTACAGCAAGAGAGTGTGTAACAAAGGCTACAACATACCTGTCCTTGGTGCTGAGAACTAACAACACACTTGAAACACTTGAAAACAGACAAAACACTGGTACAATACAATGGTATACCCTGTCACAGGGCAAAGAATCCTTCAACCGGCAAGGGATGTTAACGTTGGATATCTCCCTGCTGTTTTCTTTTCAAATTTCCATGGCTGGAAACTTTGAGGATCAAGGCAAGGCATCAGGCTTGCCTGCATTCCGAAAAGATTCGCAACGCAATCCCTTTCCTCATTCCCATTTGGTGACAAAATATTTAAGATATAAAGGAAGCAGATGCTCGTTTCACACTATCATAGTTTGCACAGAAGCCGACCGCAAAAATTCGGAAATGTTCACAGCAAGCCGAAGCCGCACACATCTGCTTGGAGAATACCCTGACGTCTCGACGTGACGTCATGTGTCAGATGACCTCATATTGCACGTTACACGTGACAACTACAAAAGTAACAATATATTTTTCTTCGCTCTTCTGTATATGCGATCCTTGATATGTCCTGTCGTTATTGGGGATGTAAATAAAGATGCAAACTGTCGGAGTGTGCACTTCACAGTCGATCCTGAATCCACATTTTGTGCAGGACAACAAATTACGAGAATAATTCATTAATTGGTGCTTTTTCACTGATAAATATATCCATCCGCCACAAATGTTTTTATCATTTTTACCACTGTTTAAACTTGAATTTTTATCATTTATAGTCCCAAATTAGTATATATGATATTTACAACTCCAATCTGATGAAATATTTACTATAGGGGAGCCCTAAAAATTGACCCCTTTTGTGTGCAAGGATATGATTTTGCGAAGTGAGTGAATCGGTATCCGCCATCTTGGGTTCCATTGACCAGGCGATCGGCTGGTTCCTCTTTGGCCTATTTCCTCTGCCTTCAAGTCAGCATGGATGAAACCTACGACGTGATTGTGCTTGGCACGGGTCTCAAGGTAGCTATAAGTGGTATTTTTCTGCTTCTACAGATTCTACGATGACGGTAGGCGAAGGGGAAAGTCGCCGAAAAAGCCGGCTCTCCGTCGCCCCGCCACATTTTTGCTAAGGTGGGGTGGGATGGGGAGGTGGGTAGCTATACTGTTTAGGCTTTTTCGCCCTTTTAAAAGAACCACTTCCAACATAGCCTCGTGGCAGATCATTGAAAATCTACCAACCTAGATGTCCTAGCCGGGACTCTTGCGAGAGCTTTCGCATTTTAGTAATGATATAGCAGGTGGCATGGGCAGGTATAGAAAAATTATATCAGTATGCCGAGGCGCACCTACATCGGCTACCATGAACAGTGTACTATGTCCTTTCTCAGGGTGCCACGTTGAAAGTAGGGTATTGCACTTTGTCCCAACGTCAGATTATGCTTTGATTATCACTCACTTGTACCTAATCTCATAGAAAGAATAGCAGATAATGAGCTGATGCAATGGTGATGATAGGCAGTGGTAGGGACCGGGTTTGGTAGGGTCGGGGATGCAGAGGGGTGTGGTCCCATGGTATTGCCAGGAAACGTTGTCAGCTTTCCCGTCTGTCTGTCGCTCGGAGATACAGCCTAGTACCTCTCTGTGATACCCCAGGAGACGTGTTTATAATAGCACAGAAGATTATAATTTCTGGATAATTCTCGTGCTAATATTTGTTTACAGTTGTTTGGATAGCTACCATGGTATGACATGTCGGATGTAGGTCTTGCATTATCATGAGGCAGAAGCCATGACATGACCTACTACTAGTACTAGCATGTTGGGTGACTTTTGATCATTGAGCCTAGACTGTAGGGTTTTTGGCTTTACAAATTACAGTCTTAACTTTGTGTCTTTTCCTAAATCATGTAGGTAAAGCGTAATGAGATGTGAAATTTGGACTTTTTGTGCATTTGTCTATTTTAGGATATGTCAGCATCCTGTTGTCATGATCAGATATGCATCTCATTTACATACATGAACACTTTCCTAAGGCCATACCAATTTGATTTGTTGGTTCACGGATTCATTTTTTTCTGATTTGCAAAAAAAAATGCATTTCTGCCTCTGAATCAACACCAAAAGGTTCATATTTTGGTCCCAACAGTTAAAGGAAGTCCCTTCTCTTCAGAGTTGTTACAGTTTTCCAACTGTCAATGCAGTGGTTTGATAAAAGGTTTGAACCTAAATGTTTGAATATTACAAACCAGCCTGATATGTTGACTTCATGGCTCCTATCATGCCATTTGGGGCTATCATAGGATGCCTTGGTCTATTTTTTTTTTTTCGCCCATATTTTCACTTCATATTTTTTCTGAAAAAATCTGAGAACCAACAAATCAAATTGGTGTGGCTTTTGATCATGTGGCCTGATGTCTATATGCAGGGCTCGAAATACCCGGTGGCGCACTGGCGCGGCGCCACCTGATTTTGCTTGGCGCCACTTATTCCTAAACTCAGGTGGCGCAGCGCGCCACCTATAATTTGCGTGGATCGAGCCGCTAATCGCATGGATCGGGCCCCATTGTCGGCACAATCTTGTGAATTGTCGATGAATTGTCGATCTCGCCATGACGCCACAAAGAAAACGTTTTTATTGGTAGAAAATCAGACACCTCGCTGGCGTTTCACAACACAATTTTCATGTAAACAACTCCGACTGTCCTTGTTTACATGCAAAGCGTGCCGATACAAAATCCTGCCGGCCGCCCGACCGACCGCATGCGACGCTAAGTTTTCGGCGGCTCGGCGGAAAAATAATCCATCCCCAGAAGAAATTTTACGCATGAAAATAACAACTACAACTTGTTTTCGTCGTTATATGAGTTTCTGAGGCCGTAAAATGTTAAAACGGTTGAAATTTGTCGGAAAAAACAGCTCGAAAGACAGAATGAAAATGGCCGACGCTGCTTCCAACAATGTGGTCAAAGGTGAAGATAGCATCCAAGCGTCCAAGATACATGTACTACTACTAGTATTACACGCATGAAAAAATTTTTTTCGGCAACGACAGAAATAAAAATTCACTCGTACTTTTAAAGGGTTAATTTGTAAACATTACCGTGAAATTTTCCGAATTTATTGGTTTCTAGTGTCAGAATATAACTTTATTTTATAACATAAAACTTAAGTAGTTAACTAGAAGAAAACGTAATAGATATAAGTAGCAGATTTGAAGAAAATGATAACTTGGAAGTGTTGCCACTTGAATACTGATGGCGCCACCTGGCTTTTGACTCAGGTGGCAACATGTGCCACCTGGCTGAAAAAAGTATTTCGAGCCCTGATATGTACCCATTTTCAGAAGAGTGATGTCAGTTTCCATTGTATAGTCCTGGGCCAACAAAAACATAGGCAGATGGCACCTAACAATAGTGTTTTTGACTCTGGCCTTTTGCATGGAAATCACCAGTCAGATGCCACAGAGCTGAGATCATTGTCCCAACCAGGGCATTTATTAAACAAAGGCCATTATATGCGTGAAATGATTAAATCAGGTTATCTTGTTTTTTGTCCAGATTCATTTCTTATAGTGGCATTGGTAGCTAGATTTCATTGTCTGGTTATCAGAAGTTTTATCTCAATTAGCCAAAATGGGGAAATTTTACGTAAGTTGAAGTATGAAGAGAATTTAGGGTTAGACTAGAGTTTCTTGGTTATCCAAAAATTATGTGTGAAACAGTTCTTTGTGTGAAAAAATTGCATCAAAATATGCAAATTACTAGTACCCTATTCCCATTGAGCAAAAAAAAAAACAGTAACAGCAAAATTTTCAGTCACAGTTCACTGTGTGATGTTGGTAGACATATAATTGCCTGTCTTTCCCTTAAAACTGAAGGTACATGTACATCCCTTGTAATGTGTCATGTAAGATAACATCAGGTGAGGGCTTTCGGGGCCTTTCCTCCTCTGATATGGTACTTGGCTGACTTGACAGCGGAAAGCCAGAAGCTGGCAGGAATGATCAAAATCCATTGGCATCAATAATGAATATCGGTATTTGTTAGAAAAAAAATCATGACAAAAAACACTTTCATTTTCAGTGGGATGGAATGCCATAGTAGAGAAGGAAATCTCACCTTTTCGAGAATAAGAGCAAAGAAGCATTTTGTTCATTTGTACCCTTATCACAATTTTTATGTGAGAGTCACTTTCTAAAATCCTGTTTACAAAAAAAATGTATTTCAATCCCTGTTACATCTGGAGAAACATACTGGTAGACTAGTTTGCTACGTTGGATTTTTTTTATTTCCCTTAACCTCAGAAAACATGATTTGGTCATTGATGGACATATTGTAACAAACAGAAAATATTATCTGTCCATTATGTCTTAATCTTAGAAATGTCATCAATGAAGCTTTCTTCGGGTCTATGTCACAATTTTAACCCTCAACATAAACAGCTCTGTTATATCTGCATATTAGGACAGCACATCTTTGGAATTGTACTGTCAGTCTGACACAGATACAGGCTCTCTGATATGCCAAAGGAATGCGTCTAGGTCTAGCCATGGTCCTGGTCCCAATGTGTTTAATTTGTAAGACATAAAGACTGATGGAGGCAACAGTTGGATCAAACATTGAAGGTTGAGAAATGCCAGCAGTGAAATGTCACAAAAACAGCTAGTTCGTCACAGCTGTCTGATCCTGCAGGGTTTTAGCCAGTGTCATCCTGTCATGTTGGCAAAACAAAATTGGTACATGATTGATTGAAATCGAATGATGCCAGAATGTGAGCACGGGCATAGTGATTATGATGGGAAAAAGTTATAGCTGGCTAGAAGCAGAACCCTGGGCCTGTAGCGAACAGTATATGTCATGTGCAAGGTTTTGTCTAGCCTGGATGGCAGACTGTTTCCAGGGCCTACACAGGCTAGTTCCTTGGCTCCAGGGCCAACATGCCCCCAAGGAAATTCTAGCACGTCCTTACCACCACCTTTTGTGATTTGACCTACTTTTGAACATCTTTTATGTTAGACATTCATCCATCAAATAAGCATTTTTTTCTGTCATTAGATGGCCATTATTTTTTCAGTCAAGTTGCTGGTGAAGACCCTGCACTGGTGCAGAATACTAGACTGACTTAGCCTCCGTAGCAGGCTTATAGAACTGGGGGTTGGTGGTCTTTGGCTGTTTTCTGATTAGCCCACTTCTAATAAAAAAACGGGGTAATTCAATGAACCAGGCCGGCTATGTTTGTTGTCTATATGCAATCAGAAAATAGCACATAAAAGCTCCCAAAGACCCTGATGACCCCCAAAACCCCCAGTTTTTAGCATGCTATATGGAGGCTCAGACTGACTGACAGTCCTGGCCAAGGACATGCTAACATTGACAATGTACATCTGTGCACAGGAATGTATCCTGAGCGGCTTGTTGTCTGTGGGTGGGAAGAAGGTCCTGCACATGGACAGAAACAAGTACTATGGCGGGGAGAGTGCATCCATTACTCCACTGGAAGAGGTGAGAAGCAGTGTCTGATCTGATAGTTGGGTAGATGAATGGATAATTGGTTTATTGGGAAAATAAAATTAGTCCTGCAATAAAACAGACTTGAGTTGTACCGACTTCTGTTTTCAGATGGTTTTCAGTGATCATTGAGAAAATTATCTCCGTAAATCTAATCATCTCATATTATCATCTCTATTTTCGGATGTTTTTTTTATCATGTATATGTAATATGATGTATGCCCAGGTGTCAAAACCGTACCTGACATCGGTTGGGGAGGCAAAAGGCAGTGGAAGGAGATGGATGGGCACTAGGGCCTAGGAAAAAAATGTTGTGTTTCCTGTTTCCCGACCAACCCTAGAAAAAACTGCCGACCCTAGACTTTTTTTGGGTGGACCCATGCAAGGGACATAAATTTTCGAGCTGATCAACCTTTTCTAGCTCCACGATCTGACTGACTGATAAAATCCTTCCTACTGATCCTAATTTTTCAGGACCGAAACAGGAAACACAACTTTTTTTTCCTAGGCCTTACCTTTTTTTATGTTTCTCCCCACAGCTGTATGAGAAGTTCGGGCTGGGCAGTCCGCCGGAGACCATGGGTCGTGGCAGGGACTGGAACGTGGATCTCATCCCCAAGTTCCTCATGGCCAACGGTAAAGTAGCTCCGGCAGAACACAGCAGCCATTTTTCTCATTTGTTTATCAGTGTAAGAAACATCCGTGGCATCTGTAGTCTGCATTTTGCAGAGACATTTTCAATATTGCAGAAGAAAAATTAAGCAACCTGCAATTGCATGTAAAATGTTTGCAATTTTGTATATGTCATACTTTAAAGCGTGTATTTGCAGAAAGTATTTCTGAATTTTCGAAACATGTCTATAGGCATGATCGATGAATGATAATCTATTGTGTTTGTTTTTATCAAGATATTAACTTTTTTTGTTTCACCACAAGGTTTGTGACAGTTGGTGAAGTTGGTACTGTATTGTTCGTGTGTATTGTGAAAACATAGTCTGATGTACATGTAGACTGTTCAGAACAGTATATTTGTATGATCTGTTATTCAGCCTTTGAAATGATTTTTTTTAACAACTTCTTTTCAGGGAGTGATATTGACTTGATTTCTGTGGTTGCCCTCCAAGACACATTCTTAAAAAAAATGGCCAATTGGTCTCAGGTTGTTTCTGATCAGATAAAGAATGAAAAACTAGTTTTACAAAACTGCATGAAACTGAAATTCTGAACAAGAATGACTATGGCAAGTTGGGAAGATTTGTTCTTTGATACTCACATAAACAATGATCTGAGACTCAAGTGAAACATTTCATGTTCCTGTCATCACAACATGACTACCTCTGTTGTTGTACCTGTACTTTGATGTTCCATTCCATGTCACTGTAAAAGCTATTCAGTCAACCCGAGAGACTCCCTTTCTCACAGACTGATTACATCATCACACGCCTTTCCCTCGTGACACAAGTTAGGTTTAAACTAGAAAAGTAACATTTGCAAAGCAAATGCATAATGTTTACCTTTGGACATGGTCTGCTCTGTTAATTCTTACTCAAATACATTCACATACATGTACCACTGGTATATGGTGACAGGAGCAGAGCAGACCATGAAATCGCAACATTATGTAACCCAACACCAGTCACCATGGTGGCAGACGTCAACAAATCATGTCATTGGTCAGGTCAGAGGTCACTGTTTGGAGAAGAAGAAGAAGAAACTGAGCAAAACAATATGTTTTCCTTTGGTAAACATAAAAAACACACCTTATTTGATGGTACCGGTACGCGTCACCAGTGGGTTCATCAGTTGAACACCACCCGTCATGGGGAATTTCGGCCCTTAGTTCAATATTCCCTCGGGGTGGGGGGGCCAGCAGTGCAGTAACACCACCACCCACTTGTGAGCTGTCTCAGTCAGTCCTGGAGGTTGACTTTTTCAAAACAAAGTTCGATTCCTGGCGCAGCGTTCGAAAATTCACATGTAAAATCTCGGATTCACATGTAAAAATCTCTGATTCTGCTGCAAATTATGTCGATAATAATTATGAATGTGTATCATTCTATCATTGATCACTTGATACCAATATGTAGATTTGAATGGAGGTTTGTCACTCAGGCTGCCCACTGACAGACCAGTTACAGATTTCTTGTCTTACATCAACCTTAGGCCACACCAATTTAATTTGTTAGTTTTCGGATTCACCTCATTTTTTTCTGATTTGCAAAAAAAAAAAGATTCTGGTTCTGAATCAACTTAAATATGCTCATATTTTGCCCCATAACATTGCAGTAATCACTACAAAGCTATATGTAAATACATGACATTATTACTTTGAGAGGCTTGTGTATTTGCAGAAAGTATTTCCAAATTGCAGAACAAAATTTTAAGTCATCTGCAATATTGCAGAGCACTGGAAAAAAGTCCTTCTACCACTCTTCATGATTCTTGAAGGTTGACTGAGTAACTGTCCAATCCTGGAGACACACATGTTCACCATCGTTACTTTCCCTCTCGTCTCACCCTCAGTCTTAGAAACCGATGATAAATTAATGTGGTCAATCTTTAAGAAATGGAAAGTTTGGGATTGTAAGAAATTACTTGATTGTGATTACTAGATTAGCCTTGTTGATTCAACAACAACACGCACTCGACAGTCACCAAGAAAAGGATGCAGGGCTCGAAATCCTTTTTTTTTTCTGCATACCTGCAGGAAACATTGAAAATAACCTGCACCAGACAAATTTTAGCTGTACCACTGAGAGTATAGAAAGCATACTAAAAACTCCAAAATCACTTCTTATACTATCATGAAAGTTCATCTGTGTTGGTAGTTACATGTTTAAAGTTAAAACTTTTGGTCCAACACAAAAAATTCTCTCACCTAGAGCTTTCGACCAGTCACTCTGGTCTTCCTCAGTAGACTGACCCAGTGAAGCTTGTCACGTGGCTTCTTTGAAGTGTGACGTCAACACTGGGTCAAACTGGTCAAACATACTGAAAACTGTTCAGAAACCATTGTTTCTTGTATACTTCACATTAGTGGTTATAGTCCATGCACCAAATAAAAGTCGACATATACCTACATTTGTATATAAACCCAGTGCATGGACCGGTGCTGGTAGTCTAAACAGAAATACCTGCACAACTCCAATTTTACCTGCATTAAACTCCACGTGCAGGCGGTATGTATTTCGAGCCCTGATAGGGATGACAAGTCACGTATCTCCTACCTGAACTTCTACTAACCCATGTCTCTCTTCCTGTCCTCACGTCCCCATTCTGTCATCTGTCCAACTGGCCATTGTACCTTCAGGCATGCTTGTCAAGCTCCTTATCCACACTGGCGTCACCCGCTACCTGGAATTCAAGTCCGTAGAGGGCAGCTATGTGTATCAAGATGGCAAAATCTTTAAGGTCCCTGCCACAGAGCAGGAAGCCCTGGCATCCAGTAAGTGTTTCGATCCGTCTTCCGTGATGTACAATATTTTTCTTTTTTCTCACCATTCTTTCCAGGGATGCTTGTAAAGCTGTTGATTCACACGGGGGTGACCAGATATCTAGAATTCAAGTCATGTGAAGGTAGCTATGTGTACAAAGCCGGCAAAGTTCACAAGGTACCCGTTACAGAAAAGGAGGCCCTATCAACAAGTGAGTCCCAAATACTAACTCTGGTGTGGTGTGTTCTCACTTGTCATATGAACAGTACTACTGAATGAAACCTGTAACATTTGTACTTGGAGTTGTTGATGTTGGAGTTGTCACGTTTAACTCACTCGGAGCAAGGGGAAAGTTAATAACAGTTATGTGGTGTTGGAAATTCCAAAGGAAAAGGTGTTTTTATACTCTAATCATTGGTGATTTGTTTTGTACTAACATTTAAATCATTGGCTGAAATATCTTGGATATAGAAATGTAGCCCAAAGTGGAACATGCTTTCATTTTTTTTCCAATACATGCCTGAAAAGTTTGATTTTGTGAATCTTGCTTGTTGTGATTTTGAAGTACGTAGACGAATATGAGGAAGCAAGTCTTGATGTTCACAACATCAATGCATTAGACATCAGATTACACAGGTCAATGCAATCACATGCAAAAGATTAAGGCAATTATGATGAGAAATTACTGCTATCGTGAAAGTACCTTAACTGTGGTGTGTTTGCTTGTGACATTATGGCTACCATTATTGTCGGTTATACCGAGGAGAGTTAGACCTATATGTGGGTGTGTATGTAATTTTCATGACCATAATCACAAATACAGAGAAAGGTCTTTTGGTGTAGGCGAGTGGTGACAAATTGCTAAAAGTATGCTAAAAGCATGATACTTGTGTTGAACTGTGTCTTTCAATTTCAATTTGAGTTAATCTGGTTTACCAATAAAACACAAAGTAGGTTGTACATACTGTTACTGTTAGGCCCTATTGCATACTATTTTTGGGGACTTAGGAGTCTTTTTAGGACTTTTACTGTGTATTTCATGGGGCTATGGCATATTTACTGAATTATGAGCTACTAGTAACTAGCATGATTAATGACTATCTTACTGTAGTAGAGCAGTACCGGGTAGAATAGTTTTGTAGGTTGGCGACAGATGAAGAAACAAAAGCTACTGTAGGGCATAGTTTTCACAGTGTTTTAAATTCATGGTTGAAACAATTCTGTACTATAGTAGTCAGATTACAAGTTACAGGATTTACAGTACTCTCTGTAAATCCTCAATAACTGCTCCCTGCATGTGTAGTGATTTCTCCGCCGTCTGTTCGCCAGGTTTGATGGGGATGTTCGAGAAGCGTCGTTACCGCAAGTTCCTGATATGGGTGAACGACCTTGACGAGAACAACCCAATGACCTTCGGGGACATCGACATCGCGAAAGCCACCATGCAGGAGGTGTACACGCACTTCGGCCTGGACAAGAACACAGCCGACTTCACCGGACATGCCCTCGCCTTGTGGAGGGATGACAAGTACGCATCTTCATCTGTTTTTAAAGTTAAAGACCCTTTGTAGTGAGCTTATACATTTTTATGTTTACCGAAGCAAAACATATTGTTTCTGCTTAGTTTCCTCTTTTCCAAACACAAAAGGTCAATGACCTAGGCCAGACGGTCTATCACCATGGTAACTATTGTTGGGTTACATCATGTTGCAATTTTATAGCAGGAGGGATTTAGACTCCTGTCACCATATATATGAATGTGTTTGAGTAAGAATTAACAGCAGATTTTGTGAAGGTAAACATGATGCATTTGCTTTGCAAATGTTACCTTTCTAGTTTAAGCACAGCTTTCTGTACTTCAAACCTTTTCACAGTCTGGCAGTTATATTTCAGTTATATCTAAAACAGCCAATAAACCAACCAGATGGTATAGGAACTGGCACTCTTTTCTTGACACCCTGTACTCTTAAACTGTTCTATAATATTGTATCTTCCCTTATATATTTGCCTGTTCTGTTCCCGCAGTTACAAAGAGCAGTCTTGTATTGATACCATCCGGAGGATTAAGCTCTACAGGTGAGGTCATCTATGTGTTGTATGATTATATTCTACATCTGCTATCTTTGATTAAAACTTTACTCAGCAGCAACTCAATCAAGGGTACATATCTCCATCACATTTGGCCATTGCAGGCTATAGTTAGATATAGCTAAATTGCTATATTGTATTTTAGCCTCTACTGTGTATGAAATGCGTTTTTCCCATGCTTGTTTTTCTCCCAAAATGTCCTCTGCTTTGTTATATCATGTTAAAGATAAACCTAACAGTTAAGGAGTGCTAACGTGTTTATTGTAATGTTGACAGTGAGTCCCTTGCTCGCTATGGCAAGACTCCCTACCTGTACCCCCTGTATGGACTCGGAGAGCTGCCCCAGGGATTTGCCAGGTAAACTACATGTACTTCTCTTAGTAAGCAAGGCTTTACAAATGTACAATTTTTCACATGCTTTGACGAAAGGTAGTGGATGCTACCTGAAGCGTCTGACTGTTTCCAAAATCATATCCAGTTGCTTGAGTAACATTGTTTTGTTTTAAGGCCACATAGATTTCTTTTCTTGGTTCTCAGAATTTTAATTCAGCTTAGTATAATAAGTTGAATAAATGAAAAAATGTGCACTGTCCTGACTGTGATCTGTCTACCGTAGGTTGAGTGCTATCTACGGTGGAACCTACATGCTGGATAAGGAGGGATGTAAGATACAGTTTGATGAGGAAGGGAAGGTGATTGGAGTGGAGTCTGCCGGTGAGGTACGGATACACTGCCCTTCTTCAATAGTGCCTGAGTCTTTGGGTTCATTAATGTTTAGGTATGGAACTGAGTAGCTAAGATTGGTAGGGCCTGGTGTAGAATCATGCAACTACAATAACATAGAAAGAAAGAAATGCTTTCAAGTTTGACTCGATTGTAAGAAGATGTTGTACTACCTGCTCTCCTGTATCAATAAAATTATTGTTCTAACATTAGTATCATGTGATATTTTGTTGTGTATTGGGTTCTGTGAAGGTTTCAATATAAATTCCTCTTTTTTTAAGCATTCAGATAGTATTATTGATTTCATCTGCATTCAAAGCTGTACAAGTGACCATCTCTACATGAGGACTACGTGGCCAATGTGAACACTTTTGGGTGGTGACATTACAAATCCTGCCTATAGTGACCACCTGTCCACATAGACCAGCTTTAGATCAGTCCCCTGAGTTGTCTTCTTGGACAGGTTTGACTATGTGTACTGGAAGTAACACGACTATGACCTGTGCAGGTTGCTAAGTGCTCTGCAGTGGTGTGTGACCCGAGCTACGCTGTAGACAAAGTGAAGAAGGTTGGACAGGTGGTGCGCTGCATCTGTATCCTGTCTCACCCTGTACCCAACACCAAAGACTCCCTCTCCTGCCAGCTCATCATCCCCCAGAACCAGGTCGATAGAAAGTCGGGTACGTATGGCAACAAACTCTAAGTAAAGAGACCCTTTTTACACAATCAAGTCTTTTATTTAGCTAACGTTTCGGTGACCGTCTGTCACCTTCCTCATGGCAATTCTGACTGGTTCACATCGCATTGCAGCACAGGTGTCACTGCTATAGATGTCGGCTGAATAAAAGACTTGGTTGTGTAAAAAGAGTCTCTTCGCTCAGTAACTTACCAACATGTAACATGGTGCCACCAACTATGAAGAGACCATGGTTAAATTTCAACAGCTAGAAGTTGTTCTAAATACAATACAAACTTTTTTTTAGTATTCTACGAAATTAAGTATGACTCTACTTGACAACCCTGTATGTTATGTGTCTAAGAGATACAACGAATAGATTCTAGTATGCTCTCCTTGTTTTTTGGCAGACATCTATGTGTGCTGCGTCTCCTATGCCCACAATGTGGCCAGCAAAGGGAAGTTCCTGGCCATCTGCAGCACAACAGTGGAGACCGACAACCCTGAGGCTGAGCTCAAACCTGCACTGGACATGATCGGCCCTATCGATCAAAAGTGAGAACCTTTTTACAGTTTAAAGTTTTATTCATAAAAATCAGCCTTGCAGCCAGTGCACAAACAAGCTGAATAACACTGATTTTTTACAATTGCGTAGTAAGTACAAGTACAAATTAACATTACAATCCGTATACAGACACACAAACAAACATGTTACAAAGCCACTCATGGGCACTAAAGTAAAGTCCAGAGAGTCATGAGAGTTACTGCAAAGACTCATTGTACAGGCATACTGCCTTGTGTAAGAAAGAGTTTTTCAGTCTTTTTTGTACGGGCTGCTGGTACTTCACTGCTTTTCTTTGCATTTCAACACACATTCAAGATTCAAGAATGCTTTATTGGTTTATCACAGTTAAAACTGAATTATAAACCAATTTACAAAGCATCAACATGTTAGAAAATACAGGTTTACATTTCAAAATGTGTTGTACATTTGTGGGATTAAAAGACCAAAATATACAGGTTGTAGACTGTACAATTTTGCAGTTAAGTTTTTTGGAGTCACAGTCACAAATTGCTTCAAGCAGACACAAGATTGAGAGGTCACAGGTTGAATCCCTGGCACTCCTGGCTATACAATGTGTCCATACACATCACACATTTGTTTTGATTTAAAGAGAATGCTCTTTTAAGACTACTTAAAAGTAGTCCAAAAGCATTTTCAAATTGCAGTGAGAACTTTTCTGTTACAATTGTCCCAGGTTGAAAGAGTTCTATAATGCAATTATAAGAATGGTTGTCTGCACAACCCAACGCACTTCTTACAAATTACTTTAGGACACAAATTTTTGACATTCAGTCAAATCTGTCAGGAGAAAGTGCAGCTCATTTACACATCTGTATTCTGTTAAAATTATCAAAGTGTGTTGTCTCTTATGTTAGATAGATTTTATTAACCTGTTTTTATGTTCCTTTTCTGTCCTCAGGTTTGTGAGTGTGAGTGATCTGTTTGAACCAATTGATGATGGCACAAACAGCAAGGTTAGTTTTCCTGTCTTTCTGTGTTCACTACAGACATATTTGGCTGTACTTCCATATGCCCTTTATGATTTTTCACCTTAAATCAAATCTAATCTTTATTTAAAATCAGCTTTGCAGACGTGCCAAATTTCTTCAGACATTGCTGAATTGCGTTGACATTTTACAGATACGTAGATTAAAAGCATATCATTAGCATTAACATAATTAAGAAGTACAATGTATATACATCAGCTTACAATTGCACATTCACAATGCTAACTCTGCATTTTGTAAGTCTCTCGGCGTGTAATCCAATCCTGTTGTATTTCCTGCAGCTGTTTGTCTCCACGACCTACGACGCCACCACTCACTTCGAGACGACCTGTCTGGACATCCTGGACATTTACAAACGGTACTACGGGGAGGCGTTCGACTTCACGAAGGTCGCGGACCAGATCCAGACGGTAGCGGACGAATAGCGAGCGACCAAGCCAGCGATTCCAGCTCACCAGCACATTCATTTAAAGAAAGAAAAACAAAAAACCCTAGCACTTCCAGTTACGAATCAGAAATGATGAGTGTGGTTTTTAGTCCTCATGCTGTGATAGAAAGAAAAATTGATAACGCCAGAGGGAGAAAGATACCTACAGGACACAGATAGGCATTTGTGGCTCCTTTCGTGGCAGGCGAGTTAGCATTATTGATCGATATTGATAGGTATTGCCCAGCCAAGCCAAGCCGGCTCTCCAAGGCCGTTGTACGTAGTCTGCAAGAATTGTGAAAATACTTGAGTGCCGTCCGTGGCATACGTGTATCCATGAGGCATAATGTGTCACACAAACTCTGCAAAAAAAATAATAAAAAGAAAAAACAAAATTGCCTCGTCGATGATAATAAAAACAACAACTTCCGTTCCAAAAAATCGAGAAAGTGTGTAAAGCTAATTGTGTAGCTCTAACATTACAATTCTGTGCTCTTTTCATCCATGGTTTCTAGATAGCCAACTGACAGACGTCTTGCCTATACCTGCCAGTAACACTAGTCGTGCGTGGTAGCTCTATTCTACCATCTGTAATTAAGCTAAATCATTAAGAAGGGATCAAGCAAGAAGAATAATTCTACCCTAGCCTACCTACTCCTGCCTACGGACTGCAGGAGTTGTTAACCTTAGATGTATTTTGCTCGCTGACATGCTTTGTTGAAATTATTGATAAGGCACCAAAGCTGAAGTATTTGCGTTATTGTACATAATGAGACCTAATAATATCTTTGTGGTGCAAATGAGGATCTGTCTGAACGTATTATGTAAGAGCTATTTCCAGTGTCATCTATCTATAATGTGTGTACGCTGAATGTGATCAGGTACACGAAATTACACAGTAGTTCCAACTATTGACAAAGGCTTTCACTTCTGATGAATTTGTGGTACTTCCCCTCTTCTTGTCTGTTGTCGATTCTATAAAAATGTGTGATGTCCGGGGGAAACCTTTGCTAATGTCCCCAGAACTGCGTAACAGCTTTCATGTCTTAATAAATGACAGAGCACACAGGATGTCTTTGGTCTTAAGATTTCTTATTTTGTGTTCTTAAATTTATGACACTTAAGGCTGTTCTGAGGAGAGCTAATCTCTGAGCAGAAGCTGGGTACCAGATTTTCCGTTTTCTGACTGCAGATTTTTGACAGGGTCAGTGTCTGTCAGAGAAGAACATCAGTCAGAAACGTTGGAATCTTCCACCCTAACATCTGGTTGTAGATCAAGGCAAATAAGGCTGACTTTTCAGAAGTATGGCAATATCTCCCACTCATCTATTTCTATCAGGAAATAATTTGGATTATACATTAATCCCTGAATGACTGGATAGCACATATGTTTTCCTGTCAAACTTCAGGCTCAAAGTCCATGATTGCGGACATAACGTTACATAACTTAAGGTAAATAAAAAGAAGTCAACAATGGTTTTCAAAACTGTTGGCACACAATCTATCTAACCAAAAACTTAAAAACTGGCACTTCTTAAAATTGAATTGAAAAGTAACGTTACCTGTATATTTTCCTGGCATGTTTGTTGTAATGTCTGCGAACCCTGCAGATGTGCCGAAGGTCATCCGACCTTGCCACGCCCCCCTCCCCACCACCACCGAGCCGGTTTGCTGAACTGCACATAATTCTTGCTTGTTCAGACGGTGGTTTTCGCACGCTCTGTCACGTAACGTTACCTACCCGTAGACCGGTGGACTTTGAGTCTTCGAATTCGTTATCTAGCGCGTAGAATTCTAGCCTGTGTGCCATCCTAGTTGGAAGAGCAGTTACGGTAATGAATCGTAGGAGTCTCAGTGCGTTGTCTTCTGACTTCATGGCATGACAGCGTGTACTACATACAACAGTTTATGTTCGAATGAAAAAAGCGGCATTTTTTAGACTTAACGTTACGTAAGTTGTATAACAGTTATAGTACGTGTAGACTGCAACCACCCTATCATTACTACCCTATCACGCATTGGGCAACACTGTTGGAAATAGCTGATGATACGTCTTGTGTCTGAGAGAGATTAGGGACATTAGGGCATCGTCCTTTGGTGACCTAAACCTTTAAACACAATTTCAACAAACCGTCTTGGTTGTGAAGTTGACAACGTTGCAACGTTGCTTTAAAAATAGTACTAGTCATATAATCGTACGTATGACGTCCAACCACTGATAAGACAAGGCGATCTGAGGTGTTCAAACATGATGACGTAACTTCCTCCACTGCGGCCTATAATTACGCCAAAGGCCGTGCGTACAGTCTTCTCACTCAGGAGCATTTGCAAGAGAACCACCTTAAGAATGGTGTTACTAAGACTAACGGTTTTAACGACGCTTTTGGCAAGCGCGCTGGGTTACACCGCCCAGACTTGCCCCTCTAACATCCCCGAGAGCCAAAGGCGCGACTGCCATCCGGAACACGGGTCCACCGAATCTTCGTGCGCGGCGAAGGGATGCATGTGGTGCGTAACACTGGGGAGTTTATAGGCGCTACCAACTGACCAGACCGATGGATCTAGACCTTTTAGCCGAATCGTTAAAGCGTCGGCATGTGGACTGGTGCCCGGGTTTGGTCGTGGGTTCGAACCCCGGCCCGGGACCAGGGGTATTTATCTGTTTCTACTCGCACCCGTGTTTCTTACAGTGGTTCCCACACCGGCCCTGGGAGTTCTGGCCAAAAGTGTCGCCCCAGGGATGTCGAATACGGAAGATTCGAGGACGAATCTTGAAAAGGAAAGGGGGAGTAGTGTAACAGTAGGGGGTTTATAGGCGCTACCAACTGACCCGGCCGATGGATCTAGATCTTTTAGCCAAATCGTTAGAGCGTCGGCATGTGGACTGGTGCCCGGGTTTGGTCGTGGGTTGGAACCCCGGCCCGGGACCATGCAGGGATATTTATCTGTTTCTACTCGCTCCTCCTGTTTCTTACAGTGGTTCCCACACCGGTCCTGGGAGTTCTGGCCAAAAGTGTCGCGGGATGTCGAATACGGAAGATTCGAGGACGAATCTTGAAAAGAAAAGGGGTAGTAGTGTAACAGTAGGGGGTTTATAGGCGCTACCAACTGACCCGGCCGATGGATCTAGATCTTTTAGCCAAATCCGCGTCGGCATGTGGACTGGTGCCCGGGTTTGGTCGTGGGTTCGAACCCCGGCCCGGAACCAGGGGTATTTATCTGTTTCTACTCCTCCTGTTTCTTACAGGTGCGAGGCGTCCTACCAGGGCCCTCCCTGGTGCTTCTACGACGAGTCCTTCGCCGCCAACACCCCCGCGCCGGGCTCGTGCGACAACAGCCTCTGCCCGTCCTGCATCCCGGAGTACCAACGGCAGGACTGCCACCCGGAGCACGGATCCACCGAGGGAAGCTGCGCGGCGCGCGGCTGCGTCTGGTGCCCGGCCAGTACACCGGGGACTCCCTGGTGCTTCTTCGACTCCAACGTGGTCGTACCCGGAGGTGAATGAATGAATGAATGGATGGATGATTGAATGAATGAATGAATGAAAGGATGAATGAATGAATGAATGAATGGATGAATGAATGAATGAATGATTGAATGAATGAATGAATGAATGAATGAATGAATGAATGAATGAATGAATGAATGAATGAATGAATGAATGAATGAATGAATGAATGAATGGATGAATGACAGGTTATTTGATCAACATGATCTTTAAAAAAGTACATCGCAGCCAGGTAGAGTGGCTGAATTGCATACTTTTCACATCAATATATCAGGCTATTTACAAATTGACATTTGGTACAAATATTAATATTTACATTTACATCGCAATAAGGTGGAAATTCGGTGGCGTCGGTGGCGCAACGGTTAGAGCGTTGGACTCGGAACCGAGAGGTCCCGGGTTCGATACTCACCGTGGCCCGACGTTGTGCCCTTGGGAAAGGCACTTAACACGACTTCCCCACCTATACGGTGGAGTAACGCCCACCGAGCCTCTGTCTGTCAGGGTGCCAAAAACACCTTACGGATTTGGTGCGCCGATGTGACAACATCTCATATTGGCCACTGAGAACCGTATTTTTTTTTTAATAAGGTGGCAACAACAACGGCGGCGGTGGGCAGCACACGCACGGGGTCTACACCTGCTCGGCTGTGAACAGTGTTATCCCGGAGTCCCAGCGGGTCGACTGCCACCCCGAGCACGGTTCTAACCAGCACTCGTGTGAGCAGAAGGGCTGCTTCTGGTGCCCGGCGTCCTACGACGGACCGCCCTGGTGCTTCTATAACCAGACTGGCGGGCCGGATACAGGTACGGTCTCGTCTTTAGCCATCTTTACATATTACAAGTTAAATTCTCACCTTTTCAGCCGAAAATATGCCAAGTCAACAACCATATGGTAGTCCACCTCCATTGCCATGCACTGAAACCACCTAGGTTTAGTCATGAGCATGTAACATAGATAAATTACAACAATTTTCAACATTGCCTGAAAATAACGTTTTTGACCAAATGAAATCAACCCAAGACCAAGTGCTTTTATTATCAAGACTCTTGCTAAAAGGCAATTGAAATGACCAAGCCGACGAAGTTCCTATGGTTAATGTTTAACTTAAGCCTAATGATCTAGTCATCTAAATTAAGTCGGTGACATCCATGCCATACTTGATACGAATACCCTAAGATATCAAATTTAAAGACAGACTTTTCTATATTCTATATTAGGTGCCCATACCTTTTTCGTATTTTGTTCAATAGTGAGTGCCATATATTGTACCATTTGTAATTGTCGTGCAATAAAGTTTTGTGAATTTCTTTGTAGGCGGCCTTGCAGGCAACAACGGCGTCTGCCCCACCGACATCACGGAGGAGAACCGGATCGACTGTTACCCGGGCGGCGGCGCGACGCAGGGAAACTGCGAGGCTCTGGGCTGCATCTGGTGCGAGAGCTCCGTGCCCAACACGCCCTGGTGCTTCTATAACGGAACGTTTGATGACGTCGGCGGCGAGGAGACGTACAGGTGGGGAGAGGGCCACGAGCCCGTTTTTTATAGATGCTGTAAGAGTAAGGAGGGACTAGCTAAGACTAAGAACACACATGGCACACGCGGCATGGCTGTTCATACATGTGCAGGAATTGTAAATTTAGGGCACTATTTGCTAGCCTGGGTGCCATCCTCCGTAGTTTTCGCCCGCTTGTTGATACATGTAATAATGACAATGTAGCACACACGACTAATTTGGTGTAGGGTCTCTGTGTGACATGGAGCATACTGCAGTTTACACACACCACATACTTACCTTGGTTTTGTCGCCGTTCCCACAAAGGGTGGACTGTTCTCCCGAAGGGCTGAACCCGATCAAGTGCGCGGACCGCGGGTGCGTGATGGGCGCCGCCAGCCTGCCCGGCGTGCCGAGGTGCTACTTCCCGCCGGACCGCGGGTACCAGGCGGTGGGTGCGCCGCAGGACCTCCCCAACGGCCTGCTCTTCAGCCTGAAGCGGGTAGGAGGGAATGCCATGTTCGGCGGAGAGGTGGATCCGCTGGCCTTCTTGGTCGAGTACCAGTCAGACTCTAGGATTCACTTCAAGGTACCGTTTCGTATTAGCCTGGGAGCCATCGGTGTAGCGAGTGCAATGAGCCCCGTTACAAAACGGATGGCTCCCGGTGTTGAGCCAAATCCTTGAGCTGCCACGAGAGGTCAGGTGTTTAGGGCTAGCGTTAAGGTTGGTATTAGAGTTACGATTGGGGTTAGGTTAGGTTTAGTCTCCCACAACACGACTAAATCTATCCCACCCTCTGTCTTAGGTATATTGGAAACCCCCAAGTACAGGTAGTGGCAGAGCCATGTATTTGGCAGGATCATGTATTTGGCTTGACACCGGGCTAATTTTGCATCGCGCATATAGGACAATATCTAAAAATAGCCAAACGCTAGAACTCGCACAATTAATGATTTGTTTAAGTGCATTCTCATCCGTATTAGTGATGAAGCCTTTGCTTGTTTGTTTGTTTTTTGTTTGTTTGTTTGTTTGTTTGTTAAATAGTGGTAGATGCTATTTGTTGTTTGTTTAAACAACGTATAAACAAACTTTAACAAACAACGTATACTAAAATTAGAGAAGACATGAAAGAATGGAACATTGTTATAGAAACATTTCATTTCTTTTTACTAGTCGACTACAAATGTGCATGACTGTCTATAAATGTATTTCAGTTCTATGACCCTAACGACAACCGTTTTGAGGTCCCCCTGGACATCGGCACCCCCGCCAAGCCGCTGAACAAAGCTCTGTACAACTTCACCTGGACTAACGACCCCACCTTTACCTTCAACATCACCCGTACGGACACAGGCGCCACCCTGTAAGTTAACTATTATCACCCATTCTTTGTGTAATTGCAAAAAGAAACAACTTTTTCATGACCATCACCATCTGGTACTGTGTTGTCCTTGGTTCTGAAAGTACTATCTGTTAAAGTTGCAATTGGGTTAGAAGTTCAACCGGTAGTTTTCTTACATAGTCAAAGGCGGTGTTTAAACCTGATTTGGTAAACATTCAATCTAATATTGCTTATACGAATACCAATACTAATGTGGCCACTTAAGGGCTATTTCTTCACATCCATGGCATTGTTTCCCTTTTGTAGTGCTACCAAGTCGTTTGCGAGGCTTTTGTGCATTAACATGCGCTATTCAAAAGACACTATAAACTGTTATACGTGTAATTGTATCCTACATTACTGTAAATATAGAAATATTATATATCTGAATGACCTCTGGCCTCCTGACCATACTAAATCATATTGTCATTTGCCTATATTTGTCATTTGCCTAATGTTATGGATCTTAGGTATAAGACATTTCTGTAATTTATGACTTTATTATACTATGATGTGTACATGTTTATGAATGGATGTATGTATGTATTTGATAATGTCTGTGGAGCCTGACATAAGCTGTAGCTGCCAGGGCCTTCCACTGTATTACAATATTGGCAATTTAAGATAAAAAAATTAAGTAAAATAATTGTATCGTGATCATGTAGATTCGACACGTCTATGGGCGGGCTGGTGATGGAGGACCAGTTTCTGCAGATCGCCACCAAGCTTCCGTCCGCGAAGGTGTACGGATTTGGCGAGCACGAGCACAAGTCCTACCAGCACGACATGAGCTACCAGACGTGGGGCATGTACTCACGGGACCAGCCACCAGCGGTAGGTCTACGTCAAAAACTTCCAAAAAATTTAACTCGCTATCAACATTTCCTGACTGGACATGGTGACAGCACACACAAGTTATGTCAATTTATTCTATGCCGCCATCAACACAAGGGACAAATACGGGACAGGACAATACTCATTTCTACTTGAGTTAATGTGACAAAAGTCTTGTAAAGTGCCTTTCCCAAGGGCTCAAGATCAGTGGCAAGTCAGGACAGATCTAGAACCATACCTATCTAGTCCTATGCCTTAATGAATAAGGGTTAGGCTCAGTCAGGGTTTTGGATCGTCCCCCCTGGATTCGATCATCGTAGATTTGGTCACGGTTCTGGAAACGCGTTTTTGTTTTGCCCAGGCACCTTTCAACATTCCCTGGCAAAAGAAATACTTTCGTAGCGCGGAATAATCACCTTAACCACAGAGAAAAGTATGATAATAACATTTGTATTTTGCACGTGCTTATCAGTGGATACCCTTTAACTAAAAGGCATGTAGTGGGTGTTAAGTGGCCGGTGTCCGGACTTCAATATTTGGTCGTGATAAAGGCGGACGTGACAGCGTTGGTCTGTACTGTTATCTGTGGAAACTCCCGGTCTCGTGTCGGCAACGTGAGGAGGTTGTTGCGTAGCCTCCACAGCATGCCAAAAACTGGGGAGTTTGGGGGGTCTTCAGGGTCTTTGGGAGCTTTTATATGCTATTTTCTGATTGCATATAGACAACATAGCCGGCCTGGTTGAATTACCACCGTTAGAACTGGGCTAATCAGAAAACAGCCGAAGACCACCAAACCCCCAGTTCTATAAGCCTGCTACGGAGGCTAGTTGTTGCGTAAAACTGGCAGTGCAACGCCATAACTTCTATCAAAAAGTTTCTCCTGTCTTTTATAAGAAATTTCGTTATTTATTTAAGATACTAATCGATCTACTAGTAACTAATTTCTAACAAAAGAAGGTGTGCAAAAATGTCACAATACATAAGACCTTCACAATATGGCAAATGCTTAATTTACAGTCGCACACTTTGCACGACATTTAGTCTTGTTTTACAAACCGTGTATGACATTCACTTTACACATCTATTATTCGCGGACGTCTATTAAAGCAAACCACATTTCTATGAATAAATTGATAGAGAAATAAAGCGATAGACACTACAGATATCATATTGATATTTCCATAATATTAATATTCATGTTTGCAGTATAAGGGGAACCTGTACGGCGTCCATCCGTTCTACATGAATGTAGAGGACGACGATAACGCACATGGAGTCCTCATTCTCAACAGCGCTGCACAAGGTTAGTCACAAACTTCTCTTCTCTATCTCAAGCAGAGGTGTTTTAGAGAACGATGTGGTCATATTCTTCGTGCGATTTTGATGCAGTATATCAAGCAGGCTGTGACAAAAGCAACCACCGACAAGGCATCCTTTTCTGCACGACTAGCCTATTATCCACCAGACTCTTTTTGCAGGCTGAATACTCGTAAATAGTAGAAATCAGCCTAAAAAGGGGATATAATTGGCCAGAGAAGGTAGCCGACCAGAGAAGCTCCATTTGCCTGCACGGAAATGGAGCTTCTCTTGTCGGCTACCTTCTCTGGCCAATTATATCCCCTTTTAGGCCGATTTCTACTATTTATTCAGCCTGCAAAAGGAGTCTGGTGGAGACTACGACTAGCCCAGGAATGCCCTCAATTTGCGATCGCAATACGTATGTTCTTACCGAGCTCTACAATGCATTGAAAAATATGCATGCAAAGGGTTAAACAGTAACTCAAGACTGCATTTTTCCATTGAACTTGAAAATTTGAAGGTTCATTAATGCTAATTTTGAATAGCCTGGTATCCAGCCTTGTTAGCTTTAGTCCGCTACCAGGTACCGCTACCAGGTACCGCTACCGCTACTTAGGTAGCGGACTAAAGCTAACAAGGCTGGATACCAGGCTAAATTTTGAACGACTTCGTTGTTTTTATGACCTCAGACGTGACCTTGACCCCTGCGCCTGCGCTGATCTACAGAACCATCGGCGGTGTCCTGGACTTATACATGTTCCTGGGCCCAACACCAGAGAACGTCGTGCAGCAGTACACAGAGGTATACACATACGCATACACATATAATATACACATACAAATACATACACATCACATACACATACATATACACATAATCACACACAAACACACACACACACACACGTACGCACGCACACACACGTACGTACGCCCACACACACTCACACACACACACACACACGCACACACACACTCACACACGTACGCCCACACACACTCACACACATACACACACACACACACACACACACACACACACACACACACACACACACACACACACACACACACACTACGCACGCACACACACACACACACACACACACACACACACACACACACACAGTACACACACGCACACACACACGCGCGCACACACACACACACACACACACACACAAACAAACACACACATTCTGGATGATAATGTGGACGTCCTGTATACTTAATTCCATCAAAGGTGTGCATTGGTAATGTACTATAATCATGTAGCTACATGCGGGAATAATCTGCATATCTTTACATCGTCCTAGGCGATCGGGCGGCCGTTCATGCCGCCATATTGGTCGCTGGGCTTCCAGCTGTCCCGGTACGGGTACAACAGCCTCGCCACGGTCAGCGGCACGATCTCTGGTATCGTGTGCATCGTACAGAAAACATATTCACATGCAGCATTATAATCTTTATTGTTCTAGGCGATCGGCCGGCCGTTCATGCCGCCATATTGGTCGCTGGGCTTCCAGCTGTCCCGGTACGGATACAACAGTCTCGCCACTGTCAGCGACACGATCGACAGGATCCGGGCTTACGACATCCCTCATGTAAGTCTCTTTTAAACCTCCTAGATTTGTCTGGTTCTTCTAGAATGTTATCGTATCTTTCAGACTGGTAGCTACCAGACGAACTACGGCTATATGGCTATATATAGGAGAATATTTGCCAGGGGAGTTTGGCCGCCTTGTAGGTTTGACTGGCCGCTTCGGAGGGAAAGAAACTACCTCCCCGCGGCCAATTTTACTCTCTTTTTTGCCGAATTCTACGGTCCGTATAGAAAGGCCTGGTGGAGACTGGTACGTTCCATTGTTTTATTATCAATCTTCAAAAATGGTGTCAGCGGTGGGATTGTTTGTCTTTGTGGTCCTTACGTTTGATGACAAAATTGTGTTTTTCTTCGGGTGCGGAAGTAATGTTTTAGGTGGCTGACTGGTGAGTTCGTATGTTTCGTGTCCGGACAGAGTAAGTTGACAGCACGTGTGTGTGAGGGAAGTTTGATAGGCAACATGACAGAAGGTCAAAAGGGTCAGACAGAGGAAATGGATTGGACTTGAAGTTTATACATGTATATAGAATTTGGCAGGAGCCAGCTGTAACTAGTCCCAATGAAGGTACGCCACACAGTCGTCTTGGTTGTTCCAATTAATGCTAAGGTCACATTTCCCAACCGGGGCCCGGTCGGGCTGTTTAGATTAACAAAAATTCAATGATTCATATCAATAATATACGCAAAGAGTTCCTTTTGTCACCTTTTTTCTGCTTTGTTGTCTTTTATATCATACTTTTCGTTTCTTAAGACTGCCCGGCCGGGCCCCGTTTTGGAAATGTGACCCCAGCATAAGTCAGTAAAACCCAAAAACACTTCCCAGAAATCTGAAATCTCTGATTTCTTGTCGAACTTATAGGACGTCCAGTTTGGTGACATCGACTACATGGACGAACAGATGGACTTCACCTATGACCCCGTGACGTATGCCGGTTACCCTGACTACATCCGGAGGCTGAGGAACGATCACGGCATGCACTTCGTCACCATCCTAGTACGTCACAGCCCGATCGCATGCTGCAACGTTTTACGATCGTCGTAGCCTCTACCAGGCTTCGGGAGACGGCTGGAAAAAGTAGAAATCGCTCAAATAGAGAGATAACATGCATGCCGAGGGATTTGGTCTGCTATATAAAAAATAACATTTTGCCGCACACGAAAAATGCCGTGCAAATGGTCTTTTTAGCAGACCAACTCTCTCGGCAAGTTATCTCTCTATTTCAGCGATTTCTACTCTTTCCAGCCGTCTCCCAAAGCCTGGTACGTAGAGGCTACGATCGTCGTACAAAAGCGTTCTTGAAATAATCGTAAATATATTCCGCAAAATTCAACTGTCTTCTGTCAAGCGTCCATGTCGATAGTTGATATCATTACAGCCTGCTAGACCATGGAAAATTGGACGATATCAAAATGGTACGACGGCCTAAAAAAGGACGATAATCCAGAACATACATGTACACAATGTATTTGTTGTATTTGTAGCTGAAAAAATATTCTACCATATCATATAGTTTCATATATCATAAAACACGTACTACTATATGGATGCCTTGCCCCTCGATCCGTTAGTTACAAATATATTGTGTAAATCTAGTGGGACCGATGGACGCTTTAAGGGAATGTGTCTAGAACTGTGTTTGTCTCATTCTAGGACCCGTGCATAACGACGGAGAGGTCGAACTACCGTCCGTACGACCTCGGCCAGCAGATGGGCATCTGGATCAACGAATCCGACGGGCGAACGCCGGCACTGGGCAAGGTAAGCAAACCCAAAGTTTCATACAATACATGCAAAACTAGCTGTATATACATGTAGTAAAACAATGCAATTCTAGTTTTCTCTCTGATGAGTTTATGTTTGTTATATGTATTCATATCGTCTATGAAATTGCTTGCCTATATTGAATGTGTGCTTCCCTTTGCAAATTGTATCCTGCATACAGTTTAAGATATTATAATGTGACGATTACAACGATATATGGAACAGCGTCGCAGATAATTGACAAGATGGATATACTGTTATAAGTTTTAGATTCTCTACGGCACAGTCTTCATGTAAGCCCTTTCAAAATTGTCGGGAAGCACGAGGAAGGCCACATCACACTAAAAGATAGCGCCTCTCTACAAAACGATAGCGGCCTTACAGGCCTACGGCGCTTGGCACGCATACACCTACATTATAGTACATCTCATAGCCTCACAACGCGCATTTTCTACGTCCCTGTCCAGGTTTGGCCTCCGGGCGCGTCTGTGTTTCCAGACTACACCAGTCCGTACTGCCATGACTACTGGATCACGCTCTGTAAGGAGTTCTTCAGTGTCCTTCCGTACGACGGACTGTGGATCGTAAGTCTTTATTCTTACCTGAACACGTCATAATCATTTTATCACATTCACATTATGTATGTCATCTTCTTCTTCTTGATTACCGGTCTTAAAGGCCTCCACTGTCGTCGCCCGAACAGCTTGGTCCGGCAGTTTATTCCATTCTGTCTACCGATAATTCAAAAAGTCAACACACTTCGAGAAGATCGGGTAGCTAAAAAGCATCAAGCTTAACCGTTTGCCCCTCAGTGGAGGATGGCAAATGAAGAGAAGAAGGTAACTCTCTCCCAAAAGTAGCTTCGTTGGCCTTGTATCTATGATATGCGTTCACACTGAATAAGCTGTTATTCCTTTCTAGGACATGAACGAGCCAGCCAACTTCGGGACGGGTTCGATAGTGGGCTGTGACCAGAACAACATCAACCAGCCTCCCTTCTTACCGAGTACGTTTCACATAGGCAGATCTCCAAAACATCTACATTTCTACTAAAATGACAAAACCCATTAATTAACCGTGTAAAAGTATTCATCCGTAGGGATGGGAAGATGATAACGATGAAACAGAATTCGACCGGTTTCGACTTTATTCAGTCTTTCTCAAGAATGGCAGAGATTGGACCACTCCTCCTTTTATACCTTTTCTGTGCCTCTCTAGTGCAGGGCCCTCTGCTCGAGTAGGCCAAGTATTCATTAGCTAAGTAGTCACGTCAAAACAAGTAGTCAACCCTCCAGTAATGTGCGTAGAAAGACCTGATAGATCTATGTTCTGTACCTGTTAAACATCATTGTATCTCTTGCCTTCGGTCATGGGTTTGCAAATAGAGTTTGAATCGTTGAAGAGGTTCATCAGTCACGTAGAATTAACGTTAGTAGAAATTCTTCGATCAGCGACTGTATTTTTGTAAGGTAGATTACGTACCTCCAAATTTTCGATGTCCACTGTACATCTTGTTCACGGAGTGACCTAGTCTCGCGAGTTTGAATCATTTTGAAATGACGAATTCATCTGTCCGCCTGCAGAGATCTGGGGAGACCTGGCGGATAAGACTCTGTGTCCGGACTTCAAGACGTACATCGGGAACATGTACGACACACACAGTCTGTTCGGCTGGGCGCAGTCACCGCCTACTTTCCAGTAAGGATCGTTCTTTTCTACTTTAAGATGTTTTAGACGTTTGTATTAGTATTAGGTTTAGTTTTCGACTAATAAGACCTCCAGTGAATCCAACGTTATAGGGAACAAAGTTAGGTCTTAATTTTTGTTTGCTGAAGAGAAGAACAAAGCACTGACTGCGCTGTGGATTACAAAGCTTAATGTGACAATATCTCTTCTCCCAAAGTACGACACACCATTGACTCACTGATGAGAGTGATGCTGAGGACTACAACTGACCCAACAGGAGAAAACAGGGGTTACGGAGGCTGCTCACGGAATCTCCTACCTGTCCCACCTTGTTAACCGTTTGTTGTTCTACCAATGTATAAATAAAGTACGTTACTCTTAAGTCTTTATAGACTAGAGGAGATACCAACAATATTGCTCCGGCTGCAGGGCTGTCCAGGAGGCGTCCGGTAAGCGCGCGTTCGTGGTGTCCCGGTCCACGTTCCCGGGCTCCGGCAAGTACGCCGCCCACTGGCTGGGAGACAACTACAGTCAGTGGTCCAACCTCAAGAACTCCATCGTCGGTACGTAATTCGTTACTTTTTCAAAAATAACTATGTAATGTAAATGTATATGTAATTGTATGTGATGTATTGTTATGTCTTACGCACCCTCTCCTGGAAGAATAGCTGCCACCCTCGGGTGGGCAGCTAAAGGAGAGTATTTCCTCAATAAACCTCAATAAACGTGTTGTAGGTAAGACTTGCTAGTTGTACAGATTAGCAAGGAAAACATTTAGGAAGACAGTGGAAAATCTTAACGGACGTTACGTTTAGCGTTGTTTTTTTAAGTGTTGCTGACAGTTCCGATGCCACTAGTACATACTTTCCTCTATTGCATTCCTGTCTCATTGAAACTGTAGAAATATTTGTCTTTGAAATCTTTAGTAGAAGTAATTGTCGTGTCTTGTAAGTCTTAAGCACATTATAACAGGGCGCATGGCACTCTCATATTTCTGTTTTACTATTATTACCAACACAGGAATGCTGGAATTCAGTCTCTTCGGAATCCCATACGTAAGTACTCTTACCTTTCTCCTAGGAGTTTCTAGTCCTTCAGTTATGTTTAAACTTTGAAAGATATGAGTCAAAACTAAGAATTCATAATGTGAGGTCCCGACGGCCGAGATTCTTCGTAACGACAGAGCGTTCGGCTCGGAACCAAGACGTCCCGAGTTCGAATCCTGCCATGCCACCGCTCTTGTGCCCTCTGAAAAGGCACTTTACACGAATTTCCACACTTAACTCACATGTGACATGCAAATGAGTATGCCTGTTGTCCGTGCGTTTGTCTGCGTCGGTGGCGGCATAGAATAAGTTGAAAAACTTGAGTGTGTCGTCGCCATGTCTTGGGATAAAATGTTGGAATAGAAAAAAAGATTAAAATCATTCATAACGTTTCATTCATTGTCCATGCACGTTTCAGAGCGGTGCTGACATCTGTGGGTTTAACGGAGACGCGAACTACGAGCAGTGTAACCGCTGGATGCAGCTCGGAGCCTTCTATCCATTCGCCAGGAACCACAATGGCCTGGGATACAGGGTACGGAGTACGTGTACATGTATATAAGAGCGTGTGAAGCGTAGTGATGAAGTACTAGTGGGTCTCATCCCTCGTCAATGGTTTCTATTGGTTGCAAATTAAAATTCTACTATCATCGACATATCGTCTTCTCTACATAGCTAGGCCTAGTATCGCCTTCAGTAACTGTCTGCCATGCAAATCCTCGATAATCTCCGAAAGCAGATCTTTTGGTGGGAAAGTCGTAACCGTCTGACAGTGTCGAATGAAGGGGTGCAGTTGGATATTGCCAATTTGATACTAGTACTGCCTTGCCCGTTGGTTACCGGGAGCCAACTGGATAGCGTCTTGCCTATTGGATACTGTCTTGCCGCTTGGTTACGAGTCTTACGACCAGTTTGTCACCGAAAGATCTGCTGGGAAACTACAAATCTTTTACTAAAGCAACGATGGTTACAAAAATTGAGCCACCCCATCCTCCCCCAGGAACAAGACCCGGGTGCGTGGGACGCGGAGTTTGCCCGGATCAGCCGGGAGGTCCTGCTGGTGCGGTACACCCTCAACCCGTACCTGTACCTGCTGTTCCACCAGGCGCACACGGAGGGATCCACGGTAGTCAGGCCGCTGCTGCACGAGTACGGTTACATCCCAAACTGTCCCAAAATGGCCTCAATTTACTGTAGGCATCACTGCGTGAAAACGTAGATTTACCAATGGCAGTAAATACCAGTAATGTCGGGTAATGTTTACTTTGTTTTTTAATTAACACTTCTGAATTTTACAATGGTAGTAAAAAACGTCAAATACGATGATTCCTGGCTTAACTAGGGTTTAAATTAAATTATTGCAATTGACTTTTATTTACTACCATTGTAAAGCCAGATACTATATACAAAGTAAACATTATCTGAGTTTACTACCTTTGGTAAATCCAACTTTTTGTGCAGTGCGTCACAGACTTAGCGTATGACCATAAAACAATCGTTGTTTTTGTAATACAGCTACGATACTGCAAGAGCTCGATTTAAAGGTCCTGTTTATCTCACCTACAGGTTCGTGAACGACAAAGAGACCCACACCATCGACAGACAGTTCCTGTGGGGCCCTGCACTGCTGTTCTCTCCTGTTCTCGACGAGGTGAAATCTACTTTAAAGTTTCAAGTTGTTGATGTTGATTGTTGTTGTTGCCATTCTGTCAACTGTCGTGTATCATTGCTTGCAGACACTGACACCAATAGTGTCGAGGTGCAAAATGTAAATAATGTACGTTCAAACTAAAGATTACTAACAGCAACTTGCTTTTATCAATGCCTTCAGGGGATGACGTCGGTTGATGCCTACTTTCCGAAAGCCCGCTGGTACGACTACTACACGGTAAGGACGAAGACACGAACTCCGCATTTCTTTTTCGATAGTTCGCCATGTTTCCTTCGGTCTTGCTCTCAGTGTCCTACCCTGAGGCGTCCATTTTGAGCTGTTCTGGTGATGCTTTCTGATGGCATGCATGTTAAAATTGTTGTGCAATAAATTTTGATTCATTGGTTGATTGATTGTCATCCCCCTCCCCGCAGGGTGCAGAGATCTCGCCCTCCCAGCAGATGACGTACGTGACGCTGAACGCGCCGAGTGACTACATCCCCATCCACGTGCGCGGCGGTTACGTCATCCCCACCCAGGAACCGGCTAGGACGACAACCGTCAGGTCAGAGTCACTATAGCCAGGTGTCCAGTCTATCATGGTTGGGGATGGCCGTCTTCGAGGCTCTGATAGCTTCCCCCGCTCAGCTCAACAGACCGCCCAGTAGGGGTGTTACGCCTGTTGGAGTTTTGCACGTCAGGAGTTGATTAGTCCCACCACGAAACTCCCGTCGCGCAAAACCTACTGGGAACCTAGCAGAGTCAGGCGGGTAAGATCTCCTGCAGCCCCGAAGAGAGTTTGCCCCAACCACGATAGACTGTACGCCATGCAGACTAAAGTCTGTCACTTCTGTGTCACGTACATTGTGCCGCTGGCCTGTGTGTTTCATCTTATGTTTCTGAATCATCTAGATCGACTGACTTCATTCTTTCCACGGCTTCATCGTTGTAAACAATACTTTCAGCACCAAGGACAGGGCCTACACAGCATTTCATCCATATTTCATAGCTTTAAACAACGTACGCCTGCAGTTAGATGTGCAAAGGTTGGATGTAACAGGTTGTTCGGTGTTATGTAATAATATAGCCAGCTGCCGCCATGCCGCGAGCCTACAAAGCAGGTGTGTTACGCCGAAGGAGGTTGTACCGGCTATACAGATACAGATACTCATTAATCGGCCTCCTTCCGTCTCAGTAGACGATGGGCTTGGTCCAGCAGGGGCCCGACACCTTCTCTGGTGACTGAACAAGCCGTTCTGTGATTGGCTGCTCTGCCACATGTACAGATACAGATACTAGGTACGCCCATTCTACATGACATTAATGTTGGTAAATGTGTGCCCTTCCTTCCCACAGCCGGACACTGCCCATGGGTCTGATCATCGCCCTGGGGGATGCCCAGAGTCACATGGCCCGAGGGACCTTATTCTGGGACGACGGAGACTCCATAGGTCAGTAGGGCAGATTCAGGCCGCAAAAGTCCCTATTGCGGTGGTTTTATTTTCAAATTTACAGTCACCAGATACCTCTTGCCGAGGATTGGTGGAAAAACCGGTCCAGTCTGAACTGGTTAGTGGGGCTGGAAAAAGCAGTCTGACCCTGTCACGTGTAGTTGTGCCCCCTCAACCAGTCTGGACCGCTTTTTCCACCCCCACCCCCCTAACCGGTCCAGACTTGACCGTTTTTTCCACCAACTCCTCTTGCAGCAAAATCATACCACTGCTTCACGGCTAACATGCCCTGAAGAAACTTTCACCACAAACACCCTGAGCAACTAACTGAAGGGTGTCTGTGGTAAAGTTTCTTTGAGAGCATGTTGACCATGGAGCTGAAGAGATGGCCTGTTTCTTGGCTCTGGCAAAATTCTATAAAGCTATGCAATATACATGTAGTGAAGTGACCTATGTGTCTTGTTATGTTATGACCATTGAGAAAGAAATACTACTAGCGTAAAGAGTCAGACAGTGGACATTAGTGACTGATATCCGCTTCCACTTTGAAATTGTTTTTAACATGAACGTTGTTGTTTCTTTGAAGGCATAACACTTTTACCATTTCCCTACCTTCCAGACACATATGCCAATGGCAACTACTTCCAAATGGAGTTCGTTGCTGATGAAGTAAGTATAATCAAGGCCAACCTTAAAGACAAACATCAAACCGGCCCTTTTTACCACTAATTCAATACATGTTTGTTAGGTCTTAGGGCATGTCGTGTTTGTGTGCTGATTTTCGTCAATAACTTTCGTCGTGTGTCGTTCAAGCTTCAGTCACAGACATTGTACAATACACCTATGATGGAGGTTACACGAAGATTGTGCTGTATGTCGTAGATTTGAAAAGAGAATATTGCACCGATTTCTTTTCAAGCCTACGACGTACGATTTTGTCACAAAAAAACGTAGGTACATGTATATGACCAGGGATTTACTGTTGCTCATAGACCAATATTCCTGTTATCAAACTCATTGAAATGACCATTTTGCATCTCTCCCGTACAGAATGGTCTACAGACCCTCGTACATAGCGACGGGTACCGAGGCATTGACTCGTTAACGTTCGGCACCATTCGGGTGTTCGGGCTCAGCTCGGTATCTTCCATTATGATCAACGGGTTCCCGCACAGCAGCTTCACGTTTGACCCAACGACAAAGGTAAAAATCCAACATTGTCGGTTTTCTATCAGTGTTTTTCAGAGATAACTAATCAAATTGTGGCCAAATACATACAAAACAAGTAAAAAAACTTGAACCAGCATGTCCAGATCACGAGATATCAAAGCCGGATGTACTGCTGCAGCACCATAACAAACCAACAGGGGGCCAAAATCTAATCGTTTTGAGGACTCCTCAAGGCCTACCCATCTACCAAGTATCACGACAATCCGCATAAGCCTTCTCAAGTTATCTTGTTTACACACACACACACACACACACACACACACACATGCTGTACATACACAAACACCATCGAAAACATAACCTTCTTGGCAATGGTAAAAACACATGAATAAAACTACCTACATCCCACCTATAAACTACCTTGATGTAATGCCACAAGAAAGCGCTATGGCAGAAAATACTAAGAGTGGACAATGCTCCATTGAAAATTATGTATCATTCACATCAACATTTTTTTAATTTCCTTTTTTATTTCAGGAGCTCCAGATAACCAGCATCAATGTTGGCGTGAAGGATCTACAAAGTATCGCCTGGGCGTAATGACGCTAGTCCATCTTCTTAGTCACCACACTTAGATTAATAAATGCTAGTTGCAGATCATGGCTGTGTTATTTACATGGTTTATATCTTGTTTAGAAGGGGGCCCGCATGCCCTTTTCCATAGAGCATAATCGGCCGTTTTAATTCTACGTAGAGCGTAGACGGACCGCTCTACGTAATGCGTTGTAGCCACTTGGAATTTATCGTAAAGCGTAATCGAGAGGTTTCCGAATTCAGCGTAGAGCGTTGTCGGGACCCCTCCCCCCCTTGCAGGCCCTCTTAGAAGTCTTAAATCAATAAATCTGTGTGTAAAGACCCACAAAGGAAAGAAAACGCCTTCCGTTGTCAAATCTTTTATTTGCATAGATACCTCACTCCATACCACTGACTCCTAAGAAAGTCCCAATTCATGATCACTTCCAACTTAAACATTGGAGGCACAGAAAACATACAAACAAAAGCATCATGTTTGTGGCTATGAGAAAAACATAAAGCAACAATACGTAACCAGGCCAAAAATTGAATTTGGGCTCCTTTTAACAATAAAATACATGTTCAAGCAAAGAAACAAGAAAGCAAGGATCAAAGTCACTTCCACATTTTCCAGACTATAGAGATACCACTGAAAATTTCTACATATGAACACATTAGACTGCAGAAAAGCTGGTGAGGATAGCGCACAGTCTGTACCTACAATGTACTTGCCTGATCCTTCGGCGAGTACTTAATACTTATATTGCACCCAATATACACACTAGTCTTATAGACAAGTCTTTCTAATTTTTTAGGATATTTATATAAAAATTCTTTAAAACTATGGACAAAATTCCTTTGGTCATTACTGTCGTCTATTTACACAGTAGAATTAGAAAAGCATGATTCAATGGACTGAAACACAATTCCAGCTTAAACCTAATAAAATAGTTAAAAAATAGGTAAAGAACCTGAGAATCACAGTACGGGGTAACATGGTGTTTCGTCATAGCCACACTGTCCAATCATGTGGATAAACTGTAAAAAAAAAAAAGTAAATGTAGTTTCCAAAGACATTTTCATTACACAAGACACAGGCAACGGACAATGCTGATACAAATAAGCAGGAAAGGCAAAAATTTCAAGCAACTTACGTTCGAAGAAACTAGACGTATTATCCTCCAGTTTTTGTAGGAACTCGTTGTTCTGGTCATACTCCGTGAGTTCCTTCTCGTACTCCCCGGCTTCAGCTTCCTGACCCATCTCTTTGTAGATCCGAACAAGAAAGTAGAGGGCTGGAAACGGTATAGATTTAAAATGGTCATTTTGGAAAAGCAGCATCTAGTGTACAAGCGATCGCTATTTATGTTGACATCATATTCATGCAAACTATTTGAAGAGATTTGCAAATTATTGGTAGGCAAATCAACCAACTGTCACCCGCTTTTTGCCTATCACCAGCTGGCCGTGACATCATGGCGATTGCTCGTTATTTTGACTGCAGGAACTGAAGTATCAAGGAGGTTAAATACTATGTTTAACCTTCTTGGAAGTATATTGTTGATACAGTGTTTTTTCTAGACATGCTACAGCATCTAAGTTGAAAAGAAAGTCAACCTGTCAATGAAAAGAATTCAAGTCGTATTCACACCAAAGCTAAGTAGTGTATTTGGTGGCAGAATGCTTGGTTGATAACTCTGGTACTTGTTCTTTTCTAAGCTGTTATAAGGTACCTGATTATCAGTATCTCCGCCAGGTTATTACAATATCATATCAAACTTATTACTCGGGGACTAGAACCTACCTAGTTGACACGCTCTGTGTCGCTGTGGAAGAACCTTCTTCTTCATCTCCAGAGACAACTTGGTCAGACGGGCGGCTTCGGTCAGGTTCCTGCTGTCACCCAGCAGGTAGTTTCTAGCCAGCTTGTTCAGCACTGCAGACAAACCAGATGTAAAACCGTATTAGGAATGTCGAGTTTACACTTAAAACATCTGTCGTAGCTACAATCTTCACAAGGGGCTATGAATAATAGAATTTGGCACAAATAAGGTCAATAGTTGACCAGGGGAGTGAGACATGTGCGGTAAGGCTTAAAATGAACCCAATGATTGTCTAACTCCGCTGGAAAATGTTCTGAAGTCTCTCTAACCAGCGTAGGTACTCTGTTAGAGACTACACCTGCAGTACAAAAGGCAAATTGAATAAAGAGGATATTCTTTGGGCAATTCGTCGTACGGTCAGCAGTCTCGTTGCGAGAAAGCTTAATGCGTAGTGATACATATCCTCACAATAGCCTTACTGAAACCAGTGCAACAGATAACACTGTGCGAATATGTGACCTCACCCTTAATTTACATGTGGATGCACAGATCTTCATTCTAGACATCAACCACAGGAATATAAAATGATTTAAGCCTCACCAATTGCTACGCTGATGTGCTCCTCCCCGAAAACTGCCCGCTTCATCTCCAGACTGGCCTTGATGAGTTTTTCTGACTCCTCCAGACGCCCCAGGTCCTGGTAAAGCGCTCCGAGGTTATTGTAGGCTGGAAGTACCCCAAAATAGTTAATAACTAGAAAGGTAACGTTGGCAAAGCAAATGCATAATGTTTAACATTACCTTTGCATATGGTCTGCTCTGTTAATTCTTACTCAAACACATTCATATGTATGGTGACAGGAGTCTAAATCCCTCCTGCTATAAAACTGCAACATGATGTAACCCAACACCAGTTACCATGGTGACAGACGTCTGGTTCTGGTGATTGACCTTTTTTGTTTGAAATGGAAGAAGAGGGCACACAGCAAGACATTTGAATCGATTGATGACACATCGACAACGTGTCACATACGCAAAACACTAAATAGCTAATTTTAAAATCTTTGACTTAACGTTATACTTGCTCTGAAAGGCCAGGTTCGGTATCGGTATATATTTGACACAAGTGAATAAATTTTTCACAAACGTAACTCACCCACAGCGATCATGTAGTGGTTGGAAACGTTCCGTTTCTCGTAGTAGGCTTTCTTTAACCTGAGGGCTGTTTGTAACATCCTCTCGGTTTCTGTGACGTAATCTTCGCCCATCTCCGTCAAATTCCGTCGCTGCCGAGCACGTGCCACAGCCTGGATGCCTGAAGTGATGAAGGAAAACGTACGTACTGGCATTTTCTCTCTATTCCATCGAAAAATGACACTGACAATAAAAGAATAATAGGAGTGAAATATATCAATAACATCGGTACCATCAATTCGCGGTGGCTAGATCATCGCGAAAAGAGCTATTAACTACAACCACTGCTAAAGTTTCTGCAGTACAAGCTTGAAGACAGAAAAGCACTGATGATGTATCAATAGGCACGCTATTCATAGCTTCTTCCAGGCTTCACGATTGGAAGCAACGGGAAAGAGCAGAAATTGGCCAAAAGACAAGATACATAACATACAATGTACCAGGGGAGTTGGTCCTCTAAGAAGAACAACTCCCCTGTCCTCTTTGGCCAATTTTTGCTCTTTCCAACTGCTTCTGAAGCCTGGTAGAGTCTACCGTATTCTTACCACAAGCGACTTCGACATGTTCCTTGGGGTACAGCTGCCTGATCAGCCTCAGGGACTCTTCAAACTCCTGCTCAGACTTGTCCAGCTCCAGCAGCTCGAAGTACGCCTTCCCAAGGTACCTTCTCGCTGAAGAGAGAAAAAGAAACAAGTCATACGCAAAACCATCTTAGCAGGTATGCTGTTTATATCAATGGTACTCATTGTGATAACCATGATACCTTCTATTCTGCAAAATGTAGCCTGGAAACCATCCGTGAACGCTTTGTCTCCGCTAAAGTCATCTGAGACACAGCATTCACGGATGGATTCTACTGGCTATGCAAAACGTGCATGGTAGAATTTGGTGGCTTCATGAAGTCCCATCATTACGTGTCAAAATATGTGGAATTCATCATTCTATTAAATAAAAAATAAATTAAATACGTCTTTGTATTTGCACTGCCACATACTGCGGAGACAAAGGTCACTCATGGGAAGATGAGAAGACCTTAACAAGTACACGAACAAGTACAAGTAAGTCCACATACCTATAGCCAGTTGGTACTTGTCTCCTTGATTTAGAACCTCGGTAGCGCGCACTGCCAGCTGGAAGATCTCCAGCGCCTGTTCCGACTGCCCGTCCCGCCTCAGGTACATCCCGACGGCGTTGAAGAGCGGAGTCGGGTCCTCAACCTGCAGTATTTATTATGTTTACCGAAGGAAAACATATTGTTTTTACTACGTTTCTTCTTCTGTTCCAAACACTAACGTCTGACCTGGCCAATGGCCTGATTTGTTGATGTCTGTCACCATGGTAACTGGTGTTGGGTTACATCATGTTGCAATTTTGGTAGACTCCTGTCTGACCATATATATTAATGTAACATTACATGTATTTGAGTAAAAAAAGCAAACCATATGCAAAGGTAAACATTATGCATTTGCTTTGCAAATGTCACCTTTCTAGTTTATTTATTTATTTATTTCGGCTTACAAAGAAGCCAGGGTGTCCCAACTAGTCAAAGACTATTACTAAGGGGCACTCTGGGGAAGAGATGAAAATCGTTAGACATACATGGGAGTACATAATACAAATTACATACTTAGTGAGATATACAGTTATATACAATAGTGCAATAATATATACATACATTTTTAAAAAATACAATTATATAATACAATGGTTATTGAATGGTAGAGTCCTATAGGGTTCTCATCAGGATTTTTCACAGCATAGGGGTCAGGTACAAAAGGACAACTTTCGCAGCGCAAGTCGCGCATTGAGCCAAAAAATTTGAAAGTCACAACCCCCTTAGACAATATTTCTTGCTTGTTGAGGGTCAGATTTTGTGAAGTTAAGGTTTTCCCTTTGCTATAGCTTCATTCTAAAGTTATAGTTTCATTTTCTGCAAGATTGATGAAGGTTCTCTCCCAAAAAACACCCCTATGCTGGTTGAAAGACAGCATAGGGGTCCAAATCACAGCATAGGGGGTCCAAATTATAGCATAGGGGGCCCCTATGCTCAAAAGGCCTGGCGAGAACACTGAGTCTGTCACAATACATAATTGCCGAGGTAATATGTTAATCAGGTTATGATACAGACCTGCTGTAGGCATTCCTCCTTCCTCGAGCACGTCTCAGCGTTGACGTCGGCAGTTGTCGTCTTCTTCCTGGGGAATTTCCGGACGACTTCGGCCACCGTCTGGCCGACGATGAGGGTGTTGGTGACGATGAAGTTGTACTTGATGTGCTTGTCCCGGTCGTTGAAGGACACAAACATGCCCAGGGACACGGACGTGGCGTTCGGGAAGATCGCCTTCAGGATGCGGATGCCGTTACTCAGGGCCAGGGTCATCTTCTGAGGCTTCTCCTTAAGATCGGACCTATAAGATGTTAAGGTTACAAAATTTGTTTCTCTTATGTTATTTAAGTACGTTACCTTGTTTTTGTATTCAATTTGTAACCTGCGTTATTTTTTAATCTTGAGTTCATTTTGTTAATGAATTTTGTGGGGGGTTTTCCCCCCAGGAACCTTTGAAAATCGGCATCAGGCGACATGTGTTCTCCTGATTTAATGAATAAACAAACAAACAAACAAACAAATAATAATTTATATACATTTATATGCTGTCATACAATATTACTAAATCGTTTTACCTAGATGTATTATGAAATCATATCACTTTACCATATGTGTGTTATTTTGGTTTGATAATACATGTATGTCGCTACATTGGATGGTTCCACATCTTTTGATCTTTTATTTTCTTGAATAAATAAGAAAAAATGATCGGACCTTATAACAGTCTGTAGGAGTCTTGGAATGGTGAAGTACATCTTTTCCCTTTGTACATCATCGTCTACCACCACCTCGCCTGTTTCATCCCCTTGGTGCCGCTTGATGAGAGAGTACCTTAATTGATGTTAAATGGGCACTTTACTATCCAACACCTAGCAAATGTAATGCACAGAATTCTATCTTCGAGCACACCTTATTATAAAGCTTACAAAAATGTACACACAGGTGAATAAATGCAGCCTTTACGCACACTATAAGGTGTGTGTAAAGACTGAATTTTGTGCATTAACGATAATTCAGGTTAACATTCTTTTAAACATGTAATATTGTTAAATGAAGTTATTGACTGATGTTAAATGTCCAAATGTTATGTAAACAATGTTTATTGTATTATCATTATCATTAGATGGAAAATGTTAGTACAACTTTTTTTCAAACTAGTTAGAAGTGAATGCAAATAGTAGTTATACTGTATATATTTTATGTAAAAGGACTCCAGGAAGAGCAGTGATTGTATTGTCACTAATTGGAGATTCCTTAATGTTACAGACATTATGTTACAATCCTTAACAAACATACAAGCAAAGAAACAAGCAAAGAAATAATCAAACAAACAAACAAACCTTTCAAGCCTCATCAGGATGGTGTTCAGGTTGTCCGATATCTCGATCTCCGACACGGAGGAGCCGTTTTCTCCGCCCAGCAGCTCGTCTCTGAGGCGGGAGTCCGTCAGATTCACGGCCGCGCGCACGAAAATCCACTCCGGGACGGCCAGGTCAAGGAGCGAGCAGATCTCCAACAGCTGGATCGCCGCCGGGTAGTCCTTCTGTAACTTCTCGGCGCTAAGAAGCATGCTGCTTTTCACGTTGATCGGGAGATCGCCATGTTCTTCACCGAGAAGACCCGCCGTCTTGCGTCGGTACAGCTCTAGATAACGTGCGAACGAGTACTTGTTGTACCTCATGTACGCGCCGGCCTTTTCTAACGCAAGCGGCAGTCCGTCGAATCCGTCTTTTCCTACGAGAGTTTGCAGCGCTACGTATTCCTCTGACGTAGACTCCATGAGTTCTGAACGTTTGGACGCGGCCTCTTGAAGAGTGAGGTCCCACCGGCGGCGTATCAGGAACAGTTCCGCTTCGGTCTGGTTCAGGCCGGTCACGTCGTACACGGTGGTGACGGTGCCGTCCCAGACCCGCTTCCAGTCGGTGTAGTCGGAGGCGATGATGATGTGGCCCCCCTTCGGCAGGGAGGGGAAGTACTCCCGCACCAGGTCGGGGCTGCGCACGCCGTTCAGGACCAGCATCCAGTTGTGGTTGGTCCACAGCCACTTGGTCACCACCCGCAGGATGTTCTCGTGGGTGTAGTCCTTCAACTCCAGGGACAGGCCGATGTTCGCCATCTGGTGTGACGGACAAAAAAACAAACGAAAACAATTAGTATGGCTTAGACGGTTAAAACAATAGCCATTGTTGGCAAACAGTAGTGGCGTCAGTGGTGCAATGGTTAAAGCATTAGACTCAGAACCAATAGATCCCAGGTTCAAAACTTACCTAGTGCCCCGGCGTTGTGCCCTAGGGAAAGGCACTTTACACTTATCTTCCACTCCCTGACGGTGGAGTGACGCCCACCGAGCCTCTTAGCTATGGGCTAATCTGTCTAAATGTGTGCCAAAAACACACTGCGGATTTGGTGCGCCAATGTGCCAACATCTGCACATTTGCCACTAAGAGCCGTAATTCTTTATAGCCAAAAGGCAATTGTCGCAGGGAGAAGCTTAAAAGAATGTTTGTCCGCACCATTTTCTCCAGCCCGACGTTGAGACGCTGTCTTGATGAGCAGGTGAGCCAGAAGATGCCTCCCCTGAACCGGCCCTGGTGGTACGACCGCAGCGCGTACTGGATCGCGATCTCCGTCTTACCATACCCAGGCAGACCTGTCAACACCTGCGGGGACACAGAATTTTTGTTTCATGAAATAAAGACTAAACTTTACTTCCAACACTGGAATGAATTGGGACTTGTCCCAAATTTTCAGCTGACTCCATCAACTTTGTTTACGGAATGGACCCATCACAGACAGTGTTGGAGGGAAAGTTTAGACTTAACTCAGGATGACTTGTACCAATACAGATGAACTTTGATGCTAAGAATATTTGTTTGTTTGTTTGTTTGTTAATTTGTTGATGAGAAACTCAAATTGTTTTTTTTTTTATTTTCAAATGTTTGTACTGCTAGCCTAGATCCTACAATGTATCCATAATCATTCAGATCTTTTATATAGATTTTGGATGTTCGTTTCTATGTTGTAAATACCATGTTTCAATGACGACTAAAAAATGAAAACATTGGAAAAAGTATAAAAAAAGTTTTTTTACCTGGACTAACGTGTGGCTTCTTGTTCTTTCGTACCACCTGGATGAGAACTTGTCGTACTCTGACTCCAACTTGCTTAGGTAATCCTCGTGGCCGGTGAAATACTCAGTCGGGTAGGGAACTTCACTGAAGGGGATCCCGATACCTGCGGATGTACATAAAAACATGGCCTGTTTCAACAGACGTTAAGCTGGCATCACACACACACAGTCAACGAGCTTTGGCCGTATCGTATCTGTTGATCACGAGAAGGTCGCTAAATCTAAAAATTGCCTTATTAGAGTCGAGTGTATTTTTTGCCTGAAAAGTCTACCCTATGAGCCTCGACATGGTTCGGTGACCTGCGAATCTCGGGTCATCTCTAAAAACCGTGTGATGATCGAGAGAACACCAGGCGAATTTTACTGCCAAAAATTTTTTATTTTGGGCTCGCATACTCCTTAGCCAATCAAATATCCTGCTGTGTACATGTGTGACGTAGTAACAATGAAGGGAGACATCAAACTCATCATAATCATATTTGCGTATATTGGCAGTAAAGGTCTCTTGGCCTCAAATTTGTGGACATTAATCCAACATATTTCTACAGTATACAGAGAACAGACGAACCCACCTCTCGGGACCCCTAAGACACTTCTCAGACGATCCTCCTCCGGAATGAAGCGCCCTATGAGAAAGACGGAAGACACAACCACAACAGCAGCAAGAACGGACAATAACACCACACCCAGAACAGTGGGCGGACTGGGGACAGGGTCTGGGACCTCAGCTACAGGGACAGCAGGAGGGGCTTCGTTTTGTACGGGCAGTGGTCTTTCATGAGGAGCTTCGTGCACCGGCAGATCCTCCGGTAAGTTCTCAGGCTCAGCATCTGTGGTGAGGTCTGCTGTGTCCGTCGCGAGGCACAGGCCCCATTCCCGCTCGTATCTCCTCAACGTTCCCAGCGGCACCGTCAGCAACAAGTCTCTACACGTGGTTTTCAACTCGGAGACGTTGTCTTCCGATATGACGCCCTTCCTGTCCAGTTTGTCAAACAGCTCCCGGCCGTTGGTGACGCTTTCCAACTCGCCCACGTGCAGGTGAGGTCTGCACACGAACTTGAGTCTCTTGAAGTCTTCTATGGTCAGGTTCTTACTGATGTAGTCTAGGCAGAGTCTGTAAGACACTGGCCGCGATCTTGAGGGAGATTGGTGAAGGTGGCCTACACCAAGGCGATCTGGGAAATGAGCAGAAAATAGGGGAAAGAGTTGTCGTATTTTTGACACCGTATATGTATTAAGCTGGCACCTAATGTCAGCTTTTCCATGTATTCAAGACTGGTAATACATTTGCGATCTCAATTATCCCATATTGGATTAGCAACACCCTATCTTTCTTTTGGGACATGTGCACAAGGAAGAGTTAGTAACAGAACTTAAACATAGAAGATTTAAAATCTGTGTGCAGCTGAACTACCACATCACTAAAATAAAGGATTGTTTCTGATTTCGGACATTTACCGTTGCTGAGAGTTCTGAAGGCCGCTTCCTCAGAATAAACATGTTCCCCTGTGTCTTCTGCCGGTCTGCGAGCTGCCCGTACTCTGTATGTGACGTCAGGTTCCAAGTTCTGAAGCCGCACGTTGTTTGACCCTGTGTATATAAAATAGATACAGTAAAAGGTAAAGTGGGTGAGCTCAGACTGCGGACGAAGTATGGCTTTTTTCGGTCCTTTCTAGTGCAACGCAGCTTGACTAAGGCTCGCATATCTAGCCAAGCACACATCTCCTCTAAATAAGAGTGCTGGGTTCTTTTACATAAATAGGTTTGAATACATGTAGACACCCTGGTTTGTCAAATTTCATTTTAAAAATGTACAAATGTTGAACAAAAAAACATGTATGACGTCAGATATAACTGACGGTGTGTCATGGTCTCCAAGCAGATGTGGGTGTAGAAAATCGTTTCTGACATGCCAGGTTAGGGTTCTCCCATAGCCACTAGCCCTGGCATGCTATGGGGCAAAGGACTGTCAGAAAACCCTAGCTTCTATCAGGCTTCGGGAGAAGTGGCAAACTGTTCTCTTAGCACGGAGCAACTCCCCTGCAGCTGGCATATCATCTGTCTACTTGGCCAATTTCTATGCTTTCCACTGATAAATTCCAGCCGTTTTCCAAAGTCTGGTAGAGGCTAGAGTCCAATGAGACAAAAACATTACAATCTGCTTGGAGGTGAGCAGCACGTACCTGACTGTGGTACTGGCCACCATTCTGTACTACCGCTCTTCCGGTACTGTAGAATGACGTCATCGACCCCGGGAACAGTCAGGGTGACGGAAGAATACGTCAGGCGGGAAAACATCACGTCCTGGGGTGTCTGCAAAGGTGCATTGCTCTGACTCGTCCCACCAGTACTGGTCTCTGAAACGTCCAAACCACATACAACATATATAAGAAGTTTTCGTAATGGTGGGGGTTTCATATCCAATGTTTATGTCAAACTGGTCCAGATTATGTTTAAAGTTAAAACTTTTAGTCCAACACAAAAAGTTCTCTCACCTGGAGCTTTTGACCAGTCACTCTGGTCTTGAACCTCAGTAGACTGACCCAGTAAGGAAGACCAGAGTGTCTGGTCGAAAGCTCCAGGTGAGAGAAGTTTTTGTGTTGGACCAAAAGTTTTAACTTTAAACATGTAACTACCAACACAGATGAACTTTCATGATGGACCAGATTATGTATCCAGGTAAAGCAATAGTATTAGCATTATCTAAGATATGTTAACTGTTTCTAAAACTTGAATAGTGATGGAGACCTGTACGTCTAAACTGACAGTGAGTTCATTTGTTACTTGTCAGTAGTGAGTGACTTGTTGTACAAATGTACCTGTGTTTCCTTCCCGGCCACCTGTCTCCTCTTGTGACTCTTGCACAGCTCTCTGGTAGGATGCTGTTCTAGCAGACCGCAGCTGGAATCGCAACCATTTTCGTTAGATCTAAATTCTGTAAAATGTATAGTAATTAGCATAGACACAGGCAGAAACCATTCAATCATGATCAGTGTCTACAGTTTCTGATTTGTTACAGGTTACAAACTGTTAGGATTTCTGACCTAGTTCTGACAGAGCTTCCTATATAATTAATAGACTTGACATTTCGACGTTACTCGTGAAAGGTTAGAATCATATATATACCACATGCACCTGTGCCTGGTTCCTGATTCTAAACAAGACCTCAGCCGCTTGCTCTAAATCTGGCACAAGTCGCACAACAATCCACAAACGTACCCGTGGTCTCCTGTCACCAGTGGGGGTCTCGCCGTGGTTGTCATCGTCGGTGACAGTGTCGCCGTCCTCTGGGACAGTGTCGCTGTCCTCTGTGACAGTGTCACCCTCTGTGACAGTGTCGCCGTCTTGTGTCTGGTCTAGAAACGACCCGTCCTCGTTCCCGGTCTGTTCTCCCTCCATGTTACCACCTGACGTCGGGACAAATCATTCAACACCACCAACAGACGAGAAGAAGCCGAACCTATGTAGTTTTAGATACATATGTTTTGCAAAAAGTCCTATCAGCCACGGTATGCAATCATACTACTACTTCTGTAATTTCATACCTGTTCTTTGCACGATATGTGGGGTCGTGTGGCGTAAGGGTAGAGTGTTTGGCTCAGACACAAGAGATGCCACCGATCTTGTGCCCTAGCCTTGGGAAAGGCACTTGTATACGGCTCTCCTCACTTCACTCAGGTGTAAATGAGTACCTAGCGTACAATGGCATGGATATGTGCAATAAAGCCCATCTGCAATTAAAACTGAAAGTAGTTTCCCTAATATCCGTTCTCCCATATATATTGACCGGTGGTGCGTATTTCCGGTGACCCTTACGCCCCCCTCTTAAAACATGCACCTTGGTATTTATGCATCCTTGTTCCTCTTTCGTCATGACCGCACCCTTGCTGATCCGTTTAACCAAATATTAATTCATCGGAAGTTTGGCTTTTACGATCGAATGTCACAGTAGCGCAGTCAACGTGGACTGAACTGACGCAAGCGAGTACACACCTTGACGTTTCGCCAGTACGCATACGGGACAGGTGAGAAGAACGTTCGACGCCTGTCCTTAGACGTTGCGGCAAGTTAGACTTCTCCAACCATGTCCAGATATACGAACGTACAACACACAGCTGCATAGTGTAGCTAACGTACCTGTTACGTGACGACGTAGACCCAAACGTGGCTGCTAGCTATAGTCTTGTAGTGTACACACACATCGCGACACCCGGAAGAGACGCTCTAACCTAAATAGGTTGACCTTCGACCTTCCAAGTGGCGGGACCTGTTTACCCATGGTGCGTAGCGCTGAAGGAATGCGACAAACTTTTCAGGCTGAAACTTTTAGTACTTGTTGGACAAGATATGATTGGCGGTTGGGCGGGGAAAATGGAAATGAAAGATTCAAGATGCAAAGGGCGCAAAACGTCTTTGAGATACATGACTACTGCTTTGAGAAAAAATTAGAGTCCTGGCAGCCCAATGGTATAACGTTAATCGTTATAACCTCCTCACGGGTAGATGATACCTACGGTTTAAACCGATATATACATTCATGTCATATTTCATAACGGGGTTTTAGTTCTTTTTCGTCATTCCATGACGCAATGACTAGTAGGCGGGCACTGTTTAATGTGGCTGTCCTGTGATTCAGACAGTTATCTAGTGGAGATGTATAAACTCCCAAGCTTGACTAAACCGCCCCCTAGCGGACCTAATAATTACTGGTCTCGGGACTTCCTTCAAGTCTATTCAACATTTTAACAATTGCAAGTTGATATATGACGACATTTTTTTTGTTAACACATGTCCGTTGTAGCCATTGCATGACTTGGTTGGGCTCTGATGAAAGTTTTCGTTCAAGTTTTAATCATTGAACAGGCTTTGGGCACGGTATGACTACATTTACACTTTTATTGGAACAACACAAAGCTAGTTTACAAAAGGAAGATTGAAATAACACTACAACCTGTTTACATGTATGTACATTGCAGTACGTTACGTCATGATGCGAATTTAGGAACATACAGTTTTTACCGGCCTGGGCTCACACGCAAACACAAGTTAAACATGCGACAGTAATTGTAACGAATTAATGAATGAGTTGTTATTGTAACGATACATTGAAATGGTAGCTTCCATCGTTCTTACTATTAAACCACAAAATAAAGTCATGACAAAAATTTGGCCTAACTTTGTCCTAAAAATATACGATAAAAATATTTCTTAACATCGAATGATGTAAACGTTACAGCTAAGGACCTATTTGTTTTACCTTTACTTACTTTGTGTCTTTTTTGACGTTTTTCAGTTGTACTTCCGTAGTAGTAGTAGTAGTAGTAGTAATCTATCTTCTTTAAATGAAATCACCAAAGGCATGACGTTACTATCCTGGCGTCCAGCCTTGTTAGCTTTAGTCCGCTGGCTTCCCAAGATCCAAAACGTACGATTTTTGGGAGCTGACAAGTTAATCAAGGCTGGACTCCAGGCTTTTACGTTACAGCTATAACCCTACACGTTTTATTTAACTTTATTACTTAACCGTAATTCCAGTAGTCATACTTCTCGTTCCAGGCTAGATGTTTTGTAAAACTACATTTGACATCACTAAATATTTGAAGCGTTACATGCACAGGTAAGACCCTCTTGTATCGAGAACCGTGCCTATCTAGTTCTATGCCTGAATGGGTTAGGTCGTTAGGATAAGGATATCAGGCATGGTTCGGTATAGTCCCTGCGTATACGTAGATTCGCGCCAGTCACGGTTCTGGATACGATCGAGTGGACTACCCAGAACTGTGTCTGAGCATTTGCATGGATACTACATAGCCTATATATTTCTTATTAATCTCTTTCAGTTTTACAAATTTTAGTTCTGGATGACGCACGGTTTTGTATGGATACTACAGACCTTACATATATTTTTCATTTAACTCTTTCGGTTTTACAAATGTATCAGTTGTACTTCCAGTAGTCCTCCTTCTCGTGCCAGGCGTTCCAGCTTGGAGGTGACGCAAAGAGTTTTACTTTTTTTCAGTTGTACTACCCCGTCGATTTTAGCTAATAAGGCTAGACTCAAGACTATAAGTATAACGTTTCATAAAGCAACGTCCTTGGTTACAGCTATGATCCTATATGTTTTCTTTAACTCTTATTTTTTTGTCTTTTTACATTGTTCAGTTGTACTTCCAGTAGTCCTCCTTCTCGTGCCAGGCGTTCCAGCAGTTGCGCTTGGAGGTGACGCACAGGTGCACGTTACAGGTGCCGCACTTCAGGCAGCTGCGGGGGATGTGGGGCATGCGCGGACGCTGCTCCTGCAGGAGGTGCCCGTACTGCTTGAAGTAGTCAGTGCGCACGCGTCGATTACATACCTAGTGATGTAGAGAAGACGAAATGTTAGCTCACAACAAAACAAAATTTAGGCCCCTTCAAAATCTGATCTTAAGGACAGATGTACATGTATTTATCGATAGAAAAATAACGCTGTGCATTTACTGTGCAAAACCTTGTGCCTTCCTAGAAGATAAATTCGTTATAACTACATTCTAAATTGCGACGGGCCTCCATGGTGAGCTGAGATTACCCTACTCGCTCCCAGCCAGATTCTGAGATCTTTGACCTCCTTTCATTCTTCATTCTTCAACCACACACGTGATATCAACCTATTCTTCACAGACAGACAAACAGCCCAAGAAACTTAGGAACCCAAAACAATACTTCCGTAGCCGGAAGTAAGAAAAATGTGCTCATGCTCATGTATGTGCTGTCCATACAGCTCATTGACAATTGATTCATGAAACCACTTATGTTACATTGTGATTTTCCAATCAAAAAGTTAAAATTACAACAACAAAGAAAGCTTTCTTTGTATTTCTTGTTCCTATCGAAGACAGGTTTGTAGCTAGATTTGGAAGTTGAAAAATTTCCCAACAAAGAAGTTTAAAAAAAAACAGCTACAAAACAAAACAATTATAAAGAAGACGATCTTACTTTGCATTCCTTGTTCCTATCGAAGACGGGTTTGTGGCTGCCCAGGTTGCCCATCCTGCCGGGGTCTCCCGTACTTCTGGTGCCGACTGAGGAGAAACTGTCCGCCGTCCGGATACCGCGGGACCCCGCCGGAGAGCCTGGGGGACAGGCACGGTTTGGAAGTCGTTTAAAACTCTTGTGATTATACTATTAACATACAGACACCAGCAAAACTACGAAAGACACGCTCTCCTTATTTAGCACTATATACAAGTACGGAAGCTGGTGGATTCCGCAGGTGTCTTCCACGCTGGATTTCCAGAACTGGATTTCCAGTGCCGAGTCGCTCTCATGATCGACTCAGAGGAAAACCTGGTGCCGATCGACGTCAGCATTTTTTTATCGACGTCAGCATTTTTTTGATCGACGTCAGCATTGGAAACCGAGTGTTTGAGTACCGTGCTCATGAGAGGAAACTGAGCTAGCGTTACGACACGCTACTTGGGAAATAAACATCATACCATAAGCTAAGGCTCTGGTAGTAAATCAGTCATCCGTTTTTGACCGACCAACAACTAAACTCCGTTTATACTTTGAATGTTCATCACTTTTATGAAGCTTCACATATGCCACTGACCATAAATGCCACCATGCTCTTCAATTCTCGGGCTAACAACGAAAATCCTTATACATTTAATTTAGTTACGATGTATGAATTTCATCCTTAGATGTTAGTATATCTATCAACCCTCCATAGTACAAAACTACATGTCATGCGTAGAAAGGTGTAGGTTACCCTACCTGCTTCTGACGGCGGTTTAACCCCGATCTTCGGCAGCTGACCGATGCTGCTGGGTCTGCTGCCCAGGCTCCCCACGCTGCCCGCCCGCCGCAGAGGGGCCGGCGAGGGGAGGCCGTTAGCCAGGCTACGCGGTCTCATGTGCAGCTCACCTGAGACATAACAAATATTAGCATCCAGTTATGTCAATTTTGCTAAACAATGAAAACAGGGAACAGCAGGCCTAAATGCTGGAATATTTCTACAGAAGAGGCCGGCGAGGGGAGGCCGTTAGTGAGGCTACGTGGTCTCATCTGCAGTTCACCTGAGACATACAAATATAGCATTTAGTCATTGTTTTATGTCAATTTTGCTAAACAATGAAAACAGGGAACAGCAGGCCTAAATGCTGGAATATTTCTACAGAAGAGGCCGGCGAGGGGAGGCCGTTAGCGAGGCTACGTGGTCTCATGTGCAGTTCACCTGCAAAATGCGAATATTAGCATTTAGTTAGTGTTTTATGTCAGCTTTGCTAAATAATGGAAACAGGGCACAGCAGGCCTAAATGCTGGAATATTTCTACAGAAGGGGCCGGCGAAGGGAGGCCGTTAGCGAGGCTACGTGGTCTCATATGCAGTTCACCTGCAAAAATACGTATACAAAATTTAGCATTTAGCTAATATTTTACTGTCAATTTTGCTGGACAATGGACATGTTACAGTACACAGCAGGCTTAGTTGCAGGATTATTTCCACAATAGACATAACAGTCACTAGCCAGCGAGGGGAGGCCGTTAGCGAGGCTCAGGTGCAGTTCGCCTGGGACATACAAATATTAGCATTCAGTTAGTGTTTTATGTCAGCTTTGCTAAATAATGGAAACATTAGGCACAGCAGGCCTAAATGCTGAAATATTTCTACAGAAGAGGCCGGCGAGGGGAGGCCGTTAGCGAGGCTACGTGGTCTCATATGCAGTTCACCTGGAAATTATAAACATTAGCATTTAGTTCGTATTTTTACTGTCAGTTGTGATAAAAACCATGGACATGTCACAGACCAGTACAGCAGGCCTAGCTGCAGGATTATTTCTACAATAGACACAACAGTCCCCAATGCTAAAAACTATCCACACAAAAAGATGTCTGTCCTTGGTGCTGAACACTACTACTACTACTACTACTACTACTACTACTACTACTACTACTACTACTACTACTACTACTACTACTATTACTACGACAACACATACTTAAGAACGGATTGACCTCAACCCAGATGTTGGAAAAAAAGCCACCAACATTTTAATTGCAGATACATGTAGGAATTGGTTGACCAGATAATTTTAGTTCACCCATATAGGCTATCTCTTACAAACAAAGAGATAGCCATTGGTGGTGTAGTGTGTGAGGAACAGTGGCTGTGAGTCAGATTCGAATGAAAAAAAATGCCAATTGTACTCCTGCACTTTTTCTTGCTCAAATCAAAATCATTACATACTACTATGACAGTCTATTCTGAAATTGACTTTACAAATTCATGAAGTTCAAATGAAAACGTACTAGTTTTGTACTCGCGGACGGCTTTGAGAATAGTGGTGATGGGCCCCAGCTTGAGTTTGAAGTCGTCTCTCAGAGTCTCCTTGTCATACGCCAGTAGCGCTGCTCCGTTCACACTTTCTCTGTACAGTCTGCAGGGGACAGGGGGATAGGGGATTTATGTATGACATGGGATACTGCCTGTCGTATCTTAATTTTAACAGATATATTAAAAAACAGATATTTTCAAAACAGATAGGGGAATATGTTGTGAGAATGACAAAGATGCTTTGATGATAAAATATGACGATAACACGAAGCAGAAAACGTATTTAGTGAAAATGAGATATTGCATGGTACATGTACATAGATTTGCATAATACACTTCCATATTAAAGACGTGATTCAACCATAACACTGTTTTACAACTGTTTCCCCTTCCATTATATACCAGAACACTATATTTGTCGCTGATTGATTTTTAAAAAATTGTAAACGTTTTAATTCCAATTCCCGACAAACAATATTCCCTTCCCTCCTGACACTGTTGACGCGATAAATAAATTACAGGGCAAGGTAAAATAGAAGTTTAGGTTCTTACAAAACATGAAATCTTGTCGGTAACCATGGTAACGTACCTGTTGACGTCAGCCACGCCGACGCCGATCTCCGCCATGTTGGCTGTGAGCCAGGTTCTGACGTCATTGGCGGACCAGTCCTCCACCTTGGAGGGGAGAGTGGCCGCCTCGCCCTTAGCTGCGTCATTCCCTGTAGGGGGGGGGGGATAATAATATAGAAACTTTATTTGCAAAATCATGCCCGAAGGCTAATTGCTTTTACAATCAAGTATAATACTTATTGCAATACAGTAACAGGAGACAGGTAACAACTGTCTGAAAAAAAACCCTTCTACTTCTACTACTACGCTAGCTGTTGACAATGACAATGAACTTTATTGCATGTTCACGCCCTACATGGGTCAAATGCACTAAGTTAGATAACTTGGGTACAAGTATAGAAAAAACAAATGTTACATTTCTGTGCTACGTGTCTATCTACAGGATCTAACTACGGGATCTCTTCTCTCTTTTTGAAACATGTATGAACAAATTTACATAGTTTTTCATTTACATAGTAGTGCTTGGGTGTCATAATATGTTTGAACAATTCTATTTTCGGCAAGTATGTATATTTCTTTTCTGACTGTAAGGAACTAATAATGAACTACATAATGAGTTTCCGCACATGTATCTGGTACGTGCAAATCGCTTTGGACACATGTTTTTCTCTCAACTTGTAGGTATTACGATTACAATGGCAGCAGTCTTAACAGGTGGTTTCCAGGTTCCTACTTTTGTACTATTGATGCAACGTTTTAGCTTGCGTAAGGATCCAATAGAGCTTACAACTTCTGTTAAGGTAAGTATTTGCTGAAGCGTATGTTCTGACGATGCCATTTAGTAAGAATGGAACTTGACAGGTGGTTTCCATGTTCCTACTTTTGTATTGTTGATGCAACGTTTTAGCTTGCGTAAGGATCCAATAGAGTTTACAACTTATGTTGTTAAGGTATACGTTTACGTTGAAGTTTATGTTCTAACAATCTCAATTGGTAAGAATGGGAATTGCTATGGGAGATTTGCCGGGTACGTGACGCGTTGTAAATGTGTTGTACCATCAAAAAAACCTTTGTTGTAAAAACTTGCTCGTCGCCAAATGGGGCGGGGTGTGACGTGATAATATCTGGGTCCGCCTTCAACGTAGGCGATCGTAATTGTGTCTGGAGGAGTCGGAACAATGGGCGACCTGGGGGTTTGTAAAGACCTGCGGGTTCTTGTTTCTGGTATATACAGTACGTACAGGGATAGTAAACAACGCACGCATGGCTCCCCGGAGTAGCCTTACAGGCTTCGTCAGGGTAACGCATTGCGCACCGAGAAAAACATGCTGGTCAATGGATGGATATCGCTTTAAGAAAACAACTCACATCTCAGCAACCTTCCGGCGTGCATCAGCTGTTTTCTCTCGTATTTCGTCACCATTTCGGGAAGCTTGATGGACACTGAGGAGGATCTGGAGACAGACCTGTCTCCAAACCGTCCACTGACGTGCCCGTTTGGCACGGCGTTCGGTAGACCTAGGCTCTTCTTCGACGCATGGCTTCCCCGGTTGTTTGAAGGCACCATAGATTCTCTTAGACTGGTGATGGGTTCTCGTGGCTTGCCGTTCGTCGCCACACTGTTGACAAACGGGAGAGATGACAAAAAATCATCATCATACTCGATTGTGTCAGTTCGTGTAGTTTTGTTTACGTGTAAACAATGCGATAAACGCAACATCAAAATAAAGAGCCGCAGCTCGAGGTCGAATTTCGTGACCCTTCCATCCAGCTGAACACGTCAGCCAAGAAATGGTCTGTTTTCTAAACAGGAGTTTGAAGGAACTCTTATTTCTCGCTCCCTCAAGTATGCAAAACAAAATAGCAACGTCGCTTAAGTTACTTTTGCAACAGACACGCTTGTGCAGTGTTTACATTGTTCCCGCAGAGATTGGAAAATGTTACAAAGTCAACATCCGAAAAACTCGCTGCGAGTGCACCACAAAACATTACACCAAGTTCACGTCTTTAATAGATGATTACCATGATCATATTCAATATCTTCGTTAAATCCTCATCACAACCGAACAGATCATAAGGTTGAAGCAAAGACAGTAGGAGGGTATGAAGTAGCCTCCGTAGCAGGCTTATAGAACTGGGTGGTCTTCGGCTGTTTTCTGATTAGCCCAGTTCAGTCTAAACGGGGGTACTAGTTATTCAACCAGGCCGGCTATGTTGTCTATATGCAATCAGAAAAAAATAGCACATAAATGTTCCCAAAGACCCTGAAGACCCCCAGTTTTTGGCATGCTATGGAGGCTACGTCATCGTCAGTGAAGATAGTTTACGAGGACCCACCTGTAAGTTCCCGGGGTTTTCGTGTTCGCATGGTGGTAGAAGGTCCCGATCGTGGTTGGCACGAGTTTGACCATGTCTCTCTACATCCCAGGACTCAAAAACGTTGACAGAAGATCAGACTTGCGCACGATTTCTCTTTAGCCTAGGGCCACGCCGCGTCTTCAGCGTGTGGTCATCTGCTGGTACCGTGGACCGGATGAGGCGTTGGAACCGATCGCTGGGCTACTAACACATAAAGGCTTTACAACTGAAGCGACTGTAACGGAGTGTAATTGCATCGGGTGTTTGGTTACGGGTGACGGGCAGTCAGAGGGGGGCCTTTCAACCCCGCTCTACCTTTCTTTGATTGGCTGACTCCGGGGGCAGCTGGGACGGTATACGCTTTAACATTGGCCGTGTTTTGATAGTGTGACTTTTCAGCAAATGATATTTTCTTTGGGTAAAATCGCTGTGGCAATGTTCTTCTGGTTTGTTTGGGGGTAAAATTGTAGTCTTTATTCCGATTGAAGGTGCATATCATATTAATGGATGTCCTAGCTTATGCACATGATTATAAAATGTCAGGAAAAAGACGTAAAACACTTATATTGACGAACATAATGACGAACATAAAGTTGAATAAGCTGAACCTGAATTTTACTAAGGTTTTAGATAATCTCAACATTGTCCAGCAATTAAGGACAGTGTATTGTGCATTAAAAGCGACACGAATATCATACGCAAACGTACTAGTAATAAAAGTCGTACTTCAGAATTCCGTAGGCGCGAGAGTGCTTCATGCTATGGATAAAACACAATGTCACCGTTTGCGCGCCTCGGTAAGTTTTTTAAACGTCCCACATCCGATACGTCTTTTTGTTGACCCTGGGCACTCGGTAGTCAGTGGCAACGCTTACAGGGGCAGTCGCCCAGAACATATATACAACTCAAGACGGAATGGCCAGGGCAAAACATGACAACCACCATAGAATGTAATCTCCAAGCAGATTCAGCTGTTTTACGCCACTTTTTGCAAGATGTGGTACTCTTTTCTAGTGTTGCACTTTCTAAAAGAGGAGGCGGCCCCCCAAAAAAGTGTAACATTTGCAAAAAGAGGTCTTAATGTTCCAAAAACAGACGTGAAACACTAAGAATGACCAGGAAACTTGCATCTGCTTGAAGGTGACACAAAATGTCGCGCGGATAGGTACATTGTATCTGGAACCAAAACATGTGCCACGCGTGTGTAACACAATACAGAAACGTTTAAACGCTGAAAAGGTGTGACCTGCTCATAAATTGGCGTCCATTGTGATGTGATTATGTATGTTTTGATGCTAACTGTTCGAGATAAGATCTGGAAAAAGTACGTGTCTCTCAATTTGCCAATTGTGCTTTAACATGTTACCTTCATGCACCAATACTACAGATAGCCTCCGTAGCAGGTTTATAGAACTGGGGGTTTGGTGGTCTTCGGCTGTTTTCTGATTAGCCCAGTTCTAAAAAAAACGGGGTAATTCAACCAGGCCGGCTATGTTGTATATATATAATCAGAAAATAGCACATAAAAGCTCCCAAAGACCCTGAACACCCCCAAAACCCCCAGTTTTTGGCATGCTATGGAGGCTATACTACAGACATTCTACCTATGCTAGATGAAACCCATGGTTTCAGGTAAAATATTCGGAAGAAACAAAATAGACAATTATTCATAAAAAGAACTGTGAAGTCGGTTAGGGCCCAAGAGTTCTAAGACACATTTCGATGTCCAAGGTAACTTTTGTTGCAGAAAGATAGGTTTCTAACTGACTCCAGTAAGGAAGATTACATATTAAAGACCAGACACACGCAAAAACTGCAAGACACACGTCATGTGACGTCATAATTGATACCGCATATTGTACAAACGTATATACCCTTGCTTGGATGATGCTGAAATATATAGCATATATTCTTATCACATCGAGCCATGCAGTATTATCTATGGCACAACATAAGACATACACACAACAATAGTTCCTCTGCAAGTTTGGCAGATCTATTGCACACATCTATCAAATCAAATCAAATCAAATCAAATCAAAAACAAGTATGGCACAATCTGGCTGAAATGAGGACATACCATACTACCACATATGAACATCATAATTGACCAAAATATCATCATAATAACTTCAAATATAAGACTTTTCTTTCAGTTGCAGCATAAATAAATATCTGGAAACATAGCAATTGCCAACGCACAATTGTAAAAAAAGCACAAGAAAACTGAGAACAATACATATATGAAAAATTAAGAAACATTGCTGGTGTTTGTGGCACATGAAAACATCAACATGAAGCTACCACGATGTCTAATTTTTGCGACAACTATTTTGGAGAGTACGAAAAATAAGAATTATTGTAGAGATTTTTCACTGATCGTATAGCCAAGCTTTTTCTTTGGCACATAGATGTCATGGAATACTAGTCATGATTACATGCAGAATCAAAATGTGATCAAAATTTGGGGCCATCTTATTTGGCTTACATTTCTCTGACTGATCTCAAACATCGTAGAAAACCCAGATATCACCTCCAAAAGACATGCCAAAAAGGCAAAATAAATAAATGTTGGCACTTCTTCAAAAATACACAAAAGTGCTTTACATCAACAGCATATAGGCAAAAAAAGCCTACATTTTACCAAACATGCACCACAACTCATTAGGTCATAGCATTGAAGAGTTTAGGACATGGTCTTATTACTTAAGCAATACATAATGTATAATGGACATCCATATTGGCTTCTTAGGACTTGATGTCATGATTTTCCATGAGGAAAAAAAGGCACTTATAAATTCCTTTGTGTATCTAGCTAATGTTGAATCAACTACTACTAAGTAATTAAATTCATCTTTAGACTAAGAGGAAAGTTACAATGTGTACTGTCCACCAACCAAAAGTATACACAATCCTTCAATAAGAGGAAAACCTCACCCTATCCCTTGTTTCACACACAGGGAATGTTAAACAACATAAAATATGGACAATTCAAAAACAGTCATGGAGTACATGGATATGCCTACAACAAATATCTACTGTGTCTTACTTAATGCTGTACAAGCTTGTTTGAGTATAAATACTTTAGCTGTTCTGAAACACATGATCAGGGAGCATAGCGCCTTAAATTTCCTGATGAGAAAGGCCTTAGTGCTGTCATGAGTTTCACATAAAAACATGTTTGATAGTGGTTTGCTTTGAAAGTAGCAAAGACACACAGATATACAAGAACAGTCAGGGCTCTAGCCAGCTTGAAATTTTTTTTTCTCGTCAGCCCAGGTTCATCATTGGATTTGGGGAGGGGAGCGGATGTTCGAGCCTTCAAAAACGCAATTTCTCACATTTTGAGAGGCAAATCATGATGTTGAACGTGGTTGTCAGTGGTAATTCAGATGTTTTCATATATTTACCCAACATTTTTTAAATTTTGACTGTCAAGGTTGACAGATTGGTTTAAAAAAAATTCTGTCACACGCTGCAAAGTTCTGGTAATTGTCGTTGCTGGCTAGAGACCTATATTGCATTTATCTTTTATTTCAAACTGACTATCTGTGGAAGATGACATACATCAATTGATAATTTCCTTTCCCATCAGTAGAACTCCTCCTCTGATGACCCAGAGTCCCCGTCCGGCCTGGTGCCAGTTACAGAGTAGTACACCTCCGTCATCAGCCTTTCAAAGGCGTCATCCACGTTCTTAACATCCGCCGCCGACGTCTCGAAGAAGTGCAGCGAGCTTTTCTTGGCGAAGTCCCGGGCCTCTCGGATGGGCACAGTTCTGATGTGGGACAGGTCACACTTGTTCCCAACTGGAGACATTAGAAGTTGGATTAATATGATTAAGTTTGTACAACAACATTGATAAACCTGAACCATAAAACTAGAAAGGCAGGCATTTTCTGTGATCACCCCTGTAGTGATCCAACACTAGTTACCATGGTGACAGACAGTCTGGTTTGGGTCATTGACCTTATTGGTTTGGAGAAGAAGAAGAAGAGGAAACAGAGCAAAAACAATATGTTCTCCCTCAGTAAACATTTCAAAACCTACCCAACAGGTTTGACTGTATGGCGCTTCATATCTGGTAAGTAAAGACCACAGTAAGCACTAGTACATGAAAATTTAATGGTGTAAGTTATCTATTCTTTATCTAACAAGACTGGCAATGAAAACATACATTGCCATGGCGACGGTGGTTGCTGTTGGGGTCATTGTTTGCATGGCACTGCCATCATTTCATGATTTTTAGGAAGACTTGGTACCTGTTAAGTCTAGACAGATACAGTGCACTCCTCCCCAGAGTGTATAGTGAAGGATCCCCGGGGTCACAGAAAGTAGGGCTATCCGGGGCAGAGAGGTCTTCCCAAGGGTTTCCAGGAATGTGGGCATAGATGTGGGTCAGAGACATGCCTGTGGACATTCCGCATGCCTGTGGACAAAATGCCTGTACCATTCCTAGAATTCTTGCAAACTGCACACAATACTGTACCATTAGGCTCCTCCCTGAGACGTCGCCAATAACTACAAAAAAAAGAAAACCTACCCAACATGACCATGATGCCCTGGTCATCAGCATCCTCCTGTAGCTCCTTCAGCCTGTTCTGAGCATGCTCGAACGTGCCGTGCCTGGTGATGTCATACACCAGGAAGGCCCCGACCGCTCCCCTGCAGCAGGCACTGATGATCGGCCTAAAGGACAAACAGACACACAAACCCACAGATCAGACAAACAGACACACAAACCCAAAGTTTACACACCCAGCTCAACATGCAAAACAGGTAGTGCAAATTACTCAAACAGGTGCCTGTGGCTGGAACGAACTAAAACAGACTTATTAAAACAGATACATATGGTAACATGTCATCATCTTAACATACACTGAAAACTAGTGTAGCAGACAGTTGTAGGTTCACTGCTACAAACTTACAACTGAACTATCGTGTTTAATGGATGGGACCAGCTGTTAGAACAACAAACACTCAGTCCCATCCATTAAGCATAACAGTTCTTCGTCAGTCCTAAGTTTGTAGAAGTTGAACAGTAACGTGCAACAAACTTATGACTGTCTGCTACACTACGACTGATTTGACTTCAAAAATCAACATCATAAAGATAGATCCAGGAACCAATAATTTTGATCAAGATATTGATTCTTAGCACCAGGTCCCAGCGGTACACTAACCTGTATCTGTCGTCCCCTGCTGTGTCCCAGATCTGGGCCTTGATGGTTTTCCCTTCGATCTTCATGGTTTTTGTGGCAAACTCTATCCCAATGGTGGGCTTACTACCTGAGTCATACCTGTTAAATGCAAATCTGGACAAGACAATGTCAAGATCTGTATCAATTAGGGTTTTAAAACATTTCACTAATATATAAAATGCTATGCATAAATATCTGAAATAAAAAAAATATATTATATGGCACAAGATAATACAATCTTTGTTATTTTCCTGCTTTAAAAATACATCTACCAAATGAATTTGACTCTCAACATAAAGCACCCATACAATAACTGCATATCCAATAATACACATGTATACATGTACCTACACTGAGCTGGAAAACATAGTGTATCATATCATATGTAACATGTACACACAAACTTGAATTGATCAATTACATACACATTGCCTACATCAAAATGTTACCTGCTCAGTATATTGTAAATTACAAATAAAGATGAGAATCTATGACCAGAATCTAAGGCATTCTTTGGTAGCCTTCTGCAAAGGGAAAAAGAAGTAGAGGAAGACCCAGAGTCACCTACTTAGACAACCTACAATGTGACATTGACCTGCATAATGAATTGCGAAGGGCCATGGAAGACCAAGTGTTCTGAAGGAGACTTTCTAGCTCAAACTAAGTAAGTAAGTATTACTAAGTAAGACATGACTGTCCTACCTTGAGAGAAGGTTACTCTTGCCGACCCCCGAGTCTCCCACTATGACTATCTTGAAGGTGTGATCAGGTTCAGGTGGTGCTGGGCTCTCGTAGTCAGCCACCTCAGATTCTATAGACAGAAAGTACATGATCATTACCAACTTCACTACTCCGAGTAATAGATTTCTTTTCATGTGAGTTTATGGATGTTCCTTTTTTGTGTAGATGTCCAGAAAACAGATATTCAAAGTCTACAGATGGTAAGAATACAATCACCAATAGCAGCACATGAAACAAACTACGTATTTTCAAACAACGCCAAAAAAACAATTACTCAAGCAACTGGATATAATTTTGGAAACGGTCAGACATTTCAGGTAGCATCCACTACCTTTCGTCAGTGACACATTTTCATACAAAACTTACAGTACATGTTCTAGTAACATGTATTTGGTATGTGTAGATACATGTACATGTAGACATACCAGTAAAAAAACATGTTCAGACTTCACATACAGTGAGCAGAAACTCATGTCTATTTGGTATTTTTTTTAGGTTTATTTGAGTACTACATTGTAGTTATTTAGTACTCTAAATGTCTGACCTGCGGGTTGCTCAGGACTCTGTACAGCTGAGTTGTCCCACTCCAGTCCCACTGCCTCATCCTCTGGCATTTCACCTAGGAGGAAAAGACACAATCTCAGTGTGCATGCATATGACCTAGGCTTTGCCTTCTAACTGTTGGAGTAGCCTTTTGGCATCAAATAAGTGCCATACAATCTTTTGATTAATGTGCTCTCCTCAAAAACAAGACTCAAGACTCCTCAAGCTTTTACATGCCATCCAACAGGGCGTCAAAGCTAGGTACTCATTCTCACCTGAGTCAAGTGAGGAAATAGGTACTAAAAGCCTTTTCCAACACAGTTTGGCCTGCCAGGGCATGGTGCTCTTGTGGTTAGGGTTGTTGACTCAGAATCTGAAGATTCTGGAGTCAACAACCTCAACCGCAAGGCCAACTTCCCACCAAAACCTTTAAGCACAGCAGTGGAGCCTGCCAGGGATTTGAACCCAGAACCTTCAGATTCTGAGTCAACAACCCCAACCACAAGACCACTTTGCCACCAAAACTCTCACACTCACACACTCACTATAGGGATAGACTTAGACATGCTAGCACTGCAATATTGAGGCTTCCAAGCACAGATCCCCTTGCATCCATACCTTCCATGAAGTCGAGTGTGTCCAACACCTCCCTGACCTCCCCCAGGTCCACGTTAACAGGGCGGAAGTGTTCTGTGATCCCAGCCTGTAGGGGGTCTGGGGAGGCCACGTCAAGGATCCTGGGAAGTGGTAATTATATAAGAAGACATATTTCAGCTGTGAGAACTTAGAATTATTAGCCTGGAATCCATCCGTGAATGCTGTGTCTCTGCTCCGTTCCTCCGCTCTGCCTTAAAGGAGCATTCACGGATGGATTCCAGGCTTAAGAAATATTTCCCTTAACATAACTTACAGTTGTACAAAATGCTTTCAGTCAGAAATATTACCATAAACTCTTGAAGCTGTAAGGTACATGTATGATGCATGATGTTTGTGTTGATTTCATGGCTCCTATCGGTGCATTTGGGGCTATAATAGATTGCCTAGACCTGTTTTTGTTTTTATTTTTTTTCGCTTTGTCGCGTCATATTTCTTCTGAAAAAAATTTGAGAACCAACAAATTAAATTGGTGTGGCCTTACCTTCCATTCACCGCCGCTGCTGTCTGTAAGAAGCACGCAGGGTCCTTCTCCTTCAGAACCATCCCTCCTAGCGCCACCACACCTATCCCATGATCCATCTTTTCCTGGTAGCGCTCGATGTGCGTCTTCAGCACAGACAGTTTGTCGTTCCGCTCCTGGTCAATCGTGTCCCCCAGGACCTGCAGTGGTAGAAATACTTCTTGTTCTACAATATTCAGGCCTTAATTAACCTTTCTCCCTATTGTCCCAGCATTGTCCCAAACATAAATTTCAATTGTCGCAAAGTGAGGATGAACTGTCCCAACCTGTTTTTTTAAATGTATTCTATGACTTCAACTTGAAGTCAACTTTATTTTGCTTGTGTTCACTCCCAGGCGCACTATAATTACAGAGTAAATAGGAAATTTGGGGGAATTTTCCGGATCCAAAAGCCGGGACGTGTGCCTGATAAACAAAAGAAGGGATGACATTCTGATGTTTATTATTTTCCTATTGTCCCAAAAATGTCCCAAAGTGTCTTTTTAGTGTCCCTTGCAGATGGGTATTTCTAACACTGACCTGCTTCTTCTTCTGTAGTGTGGAGATGAGGGTGTCCAGCTCCACAAACAGGGAGGACTTGTGACGGGAGGCGTTCTCCTAAGGATCGATGGAAACTGGATTTATTAGCTTCTAAATGAGAACCGAAGGAGGCCATATATAAGTGACAATGTAATCTAATTATAACATCAGTAATGTTATCAATGGCTTGCAAAATGACAGTTGTCCTGTGTAAAAATTGGCTCCTTTGTCTGAAAAAAAAGTCAAAATCCAGGAAGTTTTAATAGGAGTTAGTGTTTCAGTTCTAGTTATGGGATATTGTTACCATGGTTTTAGTTTCTATATTTGTTACATTTTTACTTTGTACTTGCAATTACTAGTAGCACAAGAGCAAAATCTTGCAATAAATAATCATTAAACTTTAATGATGTCCTGTGTAAGACCCGATGTTTGACAGAGGATTACAGCAGACAGAACTTACACAGACAAGTTGATACATGGCCTGCAGCAGCTGTATTCCCTTCTCGTAATCTGTGATCCTCCAGGCTAGATTCTCTACACTGGTCCGTAGGATGTCCTGTGGGCAGGGAACAGGGATTCTTAATGATAGTGCTGAAGCAAATAACAATGAGTAACAATGGCAAATAGTTTCAGCATGGAAGAATACATATATCAATCAATCATCTATCAATAAATCATCTATCAATCAATAAATCTATCATTACAAGCAAAATTGTTGTGATTACCCTACTAGTAAATAGACATGATTACTAGAATAGAATTTGACAGATCGCCCATTTGTAAAATGTGAACTTGTGAAAAGGTGCAATGTATGGCAACTCTGTATTTAATTATGCCAACACTCTAATAAGTCGTAGACAATATATTCATAACTGTATGCTGCGTCAGGAATGAATACGCTCTGGTTACTTCTTTTATTTCAGATTCTGCATGTTTTACCATGTACACTGTATTTTAAGTATGGTGCTCTGTGATTTAACCCTATGTTATTGTATAGCAGTATTGTGATGTTTTTGTACTGTAATGTATTCCACAAGAAGAGTAGCTAACAGAAGTGTCAAGCTAAATAAAGTCCAAGTAGTACAAAATGGGTACCTTCATTTCCTGGTACATCTCTGGCAGTTCTACCACGGGATGTGCGGAGTGCCTCCCGTCCGGCTGGGTACACCTGGGACAGATGATGGTCTCATCCGACACGCAGTACAGACTCAGCTTCTCCTCCCCGTGGTCCGCGCACTTGGGCGTCTTCGGCACCGTGCGAGTCAGCGGGTCAACCAGGCGGTGCTTCACAAACGCCTTTTAGTTAAAAGAAATCAATGTAATACAAGTATATCCGACTCAACCAACTGATGTACACTCTAGTTTATAGTCATGTAGAACTCAAGACATGTACATTATCGAAACTGGTGTGTTACACCAAAAGGCGGTTATACTGGCTATACAGATACAGATACAGATCATGTAAACCATGTTCCACATATATACATGTACTATATTACCTTTTTGAAATAGTATAGTGTTAGTTTCGATACATAGAACTTGTAAGCATTACTGTAGATGTGAGAGTACTAAGTAGATGTTAGCTCAAGATACGTAGTACTAAAAGTAAAGAGCTTGCCATGCATTGTACCCGTTACAATTGTTGTGCAATAAAGATTGACTTTGACTAACCTTTCTAGAGTGCACCGCCTTCAGACACTTGTCGCAGAAGGACAGCTCGCAAGTCACACACGTTTTTACTGCGTCGGCTGCGGGGCTTTTCTCGCAGACCTGGAAATGAGTACGTAGCTTCGGTTAGGGACGTCCCTCGGATAGGACATTAAATCGAGGTCCTGTGTTTGGGGAGAGACACACCCCATGCACGTTAAAGAACCCACCAGACTTATGGAAAAGAGTAGGGGACCTTCCCGGTGTGAGTGGTTCAAACCTTACAGTCTGGTCTTACTGTAACACTGGGGGGTTTATAGGCGGTACCAACTGACCCGGCCGATGGGTCTAGACCTTTTAGCAGAGTGGTTAGAGCGTCTGGTTATGAAGCTCTGGTGCCCGGGAGGTCGTGGGTTCGAATCCCGGCCCGGGACCAGAAGGTTTTTACTGGCTCCTCCTGTTTCTTACATTAGGCCACACCAAGTAAATTTTATGGATGACGTCCGCGCGCGCATTGATTTTGGCCTGTTTCTAGAAAAAAAAACAAGAAATTCCGCTTCCTGTAACTATGACCAAATAGTCACGACAGTGCCGCAAATAGGTTTGTACGGACCAAAGCTTATGATGAAGCATTAAGCAAAACTTCCATTAGGAATTCAGTTTGGTACATGCTGACACATTTGAAGAAACTTGCTGACCGCTCCATCTATCTCCCCAACTGCTGATCCACCTGATTTACTGCTGTTTTGATGATGAATAAAAGACTTCTTGCTTGTTACACTGTGTCACCTCATTCAATTTGTGTCCTAACATTTGTCGTCTCTTAGTATATTTCTAATCTAGGCATCTTGTTTTTTAGGGCCCTTCTTGTTTTTTTTCGCCCTATCGCATTATATTTAGGGTCTCCAAATGACGTCATCCATCAAATTTACTTGGTGTGGCCTTACGCAGCTTGTATATATACGTAACGTTACATGTACAGAACTGGTGTGTTACACCTAAAGGAGGTTTACCGGTTATGCGAAACAAGCAAACAAACAAATAAACAAACAAACCTCGCAGGCCAGGTTCCCGCCCGAGCTAGCAGCGGCGGCGGCTTCTGTTCCCTTCACTCTCTCGATGATGTTCTGTAGGGTGAGATTCGGGCACAGGCAGCCCAACCCCCTATCGTCCAAAAACACGGCAGCCTTACACTCGGGGCAGCTGAAACTTCGGTCGGTTTCCTCAGACGATTCGGGCTGTACGGTCGCCTTGCTTGTTCCGGAAGAAGCTAGAAGGTTGTAGGCACACTTGCAACACACGCTGTGTCCACAGGGCAGCAGGAGCGGAGAGGAAAACAGGTTGTGACAGTACGGACACGAAAGCTCCCGTTCCAGTGCCTCCATTTTGGAAGTTGATGTGTCAGCTGTCGGGTCAAAAGTTGCTCGTAAGTATGAACGGTGAGGGGGGTGCGTGAAAAAATTAGTAGAAGAAAAATGGTATTTTTACACAAATTACAGCCAACAAATTATGTATTTCTTAAAATTGAACTAATAAAACTTCACTTAAAGGTATTAATTTTGATGAGTTTCTATGGATGATTAAGTAAAATGTTTTATTAACAAATCGCTTCACCCATTTTTGGCCAATGGAACATTCCATAATAGCAACATGGCTGCCTTGCAAAGAAGTTTTTCGGCTGTACGGTTGCAAGTGTGCGTTCTGAGGTTTGTGCGCGATGTCTTGTGGAATTGTCCTTTCAAAACAAGCAAACTGCGTACACAATTTACTCGTGCACAGCTTGTATTAGTTTTACTTGCTGTTATGCTTGGAAAAAGTGTTTCCTGTTCTCTAAGTTTAGTGGACCACGCCCCCCTCCCACCCGAATCAAGCAATATATATAATTTTTTTAACATCACAAAGAAACGAGAAGAAGCCGAACTTCTGTATTAGAGTAGCTTTAGAGCTGTTTGTACTACAAACATGTATATTACCCATTTCATCTGTTTGCCTGTACTTAGCCCGATAGGGCATGAATGTACAATAAAGGTTATTATTATTATTTATTAATTTATTAGTTATTGACGTAGTGCCTATATTTATAGGGGCTATGCGTACTATAGTGAACAACATTGTGAGGGCTCAAGTACGGTCAATAAGGCCTTACATGCATATCACCACAGGTTACTGCTCACCTTACGCTATAATTTAACATTTTACTACTATCAAAATAAAGAAACAAATATTAATATTAGATCAAAATTTTCTTTTGGCCATCCTATCCAGGTCAACTTTGCAAAGTTGCAAGCAGTTGAGAGACCAGAGATGGGTGAAACCATTCGCCCTCCAACAGAGGGGGTACAGGGCAGCAGTCTGTCACAAAATCAGTGCTCCCATGGAAGTGCGGGATCTTCCATCCGTGGAAAAAGTCCCAAAAGGCATGGTATGACCTTCAGCTTTTATTCTTTTGCGTTCCCCATTTTTTTCCACGCACATGTTTTGCTGTCACCATGTCTATGAAAACCAATATCACAGCCTCCAGCCTATGATTAGTCCATGTAGCACATCGGCAGAACATACTGCACCTGTGTGAAAACCAGATTTGTCACGGTTTTTGTTGGATTTTTGGTCCATGTTGCGTCAAAATTTTGCCTGTTGCAGAGAATATCTTTTCCGACATAACATTTGAAAACTACAGACGGGATGTTAACCTTATATGTGTGAATATGACATTATGAGACGTTCTGCCAAAGTGCTATGCATAATACATTTTGGATTTCGTGCAGGTGTAGTACGTTCTGCTGACATGCTAGTCCATGTTCCCAATTCTACAAACTTAAACATGTTAGTCAGCAAGCCTCTAGGGGGATGACCAGGGCTATTAGAAGTGTGATATACTCAGGCAACAGTTGTAGACCTTCATACAGTTTGCTGTATTGTTATGTTACAGGTGAAAGTTGCAGTCCACAGTACCGGCATCAACTTTGCAGATATCTTGATGGTGGCTGGTGCGTACCAGGAGAGACCTGAACTGCCATTTGTGCCAGGTAAATCGGTATAAGATCTTATTTCTACATGTACAATTAAATCTCATTATTACATTACATTTACATCTTTGACAGACATACTCCTCTCACATCCTTTGCTCAATACTATAGTTACTTTACAGGTGCTAGTTGTCAACTCCTTTTACAATAATCAGTTCGGTTTGAAGAATTTTTACAGCAGTCAAATTCAAAACATATTTTCTAATCATGCCATCAGATCATGTATTACCTAAGATTATAGTAGACATCCTCGGTGCAATGATACTAAATGTGCATTCCCTGCTTCCAGGGTTTGAAATGGCTGGAGAAGTGATGACAGTTGGAGAAGGTGTTACAGCCTTCAAGGAGGTATGTATTAACAAATTTGTGACTAATATGGAATCAAAGCACTTACATAGTGTTAGCTTGTGGAAACAGTGAAATCTTGTTAAACTTGGAAAGAATACTACATCACATGTAATTTCCTTAGTAAACTAAAAGAAAGAATTCACTTCAGGTTTCTTGGTTCGTTGATGAGAGCTGTTAAACTCCAAGTGTGACGTTCTCAGTGCTCAGAAATGCTCTGTTTATGGACATAAGAAAATGCTCTTTCTAACATATATTACAGGGAGACAGAGTGGTAGGACTTCCCATGCCAAGTGGCAGCTTTGCAGAGGAGTGCCTGGTCAATGAGAAGGTAATTGAAACATTATTTGTCTTCGAAGCTTGTTGTCTTATTTGTCTTGTTGGCACTTCCCATACCATACCTTTTATGGCGTTAAGACTATAAACCCAAGATGATCCCCTGCAAGTACTTTTTCAGTTATCTTTAAAACAGAATTGGTTATTGGAAGTGCAAAAAAGATACTCACCAGAAATGCTGCTGCAATGCTGCAAAAGTTCAAACATTGTAACATATGCCATAGTACAATCTTACATGTACCTGCTTTGTGCCATGTTTATTATGTACCACACAGGCTTTGTTCCATCTGCCTGCCTCTGTGGCGTACACTACAGCAGCTGCTGTGCCAGTTTCCTATGGTACAGCACTCATGGGCCTCACCAGGAGAGTCAACCTACAACCAGGGTAACTAACAATTCCTTTTTCAATTGGCAGAGGTGAAGTTATTAGTGTTTTAGCAACAATATCTAATAATATGTAATAATGTTTTAATAATAATACCCATATTTTAATGATATTTTGTGACCTCAGAGCAATTCAGGCAGCCAGTATGGCTGCCTGCAAGTCTGTTGTCAGTGTGGTGGTAATTGAAATTGTGTATGTCTGGAGTTTGCAATTTTGAAATAAACCATTCTACTAGCAATATGTTGTGATTCGTTAGCATCAAATGGCTGGGTGGGTAGGCTAGTGGATACAAGACTGAGAGGTCATGGGTTTGATTACTGAAATTCATAGCAAGATGCTGTGCCCTTGGGAAAGGCCCTTTACTTTAGGCTTTACGCTACTTTCCTCACTTCATCCAGGTGTAAAATGGGTACCTGACTTCGGTTGGGGAGGCATAAGGCAGTAGAAGTAGAGGGACGGGCTCTTCCTTCCAATACCATGTCCTAGACATAGTGAATTAACAAACCGCTGCCCCTATGGCTGAAAAGGGCTATGGTACCTTTAGGCTTTACCTTTAATGAATGAAGACCTTTATTGTAATAGATACGCACAAAGTGTTCTGAACCATAGAAATGGTGTGTTCTAGCCAACTTTAAATATTGTGAAATGAAGCAACTGAAAAGCACAACATGCCACAAGTAATGATGATAACAATGATTAATGATGTTTGTCTGTACCAGGGAGACGGTGTTGGTGACAGCTGCAGCAGGTGCTCTGGGTACAGCTGTGGTGGACTTGGCAGCACATGCTCTAGGTGCTACTGTAAGTCTTCACACCTTGCCATATTGTATTGTGTATTAGGTTGTTCCGTTATGACATTCTTATGGTTTGGTGAACAGCTATTTGACACTCATGCATATGTTTGGTACTCATTAATATGTTTTTATTGGGTAGAAGGCTTGTTTTGAATTTGCCAGTTATATTCTAAATTGCCCAAAGCCTAGACACCCAGACAATAGCTGTTTGGATACATCTTGGTTGACCTGTAAGAATATCTTTTGTTAAAATAAGACTTAAAGTTATGTTCACAACTTGACTCCAGGAAGCATAACCATAAGGTTCAGTATAGTGTTTACTGATTCTTTATTAAGATCACCGATGGAGATCTTGATAAAAGAAACTAGCAAGAACTTTGCAATACATGTAGATTGTTAACTTTCAAGTACCCCGTTTCCCAGGTGATAGGAGCAGCAGGAAGCCAGGAGAAGTGTGAGTTTGTGCGCAGCAGAGGTGCACAGCACACCGTGGACTACAGTCAGGACAGCATCAGGGACAGGGTGAAGGACATCACCCAGGGGAAGGGATGTGACGTCGCCTTTGATTCAGTCGGAGGAAAAGTGTTTGAAGAAAGTCTGAAATGGTACGTTTCCTGCGATTTTGGTAGATTTGTATGATACTGCTTGTGGTTCTATTATAAACCTGTTGTTGTTTAATAAACCACTGTCAAACACTTAAGTGATATCTTATTTAGAGAGAAGGAAATCAAGTATGTTTAGGAAAGATGCTGGCAATCACATGAGAGAGAATTGTTCATCAGTAAGAAAAGAAAAGATTGATGGACAATTCTGCAGCACAGAAGGATGCAAGGCCCTTTATGTTAAAGTAAACTGAAATTGGACACTTCTATTTAACAGCACACTATTTTTGACTAACATCATTTTTCTGATGGCACCTGGTGCACCCTGTCTTGTATTAAGCTATTGAAAGGGCATATCACCCTGAAAGGGGCAATATAACCCCAACCGATACGGCCGACTGATGGTGATTTTCCCACAGCCTAGCCTGGGAGGGTCGTGTGTTGGTGGCAGGGTTTGCAGGAGGAGACATCCCCAAAATCCCAGCCAACATCCTACTGGTGAAGAACCTGAGTGCAGTGGGACTGTACTGGGGGAGATACGCCATGTGAGTACATGTGCAACTTAGTAAAGCTGAAAAAATTAGTTCAGTCTTGTCATTTTGCACTTTTACAAATGTGATCACCTTAAGCAAGGGGATATTATCTGAACCCTGAAACTTCTAAGTAACAACATATAGGAAGCTTTAAGTTTTTAAGTTCAATAGATGGCTGTTGCTTACCCTAATCTCCAAGCAGATGTTTTGGTGGCTACAGAAGACAGTATGAAATTGGCTAGGCAGTATCCCATTGGCCACCCAACTTTGGTGGCTAATGGACACTCCTCTGGCCAATGGATACTGTCTTGCCACCGTATGATCTGCTTGGAGATTAGCTTACCTGTTTGGGACACCCGTAGCAGTATAATATATGCCAGGATAGTGAGTGTGTGTGTTTTTGTTGACTTATACAGCTCATTAATGCTGCGTGTTTGATATACACAGGCAGAATATTGGAGTGTTACGGCAGACTGTGATCGCCACTTTGACGTTTATGGAAGAGGGAAAAATAAAGGGGCCATCACAGCCAACAACTTTCAAGCTAGAGCAGGTAATTGTATACACATGGTATCAATGGACCTATCACATTTTGTTTAGTACCTGTTCTAAAGAACATTCTAGAACAGTTAACGAATAAACTTCATTTCCAGTTTTCAAAGTCAGGTGTATTTGATTTTGCTGCATCTAGTTGACACAACAGTACATGCCGTAATGGGTAATGTAGTTGTGACAGGAGACGAAAGTAGTATAAAGGATAAACAAGCACACACCGCGCTACACACTGCTGTACAATATAAACATTGATTGACCACAAACTGTCCCGGCATTCATTGCAGTAAACAAACTGTGACGTAATAATGTAATAGGTCCATTAAGCCGTTATTTTTGAAATTGTGGGATTTTTCACATGCTCATGATCTCAAGGCTTTAGACTGGCTGATACTGACATGATTCTGTCATTGTTTTTTTTTTCACAGGTCAATGAGGCTGTCAAGTTCATCACAGACAGAAAATCCACTGGCAAAGTAGTGTTGGAGGTTAGATAGGAAATCCTGTTTCGTCAAGGTTGCCACATATCAGTGGGAAGGGTAAATGTACAAAGGGTGCATTTCTACCAACCAGTTGGAGATTAGATAGGAAAGCTTTCATCATCATATCAGAAGCTATACGAGTTCAAAGCGTACATATCTACCAACCACTGTTTCCTCTCATAGCCCACAGGCAACAATCAGCTGGCATACTTAAAACAATTATTCACTTTCATATTTCAAAACGATTATTGTGCACTTTGATTATCAATTATCAAAGCTCAGCTTATGCAGAGTACAATAGGTTACACATAATAAAGTATCCTGCTTCCAGCTTTGCACTGAGTTAAAAGAAACTTTATTGTCCTTTTTGTTTTCAGACATTGAGGTCTGATGTACATAATTTGACATGTTTATGAGTAGTATACAATGTGATTTTGTACACTTCTGTCAACATCTTCAGAGTTAGTCAATTACACTTAAGAATAACCACATCAGGTACAATGTACTTAAATACCTGTTATTTTTTAGTGTTTGGTTTCAGATTCTTTGTACAAAATGATACACATATTTTCATAGCCATTATACCTTTTGTACAGTCACTGCATGCAAACAGAATATATCAACTTAAACGAAAACAAGTGCTCCTTCTCTTTCAAAAGGATTAGACTACTTTACAATACAGCATAGACAGAAGTAAGCATATACTATAGCAATGTCTCTAGTAGCAACAGTGACCAAACTCTTCAGTAAATTTGGTCAAGTAGAGGTGGTAAGGTACCAAGGAATGGGGAGAATTATCCAGTTCAGCATTTTACGTGAAAATGCACAATAGTTCGAGTGACCATACATGTTCCTTCTAAACATCTAATAGTACACAGAACAGCTCAAAAGCTGCATGTCTTTAGCCCGGATGCCAGCCTTGCCAGTTTTAGTACTTTAATACTCTTTTTGTTGCTTCCCTGCCATGCCCAAAAGACCGAACCTGCACATATTTTATCCGTTGCACTGGTTTGGCCTATCAGTGTGCCTGTTCAGATTCTGAACAAATATTCAAATGCCAGATGGATAGAACATGTGCAGGCAAGGCCATTATAAACATGTACATAGCCAGTATATATAATGTCCTCGGTGCAGTTTTAGTCTTTCTGACAGAGAAGCAAAGACTGGTATCCAGGCTATCATCATGTCTTCATCTTTAACAAATTTTCCTGAACGTGGACGTGTCATGTTCTTCCAGCATTTGTTGAATCATCAGACATCTATACATACACAAAGCTCTTCCCTTGCCTAGCCTCCATAGCAGGCTTATAAAACTGGGGGTTTGGTGGTTTTCGGCTGTTTTCTGATTAGCCCAGTTCTAAAATAGGGGTAATTCAACCAGGCCGGCTATGTTGTCTATATGCAATCAGAAAATAGCACATAAAAGCTCCCAAAGACCCCCAAAATGTTTTTGGCATGCTATGGAGGCTATCCCTTTCCCCAGTCATTAAAACTAACCCTAACAGTTCAGCGATGGATCATTGGTACGCGGGCTGCCCGCCGAAGGGCGGAGACTGCTGTGGTTTGGGTGGGAGTTGGGACGGATCCTCCATCTCGGTGGGACTGATGGGTTTGAACTGTTCTGCCGACATCCTGGTGATGAGGATACCCACGCCTTCTATCAACGCCAGCAGTACCCCGCCGATCACTGCCGAACCCGCCATGGCTGCCCAACCACCTGGGGGAAAGAGTGGCAACATATGTGTTTAAGTTGTGAAGAAACATTAAACAGAACACATGTATATTGATGAATGTTAGTCATACAGGTAAACAATTCTCATAGACAATTCAAACTCTATGACTGTATAAAATACAGAGAAGTGTTAACCAGTTCGGTGCATTTAGTAGTAGTGACACTGAAGAAGAGTAATGGTTGTCACTTGAAACTTTGAAAGTAATCTCTGTATTTTATCCAGAGTTTGAAATTGAATTGTCTACAATCACAGCCAAAACAGCCATGGCCGCCCAACTACCTGGAGAAAAGAATGGCAACATACATGTTTAAGACGTGAAGAAACATTAAACAGACTACATGTGTGTTGATAAAGGCTAGTCATACAGTGGGAGATATACAAGTGTTGACACTAAAGAAGAGTGGTGATGGATGTCTCTTTTTAGTAGAACCCCCCACCAATTTAAGGGTATGAGAGGGTGGGGAATTTCCTATGGTTTCGTATGGCCTGTCTCATTACTCAGTAATTTAGTTTCGACGCTTTGTCAGCATGTAATTCACACAGTTTGGTGAAGGACAAGTAAATAAACGTGAATGCAACTTTTGTTTGTCCATTTCGGTGGTGGTAGAGTAATATCTGTATTTCATTTAGTACAAATGTAGTAGTCGTAGAGTTTGAATCATCTACGAGTACCCTTACATGTGTGTGTGCAGTTGTACTAGCATGCAGCTCAAAGAAACATATGGTCAATCTGTTGACAGAAAAACACAACTCACTTCTTGCTGCCAGCACTCCCCCTGTGACGGCACCACTGGCTATAGAGTTCCACGGGTCCTCCTTTTTTCTGAGATACACCATGCCACAGTCAAACGTTGAGAACAGGCCTCCCCAGATGGCAAAGTTACCTGAAAATAACACCAAAGTACTCTTATAAAAAATGGCATAAATATCTTGGTTGCCAATGTACCAGATATCAGGTAAACATATTTCCAGTAATGTATCAGTAAGTATTTGCACACATTGATAGATGTTAAAATGGATTTTGAAGCGGTATGCTGATGCATAAACCCTTGTCTAACTAACTTTACAAAAACCACATGAATTACAATTTTTGTAAGGTACCATGATAAAACTTTTACTAGCCAGGGCAGCTATATTGGCAGTACAGATAATCTCTAAGCAGATCATTGGTGGCAAGGCAGTGTCCATTGGCCAGAGGAGTGTCCATTATTTAGCCAGCATGAGACCTTCAGTGCCCGTACAAACTCCTCTGACTAATGGATTGTCTTGTGACCAAAAGGTTCTGCTTGGAGATTAAATACAGATACATGTCAGTCACAGACTTAGTTTCTTTACTCACCCCCTGTAATTGGTGCCCTCATCTTCACAGCTGTCAGACTCCCCAGTGCTCTGTGCCTCCAGCCCTAAGGAGCAAACAAGTTGAGTGAATAATACATCATGATAGACAGCTTGGACTTTAGAGCTTTCAAAACGATAGAATGCTGTCATGTGTCATGACAGCTTACATCATCATCTTGGCAACATACAATTTTAGTACAGTAGTAAACATTAACATGATTGTGCAAGTTTCTGAAGAAATTGGGATCAAATGATAGAACCTTCTTGATTTAAGCCTTATAAGGTGTAGTCAACTACCAGTGCCAAACCACTTCCTAAATTGGTCCAAATTAGCCTCTGCCAAATTTGAACATGCATTGGAAGACGGATGAAATGTGCATGTGGAGTAGAGTAGTCTTTACGGTCTGGTAGTACTCTCAATGTCCAGTTTAGACTGCTCCTCATTGTTTGTTCATCCGACCATTATGGTGGGTTTTAATGGATGGTCTTAAGACCTGTGGTTGTACATATAAGGAGGTTAAACCTCCATCTCATAAACCATCTTGTACATTTGTGTTGGGAATATTTAGGAGCCTGTAGTACTTACTGCTGGAGCATTTCTGAAGCCCTTGATACTCTGGAACACCCCTCCCCCGATGGCCCCCATGGTGAAGGCACCACCACAGTCATCTACAATCCGGTATGGGCTGGAGCAAAGACAACGTCATACATTCATACAAGTACACATCACATGTATCAAACATGATCATCAATACAATATTATGGTCGTCTACAGTGCACGTGTAGGGAATGACATAAGGTGTTTAGATGTTGCATTAGGTAAGCCGTTTCGGACGTTCGAACGGCGACGTTAGCGTCCGTTCGACGTCCGAACGGCTACGTTAGGATCCGTACGTATACGTTAAGATCGACGACGTTCGATCACGTTCTTAGAATAAACGAGAGGTTTTTGAGTTGAAGTCTTTGTGTACGGACGTCTTTTTTGTGTGCTCTGTGTCCTCTTCTTTTCTTGTCTCCTGCTTTACTCTACACCGTGTACTCGGAGGCGGAAATCCCACGACGATCAACAACGAACCCCTTACATTTGGCGACGAGGATGGGATGTGGGATTTATCGCCGAGAACCTGAGAACACCAAACATCGTGAGGACAGCGGAGGACCGAAGGTTAGAGAAACACACTCATGCATTGCCTGCCTGACCGCTTAGTGAAATTTGCTTTAGGATTTTAGTGGGAATTGAAGTGAGTCCGTGTAGAGCCAGGGTCGAAGTTAGTGAATAGAAGTTGTTAGGTTTTACCTTTAACAATGGCAGAAGGACAGGAGGGGGCACACGCCACCACGGTTATGTACGTACCATTCGAAAGAAAGTGGACAAAGTTTTCTGGGTCTCCTACGGGCCCCGTCGTCGAGGAATGGCTGGACGAAATGGAAAGTGCTTTCTTGCTATATAACACACCAGAGGCGCAGCAAGCAGGGTTACTGTATAGGAATCTCGAGGGGCAGGCCAAGCGCCAGATAGCTGTGTTGTCGACTGACGACCAAAAAGATAAGACGAAAGTGAGCGATGTTCTGAAAGCAACATTTGGGGACACTGCCCCGGTGTCAGCAATCATGGGTATGTTCTATGCTAGGGAACAAGAGAGAGGAGAATCCATAACTGTATGCGCGTTAAGCTTACAGGAACTCCTAAAAAGAGCAGCCAGGAGGCGGGGAAATTCGTTAGCGGAAGAAGATACCATGCTAAGGGATAGATTCTTAGATGGTCTGAGGGATAAGGACCTGGAGAGGCAGTTACGCCAATACATTAGATCAGCTAGCGCGGCAAACCCCAGGAAGTTCCCAGATGTCAGACTTGAAGCCCTTCACCTGAGTGGGGAATGGGGCCGGGAAAAGGGTGAAGCCCGACAAAATGCGACAATGGTAGAGTCGGCTTTGCTTGCTGAGATGGCTAGGTTGAGGGAGGAAACGGGTAAGACGATGGAGTCCCTACGTAAGGAGCTTCACAGCCTAAAGTTTGAAAATCAAAACAGCCGTAGACAGGGTTCACCCAGGGTCCAACCTAACGGTGTCCGACAAGGACAGGCTGGATGGGACAATCAGGGACGCCCGATCTGCTATTCGTGTCAGGAACCAGGACACATCCAGCGAGAGTGCCCCAATGTAAGGAGGTGCTACGTTTGCGGGGACCCGGGGCATATCCAGAGGGACTGCCCTTGGGGCAGTCAGGGGTCTAGATACAACAACGCCCGTACTAAGCCTCAGAACAACACCCGCAGGCCCCAGAATCAGACTAACACTCATTCCCCAAACTAGTTAGGCCCGCGGCCGAGGGACCAGGTGCGCGGGTGAAGTCAGTAGCTAGTTGTGCGTCCCAAGGTATGAGTGTAAATAGTGATACATGCATTAGTGATGACTTAAAGTCCGTTCTGTCTCGGACGATCGGGAAATGTAATGTAGTAGACGTAGATTTTGAAGGAGTAAACGTCCCGTGCCTGATTGATACGGGATCGCAGGTTACTACCATGACATTTAGTTTTTTCAAATCACATTTCGGGGAAAGAGGGGAGAGACTTAAGGACGTTTCAAGTTGGTTGAAGTTAACAGGGGCCAACGGACTACCCATTAAGTTTGTCGGGTATTGCGAGCTTGATGTGACGTTTAGGGGTCGCACGCTTCCAAAGCGTGGGGTAATTATTGTTGAAGATGGATGTGGGTCTGCGCCGGGGATTCTGGGTATGAATGTGATTGGGGAATACCAAGGTGACAACGTTAATCAGTCAGCTCAGAGTAGTGACACAGTCTGGCAGAAAGCCGTCAAAGCTGCGCGGCAACAGTCAAACTTTGCTAGGGACGACGGGCGTGTAGGGTATGCCAGAGCGTCGGGTCGCCGACAGATCATTGTTCCGGCAGGC